AGGGGCAAAGGTGGGTGGACTTTTGCTACTGTAAATAGGGTGATTTTATCCAAATCTCGGATTTTCAACAGTTTGCCCTCTGGGCATCCATCCGTAGCTGTCAAGATGCACCTATACACCACGGGAGAACAGTAGCTGCTGACCTCACGGGCTCAGGACTCTAGGGGACTTGCGTGGGGTGAATCGCAACAGAAGGGGTGGTAAGGTAACGGTAAAGGTATCAAGAAAGTCCTTATCGAATGCCTCCCCATTTTCCCCAGGCCCGAAGCTGACATCAAATTGCAGCAGGATCAAGGAGAGTGCTGCGCGGACGCTCAGTCTAGCTAGACTCTTCCCGGGACAAGTATAAGCACCTGGAGCCTCAATGTCAGCAACGCGCCCTCGCGTGGTCTTTCTAAGAATTTCACACTCGATCAATACAATCGAGGCGGCCAAGCTGGCACCTACCGAGGAGGAATGGAAGATATGGGGCTCCATCCGTGCCCATCTCTTCACGCCGCTCGCCCCATCTTTCAGGGATAAATTCATCTGCTTGCTTCCAGTAACGGGGATCGCGGTGAATTTGTCCTGCGGGCACAAGGACATTGACGCCTCCCGGGATATGGACTTCGTCAATCTGAAGTCCCCCAGCAGGTGTCTCACGCGGTCCCGCCAGGGTAAGCGCTGCCTTTACGCGCAAGGTTTCAGAGATGAAGTCGTCTAGGTATTTGATGGACTTGACCTTTTCAAACGTCCAATCATCAGCTCCCCCAGGCATGGTCGCATCCAAAAGTGCTTGCAGCTTCTTCTGCTCGTGGGGATACTTGACGACAAGAAAAAGGCAGTGCGACAGAGTTGTTGCTGTTGTATCACTACCAAAGCAAAGCATATCAGCACATACTCATATTCGCCCATCGTCGTCTCACGGATGTTGCGATTACCTTCCAGCCAGGAGAATGATTCTAGCGTCATCCTCGATTGCTTGTGGAGATGGTGCCGCTGACACATCCTTCTCTTGGACGGCCTTGATGAGCCATGAGGCTATGTCGGAAGGATCTTTTTCTTTGTTCCAGGTCTGATCAAAATTTGTTAACTCTTCTACTTTGAATCATAGGAAAGAAGGGATATATACCTGCTGCTTGGTTCGTATCTCATTCGCGCAAAAGTCGAATATCTCCGAATATGCGGCAGCGGCACCGGGTATGGCGCTCATTAGGTATAGCAACCAAGGGACGGTTTGAAAAATGCCCAGAGTCTTGATGTGAGCGTGGATCGGCCGAATTGCCGAATGCTCTTGACCCGTATGCAACTGACCAAAATCCTTACCAAAGCCAACCTGTCCCATGAGATCAAAGCTGAAGAACATGGACCAGTCGGTCATGTTGACGCCGTCCTCTCCACGTTGTTTCAACTGGGCTACGAGAGCATTGACACCGGACATTATCCGAGGTTCATAAGAGGCAAGGGCTATTATGCTTAGCACATGGTTGATTGCATATCCAACGGTGAGCAGACTTGCCTTTTACCGACATGCTCTTGTCCCAAGCTTTACGACGTAGCCTGTGGCTCTCGTGATCGCGGGTCATGTGCAATGATGATTTTAGAGGATCGTTGCCTGTTTGGCCATACCAAGTTGACTTTCGGCATTGGGACTTTGGGCCGTAGATGATGTCTACAGCGGATTGGCGCAAGATGGTGATTTCCCGAGGACCTAGGAACATTAGAACGATGCAGGAGCAAGAAGAGAAAGAAACAAGGAAATTTCAACCGTGGCATTTGATGAAGTAAAGGGGGCAACGTTACCAGTTCGCACAAAGTCTCCGTATTTGGTGTGCATCTTTTCCAACTCCCTGTAGTACTGAACATTCTTCAAGGACAAATAAGTGGCGTAAAACCGACTGACTCGAGCACCTATTGGACCAGGAAACTTGCTACACCTATGGAAACCAAGGCGGTATACGGCGATACTCAGAAGTAGGCAGCCCTGGAAAGTTGTCGCGACTACAGCAGACTTTGCCACTGCGGCCGTTGGGTGATACTGGCCGTAGTGGATAAAGAATCCCAGCAGCATAGGCCACAATACTGTGCATACAGCAAGAAAGTGGAACATGAAATCTTCAAATTCTACACTCTGTATCACCAGATGGAAACTGACAGCCAGGAAAGCAGACATCGCGGCCGTGTGACTGAGATCAGCCCGGGCAATGTCGTACAGCTTACCAGCCCAGTCAGCCATGATGGACAGCTTGTTCAAGAAGTGGTTGGTTGTTTCGGTTTCGAAAACTCGCAACGGATTGTGTACGCATGGTTTGGCTTTTAAATGAATAGGATAGACAGCGGCTAGGTAAGTGTCAAGTAAGGAGTTGGCGTTCTTCATGGTCGCTACATGCAAGTCGCTATCAGCTGCCGCAGACAAGGATCGGATAACTCGTACATTTTCCCCCGCACGAAACGAGGACAGTTATTGGCCGTTGTATGCAGATTTCGTGTATACCAAGAACCAGGCCATGGCTATCACGCAGGGTTGAAGGAAGCAACTGCCGCTGAAGATCGCAGATAATGACCCTACCTCTTGGTCTGATCTGATATCGGCAGCAGTCCCGGTCCGTGCCGATCCGATGGTATTCGGATTGGAGAGGTCATAAAATTGCTGGGAAGGCCCATTGTTCTTGGCAAAGCCACCTCAGAGGATAATTACTATGTATATAGTGTTGATTGATTTGATGATACATATGATGCCCTAATTCGGTAGCCTTACCTAGGGCTAGTCGATCGTAGGATATGGATGATAATTGTTGGCATGGCTGACTGTAGCGTATGCGACGGGATCACGAATTTACGGCATTTTGTTCTGACCTTCCCGGAGTGGACATGACAAATTCCTACCCAGAGATATTATTCTTCAACTTATTAGCATAAGCCCTTGGAAACGACATGAATGAGTAATATAACAAGATAAATACAGTCGTCTAGTGCCACTGGAATAGGTTGCTTTGATGTTGCATTGGGACTTGAGTAACCTGATTTTCTATTTGTGAAACAAACTAGTGTGACTTGGGTTGTACCGCTTGTTCCTCTACTGTAATTACGCCTCCGGGATTCTAACACTGAAAACAATAATCAATACCAAGGCAAAGAGCGCAGTGGCAAGTCCAAAGGGCAAACCGAGCCATTCCTCTCCTAGAGACATGCCATATCGGAACGCCCATGCCATGCCAGGCGCTGCTACTAGGCTACCAATCCCTTCCATGGCGGAGATCAAAGCGTAGAGACGACCAACATCACTGCTTGAACCATCTACATCATGTTGTTCAACCAATGACGTTACCAAGCTGCGCACACTAGGTGCGAATCCAGACCCAAAGGTGAACAAGACAACCCCTACATTTGAGTGGATTTAGCTGATGCGCCCGAGAAGACTATCACATAATGCCCACTTACCAATTATCATAAGAGCTGGTGTAGCGGAAAGAGTAATCACGACCGCACCGAGTACTGAAAGTACAATACTGCCCTTGGCAAGCAAGAGGTCTTTAGAGGTGACTGAAAAACTCGAAAGCACGAAAGTAGCAATAGCCGGCAGAATTGCCATGTAGAGAGCCAAGCTCACAGCTGCCTGAACGGATATAAGGAGGCCAGCCTGGATAACAAGGCACACGGATTGTTAGTAATCAATGTGACTATCGAGGAACCACCGGAAACTCACCTGGCCCAGGGACCAGTCGTATCGTTTGGAAACATACTGGAATAACACATTTGACGATTGGCGGCCGAGCTTGGATATGAGAAACGTAAAGACCAAGGACCAGATAGACGCATGCCGTGTGACGAAGCTGAAAGAGGCGATATGGTCCCGTGTCCAATCGACCAGTCGTTGCGTCAATTTCTGTCCCTTGTCAGGTGCGCCGTTGGGCTCTTCAGCCCGAGGATTGTCTCTTTCGTCGAGGTTGTTCTCTAGAATCAAGATTGGCAGTGTTTCTGGTACAGTAAGGATCACCAGGAGAGCTCCAAAGCCTTGCAAAGCCACGGACAACAAAAGTGGGATCCAAACGTCTTTGGCCATCAACGCAGCGGTGATGGGGGGAACGACTAAATCCGCCACCAGAGTAGGGCAAAAACGGTACAAAAACACCGTGGCTCTATAAACACGGGTTTGTCAATTAGCCGAATCATCCATTGTCAATACCCAAGTCTAGGAAACACATGGTGGTACGTAGATATGCCGACGATTTTGAATTGTGCACGTACCTCAACTCCGGTGGAACGACGTCCGTAACGACGGTCGTGAGTAGGGTTGTCGCGGTAGTCGGACCACCGCCAATCAAATAAAAGACGGACGAAAGTAAAACATATTGTAGGCGTAGACCCGAGGCGACCTATATTGTTAAGCTGTCAGCAAGACTGAAGCCCATGCAGCAAATAATGAAGCGTGGATGATTATATATATATATATATATACTAACCACCAGTTCAGCCCAAGCATACGAAAGGGTAAAACCAATTAAGCCCAGAGCCATGATCCATTTGCGACCATACTTGTCAGCGAGGTAGCAAAATGGTATAGGCAAGAGAATAGCTGGGATGCTGTCAATAAAGGACTGCCAGCCCAAGAGCGTGGCGAGCTGCTCCTGAACTGGGGTGACTTTGCACATTTTCTCGGGAACGGTGCCGTCGGGCCCAATGAGCGAAGGATCGGCCTGTGAGAAGAATTCAGAGCAGATGACGGACTCGTAGAGGCGCATCCGTGGTGCCATGAACATGGACTCGCCGAGGTCAGCTAAAATGGCGATGCAAAGAACAAGTCCTACGACATGAGTCCATGGCCACGAACAGCGCGAGCGGTGAGTTGGCGACCTCGCCTCCGATGGCGCGCTGGTAGCAGCTCTTTCTGTGGACGATAGAAGCAGAGGTCGCGTTTCACCCGCCTCCGCATGCTCCTCGTGTGCAGTGCCCAGTATCATCTATGGCGACAAAACTGGCTGCAAGATGAACGCCGCGACTTTGTGTAGGCGAATGTAAGAGGTGGCTATCAACACGTTGCAAGCAGACGAAGAAAACTGCACGCGATGCGCAGTTGTGAACTTGTGAGGTATCAAGACGAGTATCTGATATCCAGGTAAGCAGAGTCTTCGAATATTGCAGTGACTTCACTCGTCGCGTGCGCACCTGAAGTAGGCAGATAGTGCCTTGCTGTGCCGCTCCCGTCACGCAATTACGCAGTGCTCCGATTGTTGTCAGGATCTCCCGAGCGTCTTTTTTTTTTTTTTTTTCCGAGGAATAATTATGACAGCAATTCAAAGTAAATTGAACAAGCCCATTATTGCATCGATCCTGATAAAGCAGATGAAATCATTCATTGGTTTGGTTTATGTCATGACGGCAGCACAATCCGGCATAGGTGTGTTGTGTTATGATTTGACGACTACTCACGGAGTCCGGAGTAGATCCCTGAATCAAACTCCGGCTCCGAAGTTTCGATTGATGTGAAAAATCCCGTCGCGCTGGGTCAGATTGGCCAAGAGCAATATCCATTGATTGCCTGGAGCCACGACTTTTCGGAAACAAGGATAATAGCACAAGACTTGACATTTCACGAGATTGGATATATATAGTATATTCCCGTAACATGATCATCAAGACTGGATGCTCCATGAGCTTTTTCTACATCACGACGAGCGACGTTATCTATGGCAGATTGACTTGTCGAATGTTCTACTTGGAAAACACGGGAATGCGGACTTCGAAGAGAAAGTAAAGAATTCAGTTGAAAACTGGCTTAAGTCTGCCCCTAACGCCTTGCCAATGCTGTGCTCTTTCGTGGCTGTCCTATTTTACAATTCCTCCTTGAAGAATTTCTCCTCGCTGCCCTGGCTATCACTGCTTTCACTCTCTTCACTCTCTTCGCCCTCGTCGCCTTCTGCGTCGACCTTGGGGCCTTTCCCACCGTCTGTATCAATCACGCCCTGAATCTCGCGGCCATTGTTACCAGGCTCTTCAACCACTTGTAGTTTCCAGCCATTCTCGCCGGCCAGCTCCTGAATCTGCTTCTTAAGCTCTTCGACAAGCTCCGGGTCAAGGTCGAGTTTCTCCAGTTCCTCATCACTGAGGACCTCCAACTGCCCGTCCTCGTCCGTATTGCCCAGGGCAATGATCTCAACGATGGGTTCCTTGTGAAAGCTCCTCGGCGGCTTAAGCTGAGGAGCTTCTTTCCCATCCTCACCCTTGCCTAGAACCTGCCGCCCGCCGACAACGACACCGCCAATGATAACGGGTGCTTGTGCAGCATCCTTGAGCTGCTGACCGATCATGGCGGCCTGCGCTTCGAGTGTTTTCTGGGCGTGCCAGTCAGCCTGCTGTGCTTCCGGTACTATGGTACGACAGCTGATTGTGTTTGCGCGTGAGGGCGGAGGCGGTCGGAAAGCAACATCGGAGCACAGTCGGGGCGTATTGACGAGCATCAGATAGGAGCACGTGGTGATCTCCTTGATCCAGCCAATACGATCCTGGGTGCTGCCGGGGCTGCAATGGTACTGAATCTCGATGGTCCGAGGGCGATTCATCAGGTCGCATAGCGTGCCGTCCTCCATGCGTTGAACGAGGTAGCGCTGATCGCCCTTGACCTGCAACTCGGTGTTTGGCGGTGAAGTCGTGGGCTTGGCGGCATCTTTGTTTGCTGCAGCTGGTGCGGTTGTCTTGCTGCTGCGTCCCCGCCGGTTCGTTGTCGATGAAGGGTCTTGTACTCTGCCCAGAACGTATTCCTGGCTGTTTGGGTCTCGCTTCGGCGGTCCTCCCTTTGAAGGGGCGGCATGAAATTGCACAACATCGTGACCGTAGCAAAAGCTGTAGCTCCACCAGCCAGAGACGTAGTACAGACAAGTGCCATCCAGACCATTGACCAGCTCCCAGCCATGGGTTGACGCCCTGGCCAGCTCACGCGCCTCTTCTGCCTTGGCCAGCTCCGTCTCGGTCTTGTTCTGAACTGGCGGCGTCTCTATGACGGGAATTGCACAGAGATACCTTGTGTCATGCATGGTCATGACTTCGTACGTCTCGGTCGTCTCAAGGCTGCCGTCATCGTTGCTGCCATCATGGATGCCGTGTGCGACTGGCTTTGCTGGCTGGATGTCCTTGTCGTCGGCGTTCCCACGATTGCCGGGGTCGAGGAGCACTTTCGCCTCGTGCTCGGAAATGTACGCATCAGATAGAACAACCTCGAACTACAAACATTCAGTCGCTGTCAGCTGGTTTGCCCTTCTGCTTGGCCCGCCGAGATACGTAATCACTGGAGCGGCGCGACAAGTGTTTTTGAGGAGGTGGGCTTTCTGACCTGGGGGTATGCGAGCAGGTCGTTGTGTATACTGAATCCATGGCGGGAGGCCGCGCACAGCTGCGCTGCGGCAAACAATGTACTGATACGGCGCATGATGCCGGGCGCGAAGGAGATGATTGTCTTTACATGAGAATGCGCAACGCCATCAGATGGTGCAAATCAGGGACAATGCCAACCAAAATAGAAGCTCTGAGTCTGGGACAATTATGACCACCTACACGCCTGGTAGGTACAGTTAGGGTAATGTAGATAGATGGGTGTAGGTACCTGCGCCGCACCTACGCACAGCATTGCCAGAGCTAAAGGTTGAGGTGGCTTCAATTGGTGAGGGAGGGGCCCGGGCGCGCGAACCTCAGCCGCGCCGACCTGCAGCATGCATTTGGAAATTCCATAGTCCCCCCAAAACGGCGCCTTCATCTGCCCGCCTGCATTGCATCTCAAAGCGATCACTTTGGGACCGAATTTACATTGCCCTCAGGTACAATTGCCTGGAAACGAGTCCATGTGTAACTCATACAATCATGAGGGTGACACATGCGCAGCTCACATCGATTACTCAGTGCACGTAGACTGAGAGACTGAGTAAGCATTCATGCTATCAGACTACCACCAATGATATACCTACCTTCAGACCGCCACAATTTCACCTTCTTTACAGTTAATGTACCTGGTTTACCTAGTAATAATGTCGACCTGTTCGTCCGCTTAGATCAATGTACGTGGTATCAATGTAGTCAGCTCAACATATATGCTGACCTCTCCGCCCAGTGCATTTTGTCCCAAGCCGGATTGACATTTGGACTCGTGCGTCAAGTACCGCGTTTGCCACTGATTGACTATCACCGGACTGATACCGTGAGATCGACAGTCATGAGTACAATGGGCGCGGGTTGTACCTGTGCATTATTACAATAGAAAAGCCGGCCGGGATGATCGATCATGGAATGGCGGTAGTAGGTAGGTATCCGTGACACCCCGCCTGCATTCTCTTTGCCCAAAAGCCAGATTCGCGGTCCAGGTCAGCAAACACTTTTCCTATCCGGCGTTTAGTGGTGAAGCTATCCCCATATGTCCTCCAAGAAACGGTTTAATGCTAGAGAAACGTCCCGATATGATCACATGCGCCTGGATCTACAGTCCTCTGCTCTTGTCTGGCTTAATTTTTCTTTCCTTGTTACACTTGCCTTGAAACCCCTTGACTGGTCGGTTGATTCGAATTGGAAACCCCAAGGAACGAAGCGAAAAGAAGAATCTATCCAAGAACAACAATATGACAGGAACCGTAGTCGATTTTAATGCGTACTTGTCCTTGATATGATGATATTATTGTTAAATCTGGTGTCCCATGAATATAGCAGAATCGGCTTGAGATCTCAAGGATAGAGCAACAACAGCTTACTGTACGCATTGCAGACAAGACATAGACCAATATTGAGTCGAGCTACATTGCCCAACTTCGAATCATGATCACGATAGTCTGTTGCTTGTTCAAATCTTTGCCTTTGCCACATCTTCGTACTTTTGCGATGAGTTTTTTTTTTTTCCCTGGCGCGTCCACGTATACCAAGCGATAAATATATTAGAGTTGGTATTCGGGTCTCATGTGCGCATGGTCAGATAAGCGCCCTTCTTCCGACCGTCAAGTCTTTGGAGCCAATAACTATGATGTACTTCTGGCATAATTGCTCAAGGTTGAAGCAAAGTCCCAACACGGCGGTTCGTGCTTGTTGTGAGTTTGTGCCTGCAGACGATCGATCTTGGATGTCTTGCGTACTTTTATCATGCTATTTCAAGATATAACTAGTCGATTGCAGGTACGGTAGACGGTTGATGCTCGGCACCGACTTGGAACGATGCGTCGAAACCATGATTAAATGGGCCGTGGTGGAATATGTAAAGGCCTTCGTACACATCATATGCAAGTTGCTTTTCGACGATGCGAATCATGCACGCATCCCGCTGCCGTTATATGTCTGCAGGGTCCTAAAAAGAAAGACAGAAATGAAAAATACGGTGTTTCGAGCCGCATATTCCCTGGATCACCACAGAACGGCCAAAACACGCCAGGTGCTCGTTGTTCAGTTCTTTTGCAGAGTGTGTTGTGTGCTACAATGCCCAGCAAGGAGCAAACTTTGTGAGAACCAAGTCCACGACTTTCACACACAAAGGTCACACAGGAATGCCACCGTACCTGCCACCAAAAGCCACCGCGCACTTTAGCACTCATGTCACGGTCGGTGCCGCGGAAGTATGTCTTGGAAAAAGAAAGCCATAATGGGTTCACCGGCACCGATACGACCGATGGAGATAGATAGAGTGCTGCGCAGACGCAGGGAGCAATCAGTCACATTTTACGATCTCGCAGCATTCGGAAAGCCAATCGGCGTATTTTCCATATCCCAGGCCCCAGGGGCCGCTGTACATGTCCACCCACCGCAGGCATGGCCGGGACGTTAGATATCCACTCTCGTCCGGAGTAGATGAAGTGGGCTGCGCCGCGTCCGTCATGGACTTCCGTGGATGGATCTGCCCATGTCCCCCTAGAGATACTACACAGCAGAGGAGCAGCGGCAGCATTTTTCTTTCTTGTGCTTCTCGTGCCACTGCATGCCGCCAATGACAGGTTGGTCCGTGACACCTTGACAGCGGGCACCGCGATCGAATACAGTATAGTACTTTTGGCCACAATATCTGTCAAACGACGGACTATGCATCTCTGAAAAAGGGTCTCCAAGGCCCCGTAGCCCCTCGATCTTCTAAAAGGAGATGTAAAATAAGCAAATTGTCGATTGCGAGATCATCGTCAAAATCGTATGACATTTTTCAGCGCTTGTTTAGGAAGTTCTCTTTCGTCTAGCAGCTTGTTTTCTGCTTTGCCACAGCCACTGTCTGTACTACTACATTGAGGAGGGAGAAAGAATCTCAGCGGAAAGTTTGTCCTTGGGGTCCACTTCTCTCCCGATCAAGTCAGAGCAAAGGGAGGGTTGGAAACAAAAAATAAAGGGCAAAGGAAAACAGAGTTTGTAGATCGTTGTCCGTGTTAGGTGGTCAGAGTCCCACGGCCTGCGAACATGTTCTCCTCCACAAGCAAGCTTTCCTGGAGAATCCTGGTCTGCGTCGCAGGGTAATCAGTCTGTGGATTGACATTGGTGACATCAAACATGTCCGAAGCGGAGAATTTTCGATAATCACGAGGGCCGAAGTTACTGTCGGTCTAGACTCACGAGTCTGGTGTGGCGATCATCTCAGTATGAATCAGTTTTCTTTAGTACCGAATGACGAGTGCGCGAAAATCTTTTATCTAAGAAGGTAACGCTTAGCAAAAGATGATAGACTCGTGTCTGGCATATGGAGTAGACCAATGTTGCAGCCAGGAACTGTGCAAATACAACACAGGAGATTGGACGGCGGCTGTGCAGACGACTACCTGCGAAGTACCGGCTTTGTAGATATTTTAACATTGTTCAAACGATCGATTGCTTTGCTGCCATCTACTCAGGGCCAACCTGAACGATCTCGACAAATTCATAATGAGCCAAGGCGAATGCGTACACCTATACTCACCACCCCCATAGCCACATGGCAATTTGAAGTCTAAGATTTGACCTCTGGCCTATGAAGCAATGAAGCGAGTGCCTGTTGTACACAGCCGAGACGCTATCCATTGGTGTGCAAATTGGGGACTAATAATGCCTTTTGCAGAGTTTTGTGATACATGGTGCATGTTGGGCCAGCTTGGAGCATCCCTGGGGGCAGGGACTGTAGGGCAGATCGAGGAGGCCCCGGAATCGCAGCGCGACTTTGAGAAGGATTTTGTCGAGAAGATGCGATGAAACGAGGGGATAGAAAAATTCAGATCGGTGCGTAGTCGGCCAATAGTCCTGAAAGGAGAGCACGTGTCGGTCAGCATTCGACTCAGGAACCGGTGATAACCCTGATGGAAACGCACCAACTTGTCAAGTACCTGAAGCTCTGCGAGGGATCCCGGCTTCACATCCGGAAGTCACGGATAGGTCAGGCACTGGTGGCTGCTGGATTACTGGCTGGGGCAAGAGTCGGAGACATAATAATCTGGAGTATACGGGATGTGCCTGGAAGGATACTGGACAGGATTTCCTGGTCGGCACTGGGCAGCGTTGCACGAAAGCACGGATGCTGCTTTTTCTCTTCTTCTTTCTCTTTGGGCATCGGATATAATGGTTCTCTGTAGGCTGTAAGAAATAGTAGCATAATCTCAATTTGATTATGCTGCCTGCATGTGCGCACCGTAGCAAGGGGAGCATGTAGACCCTTGCTTGAGCTCGTATAGTGTTCGCGCATTGTGACTTTTTCCTGATTCAGCTAGGTTAGCTGTTGACTATACTATACTCTACACTGTGTGCGGTTGTGACAGAAATACCTACCAGTGGTACATAGCTTTGTCCAGTAGCCAAGGCTCAAAACTAGAGAGAAAAGAGCAAGAATATGTGCCTGAAATACATCTTTGTTTACCTGGCCTGGGTACTAGGGCGCATTGTGCATTTTCATGTATTTATCATTTATCTATTTTAATAGGTCTTTGTATTTCTCTCGTCGTTGCCCTTCTTCAGTCTTCTCTGGGTGTTGAAAGTCTAGCAGGGATTAATGGCCAGTCGAATGCCGACAAGCGGTCGCCTCACTTTGAGAGACGTGTCGAAAGCCAATGGGCAACGCACTATGCCGAGCATAGCCCAGTGCCAACTCAAAAAACCAGTCACTGGAGGCAGGGCCAACGTTGTCACCCACTATGTGCTACTGCGCAGACATAATCTCCTTTTCTCTTATGCTGCCATGCTCACCCTCGCTTTATAGCCGACTTGACCACCATCATGACACTTGGCTGGTCTAGTCATTCTGTTCTGCCTTGGTCCGCGCTCAATAGAGACTGATATGCCGAGCCCATCCATCTCTGGCTCGATCTGACAAGATTGGTTACTTTTGCCGCGTTTGCTGTCGCTGATCATAACGCCATGACAGCTGGCTAGTCTGCAAGATCTACTACTAACCAATTTGAGTTCGACCCACATTCTCGGCAGACCGTGATGGTGTGCGCCCTTCCTCCAGCGTTGCGCCCAATGAAGCAGTAAACACACATTGATGGAACGCAACATGGGAGGCGGATGAAAGAGGCTGAGAGGAAATCCACGCTGGGTTTTCTAAGGCTGTTTGCTGTTGATATGATAGGATCGGTTCTCCTCATTCATGCCGGTCAATCGTCCAGTCCTACCATGTAAACCGTCCAACTATGTATGATCGTCGATTACTACGCCCAGGATGCCCTTTAAACCTCCGGCCCATGGGCATTCTAGGCCATGCTTTCAGCTGGCGAATTTGATTATGTGCATATGCAACAAAGAAGCGCCAACCCCGTCGGCGGCGACACAATTATTATATGCTGTGTTACCACTGGCAATATTGCCCATCAGAATGGACATGCCAGCATAAGAAACTGACTCTGGAGAAGTCGGTAGCAAAGAAGCAAGCCGTTTTGATCACCAACACTAGTTCAAACGGCTGTCGCTGCTTACAGGTTGCATCATCGTCTTGTTTCTTTACCGGATGAGGTTGGCAGGGTTCTAGTAGTACATAGTGAACGGCCAGGAACAAGACAATGTTCTACTATGTACCAGCAATTCTGACTACGTTCGAATAGTTTTTAGCTCGACAGGTGAATATGGGACAGGTCAAAAAAACGGAAGTTCCGCCAGGGGCAGGTCCGGTGCACTTCTCTCATCCCAGGTCAGATCCTCCGGCAAGTCCAGGCGCGGACTAATGCCGCATGGTTTCTTTCCATGTCGGCAGTATACACCACAAATAAGTTTCAAGGATCCTGAATGCCAGATGAGACGGTGGGAGATCTGCTACTGTTCACCAGAGTCCTGACCTCCCAGCTCGAGATCTGGCGGGCTATTTGTGGAAGTGGAGAAGCATCTTCGGGTGGACCGGGCCCCTCGTTCATTATACGTTGAGTTCCATGATGATGGTGTTCTGGAATTGTGGTTGAAATAATGGCGCGTAAACAGACTGGATTCTGGTCATCTTCTAGAAGGACGCCATGGTTTTGGATCTCTCGGTCAATTCTGGAGGTGTGCGTCTTGGGATCGCAGCATGGGCTCGCCTCTGGTCCATGCATCGTGGCCCAAGGGCTTGTTTATACCTTAGCCCGTAAAGTACCTCATGCTCAGCTCCTGCCCAACCTTAAGCGCGCCAGCACACACACATAATCAACGGCAAACAGTCTGAACATGTCAAACCAAACTAGATTCACACGAACTGTTAGTCGACTATAGCTTCGACCGTTTGAAATAGTCGATCCAAGTCTAAACATATACACAACCGGTCAGGTAGTTTGACGGCCGTCCCGACGAAACAGTCCAAGGATAGCGTGATTTGTTAGATAGGTAGGCAGGCAGGAAAGGCAGTCAAACAGACGACGAGCGACCAGGTTGGTAAATGACCAAGATTGACGGAAACCAATCTAAACACTTTACTCTGGAGATGGGACAAGGTACAAAGTGGTAAATAGTAGTACTACGTAGGAACAGTAATGAATTCCGCAGTTTGGAGACCGTGCTGGGGGCTGCCCTGCGTCATTGACGGATCTCAACTTGCGGGTGCCGCCATCCCTGTTGATCTGCTAGTAATAGCCGTCGCCGCTAATTGTACTGCCTGACCTGTCCACTGGGTGTAAGCAGAATGGAAAGAGAAAGAGAGAATGGAAACAAAGTTCACTGGTAATAGTCATCACAAGGTACTGGTAATCCCGATTCAACTGTACATCCAGCGCACGCACATAGAACAGGCAGAGAGAAACGCCCCCGAGCTAGGAATTTTAGTTGCTATTCGTCTGCAACAACCATGCATATAGTCTTGCATTAGCTTCAGTGAACGCACCCCAGGAAATGGGCATCAGCTATCCTGTTGATATGATGCAGCAGCAGCAGCAGTAGTATTATGGTCCAATGTTAATCTCACACATACTAGAACCTAAGACACCACCCCCCAAGTTTACGAGCCGAGTATGTGCCCCTCGAATTCAGCAGTCAGGGGAATATATCCAAGGTGCTATGAGAGAACAGTGTAAACATGAACAGTCAGTCATGTATTGGACAGAGATAAGAGACAGTAAGACACACAGCCACACAGACAGACATTTGTATCATAATCATAATCAAACACGGAGGAGAAGGACCTTGAAAAAAGAGGGTAGACTGGAAATGGGAAAGCACGAGCTTGCACTATACTATGCGTGCCAATCCAAGACATTCGGTAATCTGATCTATATCGGCACAAGGCAGATTTCTTTCAGTATGTTATGCTGTCCGGACACTGGACGGAATTGAGGGATGGTGTGATGGAGCAAGATCTGTTCCCTTGAGAGCGGCGAGGGCGAATGAGCTGTCGCACGAATTTCGTGACTCTGTATCAGTATGCATGCATGTCCCGGTCGTCTATCAAGATAGCGTCAGTCGCGGTAAGCTTTGCAAAGATGTCGACGCTGTTGCTTGCCTCTTGCCTACCGTTTGCAATAGTACGTGGGTAGGGCAGGGACCAGAGCGGAGGCTATCACGATGACGATGAAACTGGGGGCACCATCCATACCCGTGGGCAAGAAACTGTGGAGGCGGCAATAATTCCATCCTCGTAAGGCTTGAGTGGGCAAAAGCCTCCCGCTCGTCCGCACAGAACCCAGCTGACCCGGCTGCCTAGCCAATTCCAGACCAGAGAATTGATGATTCGGGACCTGATGGGCTCTCCATATCGACTCGACAACCAGACAGACAATGGGGCTGCTGGCCGCGGTGTCAGGTAGTGTATGTATACGAACAGGTATGTAGGTCAGTATGCGAGTTGTATGTATTGTATTATGAAAAGTGCTTAACCTGTCCTGGCGTGATTTTGGCTGCCGGCGCGCCGTTCACTCATCCGTTCGTTCATGGCCTGGGCATTTCCATCAACAAGTACAGAGTATACACGGGTCAGCCTGCAAACCTTGAAACCCTCCATTGGCCGCTGGCGATCGTATCGAGGAAGGGGACCGAGGGAGGGGAAAAAAACACCATCGAGTTGTTTTCCTTGCCTTTACTCGCTGGTTCAAGCGTTGCCGCCCCTTCCTCAGTCTTTGATGTTTCCGCATATGCCCACCCATCATAGGTACTTGACCTAGGCATAGGGTTAAGAGTGGGAGAAGATCTATGGTCTCGTGAAAACCAGCCCGCGGCGGATGAGAGGCCGGGGGTCTTGCAGTAGTTCATCTAAGTAAAGTCAAGTAAAGTAAAGTACGCAAAGACTGACCGTATACGGACGCCGCCCATGGTCACAGCATTTGCATGCCCAACCTACTCCTAGTCGATCTGGTTGTACACACCTTTCTACATCGGTACATGGAAAAGAAAGAAGCGACAAATCAATGCACAGTACAGCCAGCCAGCCAGCCAGCCAGTCAATCACAAGTATCTAAACGACCCAAGGGGGTAACGTCGATTGGGTGCCGGATGGTGGTCTGACTGCGAAGTCGTCCGCGCATTGCCGAATGCCATGTCCTCGACTACCGGTAGGTAAATATCTTACATCTAGTATGTTCTTTCTCGAGCCATTTCTCCAAGCAATACATGAGAAAGTCGAGCCCATCTCACGATTGGAGCTGGCTACCAATGATGATAACTGTCCATATTTCTCATGAATGCCTATGCACAGAATAATGACAACAACAACAGTGATAATAGTAGTAGTCATAATAATACATGAAAACACATTTCCTGTTCAAATGCGTTTCTTGCTAGACCAAAAGTAATGCTAGTGTATCTGTAGTACCTTAGTACGCCTATGCAAGGCCTTGCCGGGATGACATGGCTTCGAGCAGGGGGGGACTATGTAGGTATGTACAGTAGCTTATTAGCTTCTTCTTCTTTTACTTACTAAAATACAGACCTACTGCAGTGTACCGTACCTACTTTACCTACTACTTCGCCCAATCCCAGCCTACCTACCCTACAGCCACGTACTGTGTAATGTTGCTAGTAGCCATACCGACCTTCTGGAGACTCTAAAATGGGCCTAACGACTTTAGATACCCAAGGTACCTGTCCTACAAGTTAATCAACAGACTGCCCAGGCTTGACCCACCCTTGGCCCAGCAGCAGCAAACCCTGGCTGCTGTTTCCGCTGCTAGCTAACTGCCCATCCACTTGATCTGTCAAAGCCTCATCAACACAAGCCGCCCCGATACATAATCCCCATTCATCGCCTCTAGTCCTCGACCTCGAAACATCTCTTGTCTTTTAATTCGATGCTTCATCAAACAGATACAGGCACTTGACAGTACCAAGCTGTACTACTACTACTACCTCCATCGTGCAATTTATTATTCATTTTTTTTTGCTGCACAAGTCATTTTGTCCTGTACCATCACCTCGCTTCCACGTTCGCTCTTCTCTACTCACTTCCTCTCACCCATTGCTTCACCCTTGCTGGATTAGGTGTTGCTCACAACCACCTGCAAATAATATCGTCGATACCCAACGGCTGACCAAAGAGACACGCAACTTATTTCTTGACGCCGCATGAGCCCAGGCAAGGCTGTGTAACACCCACGCTTTTCGGAATAACGCACTCGGCCGTTTACATTCGATCCGCCCTCAACCGTCATCTATCTTCCGCCTCATCTTTGGACATCATCCTCACCAGTCCACCTCCGCACATATAGAGAAATGAGTTTCATAAGCCATCATATTCAAGAACCCATCGACATGCAAATGCTTGGCCACGAGTTAATGCGAAAAGAACAACACATGTCGAGCCTGCAGTTGCAACAGAGCCTAGGCCAACAATCTCCACTACAGCCGGCGTCCAGTCCGGCCATGAGTAGCCTCGACGTGCCGTCGCCGGGTTACGAGTTTCAATTGTCTAGTCTGCCACATGCCGCGCTATCCTTTGATCAGCAAGACATGTTCTCCCGAAGAAAGTCGATTCCTCGCAGTGCCGGTCTCAGCAGCCATGGCAGCCTGCAGAGCCGCCAGACATTCCCCATGGCCCCACAGTCCGTAAGTGGTTATTATGATCATACCTTGCTTGTATACCTATTTAGGTATACAACACAAATCCAGTCACCAGTGCTTACACCGGCAAACAGATCCTCCCTTCCCAGGGCGTCCAGCAGCAGAGGACGCTGTCTCATCAGACCATGTCGTCGCATCAGATGCACCGCACCGCCTCGAATATGTCGACCCAGTCTGCCAGCCCTTTCATGTGCAGCGGACCCGTTACGCCTCCGCCCAAATCGATTCCTGCTGCCCAGCATTACATGAGCAGCAATGAAAGCGCGGCCGCGTATATGGCCGCGATGCATGCATCGCCCGCTCGGCCGAGAGCCCGAACAGCCATGTCCATGAACGCCGGTCTCACCACCGTCGCCGAGTCGAAGCTCCTTGACCCCGAGACCTATTTCGCAAATCTCGAGGGTCTCCAAGATGCTGCCAATGCCTCCTACCTCAGCACGTCCTTGCCCGGTCAGATGCGCTTGTCGGATATGCCGTCTCAATGGCATCCGTCCAGCGTCTCTGTTTGTGGATCAATGACAACTGGCTTGACCCCAGATACGGCGCCAATGACCCGCGAGAACAGCAGCCTGTTTGACAGCCAGTCGGTCGGCGGAGCCATGCACATGATGCAATTGGGCTCGCATCAAGGCACGGATCAATCTCATCTCGGCAGCCCGCGATATGCGGTTACTAGTAGCGGTCAGAACTCACCTTTGAGCAAGCATAACTCGCCGGCCGATGAGGATCTGAACGGCGTGGGCTCTAGTCTTGTCCAACCCTACCTTAGCTCCTATGGACACTCCACCACTGCCGAGGACGGGCCCGTGTCCCAAGCAATGTCCCGCTCTGCCTCAAACGCCAGCGCGGTTAGCACCAAGTCCGCATCGTCACTACGATACCGTGCTAAGGAGACCCTGCACCGCCAGAACCGCAATATTGCTACGCTGAAGCCCAAGCCCGCAGCTGAGCAAAAGTCCACCGACGGCAACTCCGGTAAGAAGGACGGTAAAGCTGTCATCACCAAGGCCAAGTACGTGCGCCCACGCCAACCCAAGGTGTTCTGCGAAAAGTGCAGCGATCACCCTGAGGGCTTCCGCGGTGAACATGAACTCCGCCGGCATCGTGATGCCAAGCATCCGGAACACGGCATGGTCAGGAAGTGGGTTTGTGTCGACCCGGCCACCCGCAACCTGCCCGTGGGTGTCGCTGTCGTCAACCCTCTGGACAAGTGCAAAGCCTGCAAGGCTGCGAAAAAGTATGGTGCTTACTACAACGCTGCTGCCCATCTTCGTCGTACCCACTTCAAGGAGAAGCCATCCCGCGCTAAGAAGGGGGGCAATGGCGCCTCGCGAAGTGACGATGACAAGCGCGGCGGCAAAGGCGGTGGTGACTGGCCTCCCATGGCAGAGCTCAAGAACTGGATGAAGGAGATCTGGGTCAACAAGGATGACTCCAAGGTCGACTCTGACGAGGACAATGATGAAGACAATGGCGTCGAGCACAGCAGTGGTGACATGGAAGTCGACCTTGACAACAACATGAACCAGATGCCTGTCGAGTACCCAATGGCACAGCACACCCCAGGAGGGATCGTGTCAGACATTACCTTTTCCAACATGTATCCCGCCCAGCTTGGTATGAACCACGGAATGGTGCCGCTGTACAGCAGTCAGCAGCTCATTTCCTCCGCCGGTTTCACTGAATACCCAGGCTCGCCCATGGGCCATGCCTATCCCTGGAACGGACACATGCCGCAATATGGTAGCGTTGTCTCCAGCAACGATACCATCACCCCCAGCATGGCCAACTACGGCGAGACTATGAGCAATGTTGGTGATATCCACTACGACGGAATGATGTACTCCCAATGAGTGCCGCCACGTTTCAACCCTCAAGGACCGCTGCAAGATTCTCCCTTGGGTATGTCAAGGCCTCACGATTAAACGAACGACGTTATAACGAAAACTATTTTATAAAGACCAAAAAAACTGCTTTTTCTCTTTTTCCGCAGATTTCGCCATATTTTCTCGACAACACGCAGTTCCGATATCACGATTTGATTTCTCAATTCATACACTTCTGTTCGATCGAGCTCGCTTTTCCTACAATATTTCTAATGTCTTGCTCTTTCACCTTCTGAAGGCGCAGGCTGGGGTCATTGGGGATTACGTTGCTTGAGTCCGGTGCCGACCCTCTTCACCGAATGGTGACTCTTGATGAGCCGTCCTCGGGTCCGGGCTTGGATTATGGGAACATGTATCAACATCCAACGTTTACACACTCAACGATGCTACAGAGCTGGCATTGTTGAACGAGAACAGGCGGACAGATGAACGACGGCTATGAGCAATTAGAATGCTAGTCTCCGCGAGGAGCCTCGGATGGCGATGGGCTCCGAAAGCATTGGTAGCATGTGTGGAGTTTTTTGAGTTTTGCTTTTTGATGCTTTTGATTTTGGTTTGTATCATGACTTATCTACACATTTGCATTGGCATTTACGAAACGGCGCAGGGGATGGGGGTGACATTGGAGTTTGGCCTTTTCAGCACGGCATTTCAGCAGGGTGGGTGGTAGCATGATTGGCTTGAAGTTATCTTGGCTACAATCAAACGGGTAGAATTCAGATTGGGGCCAGGTTGTCTATCTGACTTAGCGCGGAGTTCTTCTTTTCAGGGATTGGACTGGACCGGATCGGGCTGGGTTAATCAGAAAGAAGGAAATCTGGATATGTCTTTACTTGGTTTTTCGTTTCACAGGCATGGACGAGACAAGACGGACCGTTTCTTGTATCTATTTGTTTGGGTAGTTGGATACTCCCCGTCTCGCGGAGTTGTCGTCTCTTCAGGCTATCTTACAACGCTACAGGGCTCTTGACTGAGCAGCAGCAGTAATGAGACTGCCGCAATAGGTAGACTACAATTAAGGTGCGACACGCACACTTGCCAACTCCTAAATGATAGTACTCGTCCCATTTCATGACTTGTGACAAGAACAAGCTCCTGGTAACAGTAGTGAGGGACGCCTTTAATACGTCTGAGTTGACAGCAGCAGACACTCGCGCCCCACTGGTTCGATTGTAGATATACTAGCTACTATAGACGTGGTGACTGGTTTGTTTCTCACCCTGTTTCAACGTGCACAAGGTCGAGTGTGATCATGGCGCCGGCATAGCGTGGATCTTCTCACACAACAGTCGGGCAAGGCGAGGGGCTTCAAAGCAACTCGTGACATATGACGTGAAACTGCCGTCTGCCTGTACGCCCTCCATGCTCAATTCCACGCGAGAAGAGCATGTTGCATCTGTTGCTACCCGAGCAGGACCAGCAGAGCAAGGTGCATCGCATCACACAACCTTGAACGTTGCCGCGTGAGACGTTAAACTTGAGCTGCTACCTTTGGACAGACCAGGCCCGCGGAGCCCCGTTGCGCTGATTCATTTGATCGGCAGATGAATGAGCCTCTTTCTGATCTATAATCTTCTTCTCAAGGCCACCCCAAATGACCCAGCCTCGTCGATGAGCTTGTACATATGGGGGAGATTGAAGGGAGGCCATGGAGAGATATGCGGGCGAATACAGCTTGCCGATCCTCTGTAGCACCGGGTCTTGCAGGGGAGGACAGCCGCATGTCCATACTATTGCGATTAATTGCCGCCCAAGCGCAGCCCCCACGACGTGGGCGGATGGATGGTGTACACAGTATGCAATATATCTGTTGGAGACAGCGGACCGCCAATGAAAGCGAGGTTGTGGGAGCAAACCCCGCGGCCGTGATCAGATATTGCAGGGATATATCTCGCGCTCGGCTCCATCGAATTGGCCTGTAAGACAGACACATAGACATTTTCTTCTCTTCTAGCCGTCAATCGGTGCCCGCTCACAGTATGTGTGTGCATGCGTCACGAGCATATAGAGAGAGATGTACACAATTGGGCCCTGAGGCTGACCCTCCATGATGCATTGCCAGTCTTGGAGAAGGGGGGGGGGGGATGATGTAGAGCCTCGTCTTCTACTCCTCTGGTAGCCAACTCCTCCGGATGTTTGCCCTTCGTGGTTTGGCACTCGACATGCTCCGGGCTACGGAATTGAGCATTCAAGAGATGACGAGTCAACCCCGATTGATCAGCCTTGACGAATTTTAGGTGAGTTAGCAAATAGCCACCTTTGCGTGATGCATTGTAAACATCGACTTGACTACATCGGTAGGTAGGGTGATTGGGTGGGTGCTGAGCATGTGTCTGAGTGAGTAAAGGGAAGAGAGGCAGACACATGCACACATAGAGAGAGAAGGGGGGAGATTGCCTGTTACAACTGCAGTAAAACCCGTTGGTTTTACTCACGGGAAGCTACCTTGTACGTGCTAGGTATGTCTGGATGAGGCACGGCTCAAGCTTATCGATCCTAAATGTGCTGCAGTGCTACATACCTGCGTGAGTACTGTCAACTTCAATGGGCAATCAGAACAGTGAAGTTTGTCAGATGATGACCCAAAAACCGCGTTATCCTCCATAACGTCCAGCCTCGTTCGGTATCTTACACACTGCAGCAGGCTGCTATGTAATCTGCATCTCCGACCTATATAGTACTAGGATCCCCAATCTAGTGAGAATAGTTGCCTATCATTCAATAAATGCAACCATTTTGGGTCGTACGACAGATATAATATCCACCAGGTGAAACAATTGTCGATTGGTCTGCGCCACTGCAAAAGACCATAAGCAGTAAAGTGGCCGGTGTTTCCTGCGTGACCGTTCGTTGAACAAGTCCCGTCCGCGCCGCCACTTCGGCCCACGGTTGCTCAGCATCATGTCGAGCCGAGCGGCGAGGGGCCGTGTCCTTCTTCTATCTTTAGCCTTGTTGAAGGAAACCCGATACTTGTAACGGAAAGACGGTCTCACCAGGTTTGCTGCGGCGAGTCCTGAATCAAATTTGACCGCCTAGCTTTTCAGTATCGTCATTTACCTAGCTGGATGGATTATCTGATTTGCAAAGCACAGCAGTCCAAGAAGTGGTGGGCTTTTGATGGATTTCCCGCCGGGAAGACCTCCTCAGCAACGTAACATGGGGGCCATGTATCACCGACCTGGTTGTTCGAATTCTGATGGTGACACCTTTCTTGTTCCCTTAGAACGTGGAAAGGGTAACAAGGCTGCACGATGGATTTGTTGGATGTATTGACTGCTGGTGGAAGGTTCCCAGCGTTTCCGTGTTGTGCATATCTTGTGCGGTCAGGGTTTGAAGGCTGAAAATAGATATCGGCAGGGGGTTTTCCTCAGGACCATACCGCAGATAAAGACTCTAACAAGGCTTTGGGATCCGTCTCCTTGACCGTCGACCACCTATCCTTTGCCACAATCACTTATAGATTGGATAGTGCCTTCGATTTGCTGTTACATACCCACTGTGAATCTTTCAAGTATTTTATCAAAAGCAGAAATGCCGTAATGGGCTCATACGTCTCTGTCCCAATCTGCAAGTCGCAGTACAATGTGACAATCGATTGCAACCTTACTACTTACAACAGTAGCAGCAGTTCTAATGGGACTCTGGTTTTCAAGTCCATTGGAGGCGCTGAGAAAGGACATGTTGAACCAGATCCGGATATTGCAGGCATTGGGGTTGGTAACCCTTTACATGCTCCGTCGGCCTCTGCTAACTGATCAAGATACTCGGCGTCTTTGTTGGGGTCACGGCATTTGCCATGCTGATCAGCATCGCTGATGTATTGCGCCAAATCCAAAAAACCTTCAAGTGGAAGCGCATGTCGCCCAAAGAGTACGTGTTGATCCTATCGGACAGATACTTCTGTGCTAAACGACATTTTTCCCCATGTAATAGGAGAACATTGTTGCCGCCCAAGAAACGCACCTTGACCGATATCTTCGAGGCTCTGCTCCAGTCCTGCAGTGACCAGCAAATCTTTACTGGTGCCGCCTACGCTCTCACTCTGCGATACTGGAGAGGCTGTTCAATAACAGCATACCACTATAATATCGTCGCTAATCTTATGCTTCTCACCTGCGCCACGCATCTGATGAGTGTAACCATTGTACGTGAGCCATTGCGCCAGGTGATATGGGTACACCGTCGGCGATTTCTACTGATTAAGTAACAGATTCGCAACTACTGGAAGTTTCCTCTGTTGGCCCTCGCTCGGGTTCTTTGCGTGTCTGGAGTCTTCGTTCTTACTGGAGTTCTAATGTCGAACCAAAATGCCCAGAGCAGCGCGCCATTTCCTACTGGCGTACCATCCGAGGATACCATTGAGAATGGCTCAGCAATGTATTTGGCGGCTGCTTGTTTCCAAAGCGAGGACTCGCACCTTACAGACATCTTTCGGGATTCAACCTCGAGTCCAGATAAGTTCTTCAATGGTGCACTCTGGCAGAGCACACCAAGGAATTATATCCAAGGCTGGCGCTGGTATCTCGTGACTCTGCTCTTTTATGGAGCTGCCATCATTGCCGAGTTCATTCGATTCTGCCGTCGGGGCCAAAAGAGACCAGGGTGGAGAAAGAACCTCGCCGACAAGCTAGGTCCGTATATCCATACCGGCACACATCGTCGGCTGCTCATCAAGTGGATATTCTTAATCTACCTCATCGGTGGAATCGGCATTAGCTGTGCCACGGTGGTCTTTTCAACGCAATACATCTACGGCCTTCGTTCCTACGTGGACAGATCTGGCTGGCTCGAAGTCGAATCTAACAATGGACAAAATCCTGAGAATGACGCAACCTCTTTCGGCCAATTGGTCCCCATCTTCCTCAGCGCTCTAGTCTTTTTCACATTCTTACAGACAATAAGTGGTAGGTTTTTTCACTTCATTGTGTTTCTTGCTCTCATTTTCTGATTGCGCATAATTTGTTAGAAAAATGGACGGATCACAAGAATCGCAAACACGGAGACGAAGAAATAGCCGATCAGACTGGAAACATTCACTTTTTGGACCCTTCGCATTACGACCTCATCAATCAGATGCCAACCGAGACCAAACCCACAGCGACCTATGGTGTTTCGACCGTGTCCTCAGGACCCGGGAAAACAAAACCCAAGCCGACTGGACCACCTATGAAACTTCACAATACAGTCTCATCTGCCAATGTCACGGCTCCAGGTCTCCAGAAGCCAGTAGGAGAACCTTTAATGTCTCACAGCAGCGTACCTGCGACGAGTCCAGAGGCACAATCGCTCTTAGAAACGAACCCGCATGCGTCCAACCATGAGGAACTGTACATTGCAGATCAGGAAGCCTCTGGACCACGAACGGAATCGAGAAATGCCACACATGGCTCCGACCATGACTACGAAGTCGGTTTGGCCGCTGCCCTGGCCTTCTCACCCTTTTCGCCTACTCCATCTCATGGTGGTGCAACGCCATAGTTGGCTCATGCGCATTGGCCGCGCCGGAGCGCTCTTACAAGGGATCTCCGAGTTTTGACAAGGGGATCTAAACGCAACTTCAAATAAATATGATGAAGCGGCCCAGAACGGCTCGGATAGGAAGAAAAAATAGTCGCCTAATCACCTATCAAAGATGACATGGAATGATACAGCCCAACGAGAGTAATAACATGAGGCTACATGAGGTGGGAAGTATTTAAATTTAGTCGCGAATATGGGGCGCTTCTGAGGACTGTTATTTTAGTATTTCATATGTTAATTCGTTCTGCTTCAAAGCACACAAGTCTCGAGTCGATGTCATATGTTCGCACCTAGGAAGTAACACAAGGAGCGACCCCGGACAGTTTGGTCCCTGATTTCCATAGCTCCTCGGCATTGTAATACGGCTAGTTGCTGTATGTAGATCTATGATTATTGACTAGGACACCTGCAGAAAATTGGAGAAAGGAAAATCATTTATGGGCCCTGACTTGACAGGCGATATTCGTATGATAGACATCCCGAGTCAGCATCGGCTTGTAGCCAAGATGGGCATTGAACCCTTGCCCCTAATTTGAGGACTATTCAAGAAACTTGCAGAGTCAGAAGCTGGTAATCACACGTCTATTCATATCACTGGTCAAGACACATGTGTAAGATTACTTTCGGCAGACGTGGCAATGCATAGCCTGCCGGTATGCTGCATACCTACACTAGAGGTCTACCTGTTACCGGCTACCTCCCTACCTGCCTTTTTTTCTAGTATCGAACCGTGATTCTGGTATTGCGCTAAAAGCTGCGGTTAGTGGCCATGATTCAAAACGGTGGCGTCTTCTCGGTTATAGGGTGGAGGGGAATAGGAGGTCGCAATAGAGGCATCCGCGCGCCAAGAGCAGCTGGGTTCGCAGTCTTGGCGTCTATTCTTTGGGAGAAAACATAGACGCCTGGAGTAAAAATGCAACCAAAGCAGCCAATCATGAGTGATCACCGATCCCGACCCTACAATAGCATAGGGCAGACCTCTCACCCTCCATCGAGCTTAATAGCCTGAACTCTAATCAGCTGTTCCGCCACTACAACTGACTCGTGTTGCATTTGTTCGAGGTGGTCTGAATGGGATATGGTGTCGTGCTTTGGCAGGAAATGAAAGACATCTCAGGCACAATCCGGCACACTACATATGTCAGGTCTTGATTACTTAACGACGTGCCCAGTCACATACCGACAGTCTCGGATGCCGTCATCCGCGATGTAGAGTACCTACTAGATAGCCAGGTTTTACTTCACCTCAGCTTCGGACATTGGAGTATGAAACAACATGTACTGTGACCTAACTATGGAGGCGTTGAACAAGTCTTGTCAAGAAAGGGCAATATTCTTTTGCACGACCGAAACGATCACTTATCCTCTATACATGGACCAGCCCTGCAAACTGCCCTGCCGAAAACTCCACCCCCAATTGAGTCCAATCAATCACATGAGACTGATGTCCAGGATTTCTTCTAGAAAGCTTCCCCGAAGTCTCTCTCTCTCTCTGAACACCGGTTTGTGACAAGCCCGTGCTTCCCCAGGTCCTCTTGGCGCCTCGGGGCATCCAGCGAATGGCGTGGCGTTAAGGTTCTCGGAGACTCGGTTGGCCGGCAGTGTGACGTTCAATGCGGCCGGTTTGCTGCCAGAGCTGCTATTCAAGCCGATTTTAGAGTTTGACCGCGTCATGCAGCCCCAGATATGAGGGCTCAAGGGCTCGAGACGGCGGCGGGCGCTTTCAACCCTCGTACCCGCACTTGATATTATTCTTATTCTTATGCTAGGGGAGCTGTCTTCCTTTACCCCATTCTACGGTTCGCCGCCGTTTCATTTCTATGTCGTTAGCAAAGAGCATATTTCTCTCGCTCCCTCGCTAGCACCTCAGACACAATGTTGATGGCAACGGTCTCCTTCATCACCACGGACTGCCTGCAAACATGTCGCCGTCACGAGGAGCGTTCAATCCAGATCCGGAAGACTGGAGCACTCTGCTCGCCGTGACGGCCTTTCTGTCCATTGCGCTGTATAATTTCTTCGAGCTCAACACCATCATATACACGACATTCAAGCGCCGCTCTGGACTATACTTTTGGAGCTTCTTGATATCGACAAACGGCGTCGCCCCATATGCCATCGGTTTCCTGCTCAAGGATCTCGACCTGTCGCCCAGCGTCTATATTGATATATCGCTCATCATTGTTGGCTGGGTGTGCATGGTCACGGGCCAATCATTTGTTCTCTACTCGAGATTACACCTCGTGATGCGAGAACGGGAGAAGCTGCGGCTTGTACTGATCATGATCATCGTTAATGGCTTTGTCTGCCACGTCCCCGCCACGATCCTCGTGTATGGTGCCAATTCGGCGCACCCGGACAAGTGGCTCAAGCCCTACAACATCTTTGAGAAGATCGAGGTGACGCTCTTCTTTATCCAGGAAACCATTCTTTCTGGTATATATATCTACCAGACGCTCGGTTTCTTCCGGCTCGAATCGGCGCTGCACGGCAAGGCAGCCACGAAGCTCATGATACATCTGATTTGGATAAACGTTCTCATAATCATTCTGGATTCGAGCATAATTTCGCTCGAATTTGCCAACTTTTACAACATGCAGACGGCGGTCAAGGGACTCGTCTACAGCATCAAGCTCAAGCTCGAGTTCAAGGTCCTCAACGACCTGATTGAGTTGACAAAAGCCGGCTCGACCCTCAACGAATTCCCCTCGGCAACTTGCGGGAGTCATCATTGTTATTGTGCTCATGGCGGACGTCACGATGGGCTTCAAGGGATCGCGGCAAACGGCATGGTGCCGGGCGGGATTATCGGGGACCACGGCGACTGCGGCGGCGGCGATGACAGCGGCGGAGGAATTTACGACGGCACAGACCCGCGAAGCACAACAGTCGACTTTGAAACGTTTAACGAGACCATGATGAGCCGGATGCGCGACGGCGCCAAGAGCGAGCGGGCCGAGAGCGCATACGAGGTGCGCATCTTTTCAGACGGCGGCGGCGCGGGCGGCGAAACGGCTGGAGGCGGAGGTGAGCATGGGAACAATGCGCCTCCCGAGGGCGGCATTACCGTGCGTACCGAGACCGAAGTCTGTACAACTCGTCTGGACGACTGGGAAAACATGGAGTGGCCAGGGCTGGAGGAGGCCATAGCACACGCAAGCCGGCCGGTCACCCGGGCTGACGTGTCGCGTCGGCAGTCGTCCGAGATCGACTTTGCCAATAAGCAGGCCTAGGTCTTCCCGGCCGGGCGGGATAGCATTGAATTTGTATTCAACGGTTTGAATCCATCCAGTGTGGCGTACAGCATAGCGAATGAACTGTGCAGTTACGATTTTCCACGTGCCAGCATTTTTACGTTCACGTCAAAAACGTGCAATCGTCAAGTACGACAGCATCCTGGGACAGGCGCATCACAGTCCTCTCCGTCCGTGCCTATGAACCTGGAAGTCGGTCTAGTACGATGCTTCGAAATAGACTCCAACTAACCACCGCCATCCCTCGCTCAAGTATATACTCCATTCGTCTGTTAACAAAAAGCAAAACGGTTTGTGTAGGCCCTAGGGAAAGATATGATGATTGAGATATAGCATGTGAGCAGATGGAGATATGACTGAGTACTACCTGAGGTATTTTGTTTCATTGATGATTGGTGCTAATACCAGGTACGAGACAACTACCGAGCCGCTTGTGCAGGGGGGTTAGCAGCCAGCCAGCCAGCCAGCCAGTTACCAACCAACATTACCTGGCCATTTTGTCTGCCAGGTTTTTTTTCTTTCTTTTCCTCGTTTTCGGCTCCGACACCCCTGAAAACCGTCGACATCATCTTTTGCGGAAGAGGCTGATGCTGTATTGAAGCATAAAAACATGCTTTATTCCCATCACACCTTGATTTCGGTTAGGTGAGGGGCTCTGGCTTCCAGGCTGCTCCAAATTGAAACGATCGTCAATTACCTACCACATGTACATTATCCAGGTACTGGCCTCAACCAAGAATCAAAAGTCGGTCAATTGATGGACAATTCTTGCGCTCGAGTGTTGTCCCGCGCCGCATGCTTCAAAGCATACAATCAGGGCCCTGCCCCAAGAGCATTGGGGGCATATCTGATGCTTGAATAAACTTTACCAACACTTGCAGAATTGTTATCTCTGCACAGGTCTTGAACGACGAGCATTCTTCGTATCTAATGGCTTCAGCGACAGGCGACGGGGCCCCTCTGGCTCCACCTCCTCCTCCTCCTCACTATCAGCAGGCGCCCGTGTACCAAACACCAGATTGGGAAGCCCACACGAGGTCGCCGCGGCATTCGTTCCTCTCTCGCTTCCTCCCCTCGGCTGCAGCAGCTACACTCCTCGCACGCGGGCGGGATGAGAACCACACAGCAGGACACCATGATCTCGAGGCTTCCACAAAAGAAGCAAATGCTCCTGGTGCACAGGGAAATGGAAATGGAGCTGCTCCACGATCTGTCGAATCCACCCTACCCGCCGCCGCAGCCGCAAGCACCGGTGCAATGACCGGCCAATCCCCGTCGATGCGACAACGGCTGGACAGCATATTACCCCCCCACCGAACCTATTTCGGGCGCTCGCGCCGCTTCATCCTCCTCTACGTCCTGCTGCCGCTCGCCATACTACTATTCATCATCTTGCCCCTCGCCATCGGCCTCGGTGTCGGCCTATCTCGTCGCAATGGCGTTGATTCGTCAAGCCTGCCTCTCCCCTCCAACACGGCGACGTTCACGGGCGATTTGACTTTTTACGACCCCGGACTGGGAGCCTGCGGAGTGACTTCAACGTCAAACGACGACATTGTTTCGGTCAGCCACATCATCTTTGATGCGGCGAGCACCGGCAGCAACCCCAATGCCAATCGCTTGTGCGGCCAGAAGATACGCATCGAGCGGGCAAATGGGAGTGGCGGCAACAACAGTGTAGATGTCACCGTTGTGGATCGCTGCACAGGTTGTGCGGCGGCCGATCTTGACGTGACACTCGCAGTCTTTACGCAGTTGGCGCAAGAGGAGGAGGGCAGAGTGCAGATGAGCTGGGCTTGGCTGAGCTGATTGCAGAGAAGCTACAAATCTCAAAGCAGTGGCTAGGCGTTTCCTCTGAAGCCCGAGTTGATGACTTTTTTGTTTGCTCGTCTTTATTATGATGATACCCTGTAACGCGAAGCCTTGGGCCAAGAAAGACATGTTTTTAATCTCGCTGAATAGCAATATAGCAAATAAAGCCGCCCATGGACGAAGTTTCAAAGTCAACCTAGGATTATTGAAAATGGACGTGAGGTGAGGCTTGACCACAGAACATTGGTGACCATGGCAATGACTATCGTCCGTATCTTTCTCTGACATACTGCTTTCGGTCTGTTGGTGCTCGAACCTGATTCGTCATCAAGGCCAAACCGCCAGAACCTAATGCACTATAGACGGACCAGTAATTGACTTCTCGATAGCAAAGAGAATGTATACCCATCAACAATACAAAGGCAGAAAAGTAGAAACACTCCCCACATCACTCAATCTAGCACATCCATTTACAACTGCCAAGTAATTCTTGACTCGAGAACAGGATCTCGCTCGATTTACCTTGTCCCCGACGAATTCGAACGATGGTATGGTCCTCGTTGTCAAAACTTTCAATGGGACGCCGCAATGAAGGAGCTCGTGCAAACAAATTATCAAGTATGAAACTGGTTCAACTCAAGTGCTCAAACAACGTGTTAGCTTCATCGTATACGTTTGTCAGACAGAGCCCATGATGATGGTCAACCTTTTATGTCGCGCAGCGTCGGTCTGTTCCAGTGTTCTGGCTCACCTCGTCGGTTCTCGGTTGGCAAAAAACAGACATTTACGTCACGGAAGCTACCGATATCCATTCGAGTTTTCAGAATCTCTTGGCCTCGTGTAAACAACACAGCCTAGTTATTTCCAAGGTGCTGCGCGTGCCAATCCTTTAGGCCTGCCAGAAAACCTTAAAAAAAATCTTGACGGTCGCATGCAAAGTGGCTCATCATCTATCTGGGTACACAGTCGTGCTTGGCCGCAAGTTTTACGACATGGGATAGATAATATAGAAATCCATGCAATCCGGCTTGGCGCTGAGTCAAGAACAGTACTGATTATGTCTGACCTCGTCGTCGCATTTCCAGCTCCCACTTTCCAAAATCGGCGTCTTGGCAGGCCTACATTGGGCGGCGGCCGTTCCTTAGATGAGATCATTTGGTTTCCTCAATCCTAGACCTTTTGTGCTTGCGTGCTTCGGAGGTAGCATCGTTTCCCTCTGGGCGCTGTATGCCAAGCTCACGCCAATCTTCCCGTACCTTGCAGGGCATTCACATTTCCCTAAAACGATCAGGTATCCACTCTATCATACACTATAATGTCGTCCACTATAAATTGCTCGCCGCTCCGTCTCTGGCCAAATTCTCGTGTAAGTGAGCCATTGCATGATAGACTCGTCTTTTTCCATTATTCTTTCTTGATAATTTTCCAACAAGATGCGGTCTGCTGTATTCGTTTCCACTCTCATAGGTGCGGCATTGGCCGAGCGCCCTTTCCTGAACGAGCCTGACACTGGGTGAGTAGTTGTTGTATTTCAAGGCTGGTGATTAGAAACCAACAGGACTGACCAACATGAAAGAATTGAAGATGTCTTTGGTGACACGCCCGACGGAGAACTGATCCCACTGGACGGCATTGTTGGTCTTCCAGATTTCGACTGGGCCGCACGAAAGGCAATGCCCATTGCAAATTACAGCTATTACCGTAATGGCGCTGGAGGCGAATGGTCATACCGCAACAATCTAGAGATCCACAACAAGTATCCCTTGAGGCCAAAGATGATGGTGGATATCCTGGATATCGAGTCAACTCTGCCGTAAGTCAGATTCTTGTCATAAACACATGTCTTGGGATCCCGCTGATACCTTGCAAAGAACCACCATCCTGGGCTACAACGTGTCTGCGCCGTTTTTCATCTCTCCGTGCTCTAGGGGAGCGTATGGTAACCCAGAGGGTGCTGAGAGAGGCTTGATCGAGGGCGCTGCAGCCAAGAACATTCTCTACATGGTAAGTCGAACCACGGTATTTTGTGAACGGCAAGTTTGACTTTTACTGACACACTCTCAAGGCCGCCTTCTATGCCAACCTACCCATCGAGGAGATTGGCGAGATCGCAGCAGATAACCAGACCTTCTTCCGCCAAGTGTACCTGGACCAGAACGACACGACCACGCAAAGTGTTTTTGATAGCGCCGCTGCCGCTGGTGCAAAGGCCATCATATACACTGTTGACAGCGCCGCCAACGGCGTTCGCCACCGCGCCGCACGCTATGGTGTCGGCTCGGCAGATACCGCCTACTCATACATTACCGTACGTGACATGGACCTTTTACAGTCTTTCTGGAAATCATGGCTCTTGACTAAACATTTTTGTTCTCTTTAGTGGGACGAGTATGCCCGCCTCAAGACCTTGACCGATCTCCCCATTATCATCAAGGGCCTACAGACCGTCGAGGACGTACAAGAGGCCGTCGCCCGAGGCGCCGATGCAGTGTACCTGTCGAACCACGGAGGGCGGCAGACGGACGGCGTGCGCTCGCCTCTCGAGGTCGCCATCGAGATCCACAACCAGGCCCCCGAGCTGTTCTCGCAGATTGAGATCTACGCCGACGGCGGTATTCGGTACGGCACCGACGTGCTCCGGCTCCTATCCCTCGGTATCCGCGCCGTTGGACTCGGCCGGCCCTTCATGTATGCCAACGTCTACGGGCGCGAGGGTGTCGAAAAGGCCATTGACCTCCTGCGCTCCGAGCTTGCATGGGATGCCGCCAATAATGGCGTGACAGACCTGAGAAACGTTAGCTCTTCTATCGTGAGTTACGGCCCCTTTCTAAATTTGTGTTTCTGTGTCCAAGTCTGACAAGAATATCGTCTAGGTTCAATGGTCATAAGATCCCAGGGGGGAATCATGGCTACCGTGTGTTACTTCTTTGTATATTTTTCTCTCTGCTTGGTGCTCGGAACCTTATTCTTACAGCGGAAGCGCGTGTGTTGAGCCAGAGCGAGCATTTCTTGTTATTATTAGACCTGATATCAGAAGTATTTCCTTTTCTCCTCGCATGTGCTCAGTCCTATGCACATGCGGCGTTATCTTCTACAACCTGACCATTCGTACCGCGGGCTTTGAGATTCTAAATGCGTGAAAGAAATCTTCTTTTAATGGTTTCAAGGTCGTCCCCGTTGCCGCACATGGGGATTGCACTATTACTGTGTGGTCGGTTTGGTGATTTTCCCAGACACGAGGGGCATTTCTTAGCATGAGCGATATTTACTGAATAGGTGAATATCATGCTTGAGAGATAAGAGTCATGTTGGATCGATATTAATCAACTTATATAAAAAGGGATTCAAGGACGGTATCACTGCGCTGCGATACCCGCGCCCGACCTCTATTGCGTCATTCTCCTCTCCCGTCCCCGTGGGGTCTCACAAGGGCGGAATTACAGCCCGTATATTGGCACCTATAGTTAGCCTAGGCTTGCCCCGCGCCCCAACGGCCGCTGCGGTGCCCTATTCTCTGCGCTCTAAACCTACGATATCGCGCACTTTATCCATTTTCATACACCTAGGTAAACTACTGCCGCTAAACATTGCCTCTTTCGAGTATATAGGCAAGTAGCCAAACATGAAGCCCGCTCATAACGGACATCAATTCCAGCCAATACCACCAAGACTTTGACTCTGCTCCTCATCACACTGTAGCACATTTGACTAAATTGCGCCTGATATAAATATGTCATGGTTCCATGGTCTACTAAATGCAGCGATCAAGTATTATGTCTATGGTTGTCTCCCAGCATTTCCAATTCCACCATGATATCGAACAAATTGGCCATTGGTACCCATTCACTCGGTCAGCATGATTCTCATTCATTGGACCAGAAGATAAAAAGTGCAGCTAGACACGGCTTTTCTGGCGTTGAAGTGGTATACGGCGACCTCGAAACATATGCACAAGCCTGCGGTATTGCATTGACGGCCGCCGCAAAAGCTATACGCCAGCTGTGTCTAGAACACAATGTCGCCATCATATCGCTGGCACCGTTTGAAAACTTTGAGGGCGACAAGAGTCCGCTCAGACAACGGCTGAGCAAAGCGCAGCACTGGCTCGACATTGCACGCACATTGGGAGCCGAGTATCTGCAGGTACCGGCTCAATTCACCGTCGACTGTGACGGCGACGAGGACGTTATTGCATCCGACCTGCAGCAACTGTCCGACCTGGGTAGTGCGAAACAACCCGTGATCTCTATTGCTTATGAGCCCATGTCATGGTCGACGCATGTTTCCACCTGGCAGACAACCCTTCGCATCATTAAAAAGGTTGACCGCGCCAACTTTGGGCTGTGTCTTGACAGCTTCCACATCCTCACCAAGATATGGGGGAATAACCGCGATGCCTCCGGCAAGTATCCCAACGCGGATGCTAGGCTAGCAACTTCACTCGCAAGCTTCAAGAGGGATTTCCCGCTTGAAAAGTTGTTTTACGTGCAGATGTCCGACGGCGAGAGATTCGATCCTCCGTTTTCGCGGGAGCACCCATGGTTTCTCGAAGGCGAAGCGGCAGAGTTTACTTGGTCAAAGCATGCCCGGCCATTCCCCGGAGAGAAAGACTACGGCGCATACCTGCCGGTAGGAGAGTTTCTCAAGGCGTGTGTGGTGGAGAAGAAGTTCAGAGGCTGGGTGAGCATGGAAATCTTTGATCGAAGGATGCGCGACGGTCAATACTCGATAGAGGATGCCGCTATGAGGGCAAAAAGGTCGTGGGAGTATCTTCTGCGCCAAGTTTCACCACCACAGAAACTATAAAACAAAGTTATAACGAAATGGACACAAATTATTAGACTTACCCGAGTGCACCAGCAGGAGAGGAAGAAAGTATGCTATTGCCGGCTGATCCAGTCGTGAAATGGGGGTTCTAGGCGAAATAATAGACTGCGTAGCATGACAAAGGGACAGCTGATGAGAAGAGAAAGAGAGGACGTCTTGAGACATTGAGCTCTATCTAGGACAATAGTATCCTAACCGTTGCTCCCAGCACATGACGATTTTCTTATGAGAGAAGATTGCAACACGCCCAATTGATGGTTCAGACTCTATTCTTGTCTCGCGCGCCTGATCAGTCACATGCGCTGAAGAGGTCCATTACACGGCCTAATTTGCCAGAGATTTCAAAGTCGTCGCTTAGCAGAACCGGGTTTTCCGGCTTCCAAGGTCCAGGCAAGAAGGTAACCGACCTCGGTGCCCCGAAGAGTAGTATGTGCAACAGTCATGCTCGTCGGCTTGAGCAGGGTCCATGTTTCCAACTTTTACCTGGCGCGAGAGCAGAACCTACCGGCTATTTTGAACCAGTGGAGTCATCGCAACGATGACACCGCTATTCTTGGAGGACTCGCAATCCTCCAAGCAGATGTAACAGGAATGAAGGTTATTTGACAAGGTTGGGGCTCTTGAGTGGGATCAAAGGGTAAAAGAACGTCAATGCTGGAGGGTAGACCCAGTCTCAGAAATGGCCACCCATTTTTCCCATTCTTGTTATCTGGGGCCTAGAAGCAACTGTGGATAGTCCAATGGTTGAGCCCGAGCGTGTCCGAAGTCTGAGCCCATTAACTCCGGAAGAGACGACGGTCGATGTTCACCACTACTACGCAAGGACGGATTGTGGGCGGGACGTCCGACATCAAATTGGAGAGAGCAAATAGTGGACGCGTTGTGCGAGACGAGCCAAGACCCGAGAGACCACGAGGCCTTCTGGGTTGACACTGTCCAACGAGTCACTGATTTAGAAATGAAAAGATGAGAATGTTTTAGTGTCTTGTTTGAAGTCCACATGTAGTAATCAGCAGGCGATGTGCTATTCAAAGCACAATAGTAGTTTGGAGGTAACGCTACTGCAAGACCCCGAGCGGTAGCCAATGTCGACCGACACTAAGGTAGAATAACAACTGCGTACTACATAAAACCCGACGAACCCTGGCGTCAATCATACACGACTGACTGATCAGATCGGTGCGTATTGGCAGGCCTGTGCATCATCAATGTTCGACCCGCTTGGCAAAGTCTTTCCTACTACTACTACCATGAATAAACGAACATTGTTGGATTGACTGGGGATTGGGGAGGGGGTCCCCAAGTCTCGCGCGCATCCGCAGATCTGTAATCGACCTTGGCCAAAGAAGATCAATGCCCATCATTGTCGAACCCTTTCCCCGGCAATTGAGTCGCCAGTGAGTTCCAAGAGTGTGGAGCCGTCGTCTTTTAATAGCCCGCTGGCCAGTCTCTTGCGCGATTCTCTTCCCCACACTGTAACCAGTGCCGGGGTCTGCGGTGTTTTCAGTGTCGCTGCTGAAACGCGACAACTCCAAGCGGCGGGCCTGGTGATTGGCTGCCCGTCACCGCGAGCGCCAAGCGACGTCGTCAGATCTTGTCGCAAGTCAGAACTCTTACCCAGGAAGAGCCTCAATCCATTGGCAGCCGTGCCAAGACTTTGAATTGTGGATGACGGCCGTAGTATAGTGACTCCAATTTAGCACACTTCTACCTACATACATACCCACCTCGTTTTGTTCAATGGCACCTTATACTACCATAATGCTGCTTGATGCCTGTCCGTCCCATGTCTGTATGGGTTTGGGCGTTGTTTGACCAAAAGTTCGAGAACAGACGACATCTGCCACCAATGAGAAGTAGCTCGAGCCTTTGTCCATGAGCGTTTATCGACACTTGACGCGCGAAAGAAGAATAGACTTGCGTCTTTGCTGGTGCAAGACGAAACACTCTTGCCACCGCGAAATACTGAAACCTGTCAGATGGAGTGCGTACTCAACCGACATGGTGGTATTCCCGCCATGCACTTGGATAATCGTCCGGTCTCCATTCTATCTATGGTAACGGCACTTGGCGCGCTGCTCACCTCCAAGAATGCCCGACTGCTGAACATGTCGTCGTCGTCGTCGTCTATAAGAACTGAGGAACCGAACCACAATGGTGTGTTCTTTTCTACTTCATTCTCATCATCACAATCATCAGTCGACAAGATTCTCTAGAGTTGATCTCGTTTCATTCTCTGTATATCGCTTTTCCATTCTTCGTCGCTGGTCCGACTTCTTTTCCACTATACAAACAACAAGCTTGTTTTTAAACTTTTTTATATACACTTTCTTCGTTACCTTCTTCTCCAGAAGTTCCAAAAAAAAAAATTGCAAAAATGCAGCTCACCAACATCTTCGTCTCTCTCGTCCTCGCCACTGCCGTCACGGCAAAGGGCCACAAGAATGGCACTGCCAGCGTCAAGTCCCAGTGCGCCCAGGTAGCCAAGCTCACCAGCCAGGCCGAGCTCGCCACCAACGACACCAGGCTGGCCGACAAGTTTGACAACAACCAGACGGCCATTGACGCCTTCAAGGCAAAGGTCGCCGACAAGCAGACCCAGCTCGACACCCTGTCGGCCAACAGCACCCTTATGGAGAGCTGTTCCGTCATTGCCGCCCACGAGGACGCTCTCGACTCTTGCGACAAGATCCAGAGCTGGGAGAAGAACATTGCCACCGCTGCCAACGACACCAAGCTGACTGACAAGTTTGATGGCAACACCACCAAGGTCGACGCCTTCAAGGCCAAGGCCAGCGACCAGGCCACCAAGCTCGCTGCCCTGACCTCCAACACCACCTTGACCGACTTTTGCTCTGTCCAGTCCACTCTCTCCGACTGCAAGACCATGTCCAAGTTGCAAAAGGAAGTTGCTTTTGCCAGCAACGCTACTGCTCTGTCTGCCAAGTTTGATGGTATGTCATTGAATGAGATTGATTCCTGACTTGTAAGGTATACATGTACTGACCTCACATCTTTTCTTAGGCAACCAAACCAAGATTGACAAGTACACTGCCAAGGCCGCCAAGGTCCAGGCCAAGCTCGATGCTCTCATGTCCAACTCGACCTTGATGAGCACTTGCTCGTCCTTGACTCAAGGTATGTTGAAACAATTATCAAAACAGCCTTGGTTAAAGAAGAAATGACTAACAAACCCTCCCAGCTTCCACTGATGGAACCACCACCTCTGAGAACGCTGCCTCCTCCACCACCGCTGCCTCCGCCGCAGGCAGAGTCGAGGCCGCCAGTGGCTTGATTGCCGCTGCTGTCCTTGCCATGTCCGCCGCCTTCTTCCTGTAGATTCTCCATTGCTAGAGAAAACAGCAAGAAATAACCGCAATGGCAGAAACAACCATTGGTCCAGGGGAAAGAAGAAGAAAAAAAAGTGCAGCGATATGCAGCATCGCGCGCATGGGGCTGATGAATGATTTTACAAATACCTATCGACCCACTTGCTTGGATACCTGGTCTATTTAGGCGTCATGATTCATGATGACTCGACGGCTCTCTCACATTAGCGACAATCACTTTTTTTGCTTGGTATACGATAGAAATATTCACGCAACACTTTTGCAAATCCAATAATGAAAGTCTGTTCTCTACCATTGTGTTGTGGCATCTAAAATGATTGTGACTGTGATATGGACATGTACCTTGCCACAATTTCTTCAAAGTCCTCAAAACAGACATTTTCGCTTTATTTACGCTTTCTTGAAACTTATCTGGTGTATGCTTCTGATGGACTGTCGAAGCACTTTTCCTGTCATAAATGACTGACCAACAATTTCTTTAGATGCGAGATGTTTTGAAACCTCCCCGGGCTCTCGAGCCTCAATGCGTGTCATTCAGGTTTTCCGTATAGAACTCCAACAATCTCCTGCATGGATGACAACTTTTGCCAAAATCGAACCAGGAAAAGCCAAACCGTGTAGTTGCTGTATCCTGTGCGAGTCTTCAAGAAAATTGAACTAGTGTGCATGCAACTCAATCAATAGGCTAGCACTTTCGCTTGCTTTCAAAAGCCTTCAAAGAATCCTTCAAGCAGTGAGTTAAACTCGTCATGAGTAAAAGCCTCGTTCGAGCCATCCTGATGTGCCTCGTCCATCATAGAGGCCATCTCCTCTTCAAAGGACTTGGATGATTGTTGAGCACTCTTATCTCCTTGGGACTGATCCTCGGTGGGAAGAGCCTGCTTATTCTGCTTTGGTACGTCTTGCTTGCACTCATTCTCGGCTGCTGTCTCCTCTGAAGGCATCTTCTGTATTGTTCCCTTCTCTCCAAACTTGTCCTTGTGAAGAACTTCCTTCTCTGGTACAGCTTCTGCAGCCACACCTGTTGCAGACTGATGATCTACTATCTCTTCATCCGTGGAATCGACCGTGACACTGCTTGTTGACGAAAGAGATGGTGTACGGACAGCGAAATGGCTGTCCTGATGGTCAGTCTCGTATGATATGCCCCACACGTTGTCAACGGACTGCTGGAGTGAAACCAGATCCGTGACCTTTGTCTCACGGCCCAGAAATCTGCAAGAAGGGCCCAGAAAATGACTCAACTGAAGCTTTCCGACAGGCTTCGGATTGTGATGGACGTTGCTATCACTTGGGTACTTGTTGCCATAGAAGTTGCTGCCAGGGATACCGTTGACGACAGCGATGCTCTCGTTGGGTCTACCATTATTGTTTAGAATGATATTGTCGCCAGTGATACTGACGGGGTGGGTGTCGCGATGGGTAACCCGATGAACGCCATGATCTTTCTGCGCGTGGCTGAAGCTGCTACCATGGTTGCATCCGGCGCCAGAATTTGCAACTGGCTTCATCATCTCTGGACTACTTCTGGCAGAACTTTTCTGGAATAGAGTTCGTTTCTGTGACTCTGGAGCATAAGCCTGAGATTTGACGGGCTGGGCGAATTGTCGAACTCCGATGCTGCCCTGCATTTCGTTGTTCTTGACCGAGATGCCTAAGGCGTTGGACTCTCTATAGTCACCATTGGCGCTTGTTTTCAAACCATGGTCATTGCGAATTCTTTTGTCGACATTTGTTGGAATCTGGAAAACAGGGTCTTGGAATCCTCCCATGCTTTCAGACACATGATGTTGAGCTTTGACACGTTTGATTGCTCTATCATTGGCATTTGGTGACTGAGCCGTAACGTTCTTTCGCTTCGTATTGGATTGCAGAGTGTCAGCTTGTCCATGCTTCTGCTGAGGACCATTGGCTACAGTCTTCTGAAGGGGTGAGCGTCCGTGAGACTCCGGAATCTGAGCATTGAGTGCTCCTAGATGTGTCTGAGCGACAAGGTGCTCGGGAGTGACTGATCGTGGTGGACTCTGCTCAAGGAATGCTTTCCTGATTGCCTCTAGAGCACGATTGAATCCGGAGTTATTCTTGCCCTGTCTGCCAGTTACACCATGTTGTTCTAGGCCAGAAGATAAGGCTGCACCATCCAAAGCCTTTGGAATAGACTCCAACACCGGGTTGTGGGTGCCGCTGTTGTAGCTGCTAGTATTGCTACCATCAGACCTGCCATACTGGCTGTTGGGAGGCGATGGCAGGTAGCGGGCCTCGCTTACTTGGTATGAAGCGCTCTGACGCGCATCCACAGCCATGGATTCTAGGTTCATGGTGTCGTGAGAGCCGCCCGTTGCGTTGTTAGGGCTCTCTCGATGCAAAGCCTTGTGCTGGGTCGGACCCAGCTTCTGCAACTTCTGGGTTACAGGATCATGCGCCGTGTCTGCGCGTCGTTTTTTCGGGCGGGAACCAACGCACCCATGACACTGACATGAGGCGTGAGCTGTGTGCAGGCTCTGGATGATGTCCTTGGGGTATCCGCGACTAATTGTGCTAGAAAACTCGGAGCCGACTGTGGCGAGGAAGACATCAGTCTCTTGGAACCAATTCTCCAGCGACATCTTGAAGCTTTTTTGGTCAGGGTCATTGTGACCCGTATTCTGAGGAATTTTGCTTGGCCACTCGTGCTTCTTGATGTCTTTGCACTTGGGGCAAGGCCTAATATTGACCACTGAAGGAAACATCTCTGTGCATCTTTCCTTGGTGGTTTGCTTCGATGTGGGATGGTTGAGCTCGCCCTTCTTCACGCGCTCGCAATAAACCCATCCATCCTTTCTGTGCTGATAGCATTCCGGATACTCTTGACCCACCTCAGGGTCTGCCCGGAGGCAATCGCAAGCAAAGTAACGTCTGGTAGGAGAAACTAGATCAATTTCTACTCGTACATGACAAATCGGTATTGAGGATACAGAAATACTAACCTTTGGCACATTGCAGCTGTGGCTGGGGGGGAATACGAGAGCTTGATGGATGATGGATGTAGCGTATGTCACCGAATGGCAAACAAGTGGTGACGGGACCTCCCAATTAGACGATGTCGACGGGAAGGAGATAACAATATCTCGATGAGACGCTCGATTGCGGAAAATTATCAAGAAGCTGTTGACAGGCGTGGATTTGTGATGATTTGAAGGCAGATACAAGAAACAGATTGACCGAAACGGTGCAAAACCATGCCAACGCGGTGTTCGATCCGTGGTTGATAGATCAATCAAAGAAAGTCGTCGGAAGGGATAATAAGGGGGAGGGAAAGATGCACCGCTGGCTGAAAGATTAGGCGTAAAGTAGGAGGGGGGAAAATCTGCGTTTGCCCAAGGTCACGAACGCGTCGGGTTATCGATCGCGTTGTGGTCATTTGGACTACGCGACAGACTCCAAGGCAAACGCGACAACAAAAATCTGAGGGACAGATCGTAACGATGCGAAAATTATGCATTCAGACCACGTTTGCACGACGAGCACTGAAACCGGCAAAGTCACGATGGAAGCATCGATGTTGATCGAAACTGTTCGCTTTCGCCGCTTCCTCTTTCAGAGTAAACATCCCCTGGGAAGAAAGTGCAACACGGAAAGATTACGCCATGATCTCAGTTTTATCCATCAAGATACATTTCTGCTATCTGCCAAGCCGAGTAATATTGTTGAATAGACATGAGATTCCAACCACATCTATTTTCGTCCCCTCTCTCCCTCTCCCCCACTCTCTGTTTTATCACGGACGTGAGTGTGCAAACGCCCTCAGATACTCATGCGAAGGCTAGCATGATGAACAGAGTTCCCTGGCACAAATCCATCATCTGATGTGAACGCCCAGGCGCGAAATCTGGTCCTAGAAAACACAAGATGACTAGACGAGGCTCTCCATTCAATGACGACTTTGCATGATCTACCCAGCGCTGCAAATATTTTGTAGTCTGCTACCAGTCTACAGTGAAACACAATTATGACTGCAAACATCAATAAGAGACTACAGTATCCTCAAAAAAACAAGTGGTACAAATTCAATACAGATGACCAGCTTGGTATGTTTCAATGAATCGAACGGAAAGTTACATCAAATCCCATGCGCTGCGCGCCTCGTGGAATCCATTGTAGCTGAACATAGTCTTTAACTGATGAAACGTATGTTACCTACCGTCTCGCAATGCAATGCTAGATGTTCTTCCATGCTAAGTAGGGTTTCCTAACTGGAGACAGATTAAGCATCACGATCCAGGAACCGCAAAGTTACAATCTTCTATGTGACAATTGAAAGTAAGCGTCAAGAGCTCAATACTATATTCTGCTTATTCGGGGACCCACGGCCGCTGATTCATAATGGAGCATGTGTAATATGTTTTCAATGATCCACTAAAGTGGACAAAATTGCCAGCTGGTAATAGAGTGCTGCTTGAGAAAACATTTGAATAGTACTTTTCAGGTGACGGTAGATAATGAGAACCTCGAATGCCCCGTGACAACTCAATCTCGGCGTTCGACCCACGCGTGAAGCGGCTTAGCGGTCGATCGCCATCGCGCAATGGATAGTCGAAAGCCATAAGAGAAGGGCTCGGATGACGCGGAAGATGGGTATCGGCACTGGTATAGTAATTGGTCATGGATGGAGATCAATCTGCAACATTCTTTGTATTTCTAATCTCTATCATTTAGCCATTGACAATACTGATGCGTCGCTTACACGTCTGTCATCGAAAGGCTCTTTCTTTCGCATTTTCTCTCCAATGTAGGTTTCAAGGGGAAAAAAAGCATTCCATGTATAACCATATTTCTGCCTCGGTTGCTCCTCAAGAACTTTGAAAAGTCATGCCTCTTTTAATAATCCACCATTCAACGGCCTCATCAAGAACAATGGATGAATGCGTGCGGGTTATGTAAATGGCACTAATATAGGCTGGATCAGAGGCTCAGCACTGGTTGGGGAAGAAGCTCAAGAAGTTTTCATGTGCCATCTCTTTCGAATCCACGTATCTTGACCAATTGAGCATTATTAGAAATAAAGTCTCCTCGCCTTCAGACCAGGGCTATGCATTGATGTTCTCCAACTTCCAAACCAAGTTTTCTTTGACTTACCTCGGCTTTTGTCATTCACTAGGCGTCCAAGGGCTGTAAACTCCTCATCTAGGCATGGATACTCGTTTTCAAATTGAGGATATCGCCTCTTGATGCTGGCCATGTATGTATGTCTAGATTGTCATGCCTGATGGGCCATTCGTGCGAAAAATCTTGGCGCTGCCGGTAGTGGCAGCTCTTCACTTTTCCCCAATTAGGAAAGTTTGCGAACGACCTCCACATGAGAAACGTGCCCGCTAGCTTTGGCGGCCGGGCTGCTCCCCACGTTGCACGAACCTTTGCGGAGACGATCAAGTGCCAGCCAATCGCAACAGTTGGGACGAACCACCTATATCGGATCGTACATGATGTGAAACTGGGTAACCATGAGCAAAATGGTGGCTGCCCGTCTACCTCTGACCTAGTTGAACTTCAGCGTCCTGTCAAAGCAATACAGGATTGCCGGATTAGGAAGTGTATTGTGTGCTTGAGGTATGTTTGCCAATAAACCTCGAGATGATCAATCCACTGGCATTCCAGTAGATGGACCGAGGCATGCGTCTAGAACTGATGATCTGAACTCTATGCCGAGGCTCTCAACACGTCTCAGGCAAAGTTGGGCCATGTTCTGAGTATAGAGATATGATCACGGTTGGGTATATAAGTCGATAATGTTCTGGCCATCGTTTATAGACAGAAGTTTGTGCACTGCCAGACAGCTCCCGAACAAACATTGAAGCAACTCTTGAATTTCTTGGCTCTCGATAATTCAATCTTTCACAATGAAGTTACTTGCACTCTTTACCCTCGCAACGGCAGCACTCGCTAGCCCAGTCATTGTCAAGGACACAAAGAGACAGTCAGTTGGAGCTACTGCCAATGAATTTGTCAATGGAGGATGTCGCGATGTCATCTTCATCTTCTCTCGTGGCAGCACAGAGACCGGAAACATGGTCAGTGTTCATTGGGCTGCGGTCTTATACATTCAAGCATTCAGGCTGACCGACCATATCTGCAAAGGGCACCGTCATCGGCCCAGAGGTTGCCAATGGACTCAAGACCTCTTTGGGAGACTCTGCCGTTGCGGCACAAGGCGTCGATTACGCAGCTGCTCTGGACACCAACTTCCTCCCTGGAGGTGCTGATCCTGATGGAATCGCGACAATGGTCAGCTTGCTGAATCAGGCAGCATCTCAGTGCCCTGACGCCAAAATTGTGACTGGCGGATACAGGTGAGCGATGCACTCTGTGACGATACCCGTGATTATACCTCACCGGCTGACACATGCCTCCACAGCCAAGGAGCTGCAATGACTCATCGTGCCGTGGAGCAGTTAGATGCGGCCACAGTCGACAGAATCACTGGCATTACCCTCTTTGGAGACACCCAATACCAGCAGACCAATGGCGTTGTCGGAGATGTCCCCGCAAATAGAGTAAGTCTGACCGGCGATCAGCACATCTGTGGAGTCGACACATGCTAACTATTGAATGTAGGTCAAGATCTACTGTGCTGCTGGAGACTTGGTTTGCAACGGTACCCTGACCATTACCGCTGCCCATCTCAGCTATGGAGTTGATGCCGGCGACGCCACTTCATTCCTGGTCAACTTGATCAACGCAGCTTAGCTAAAGAGATGAAAAGATTTGGAGGATGTCATAGGGTACTTAACGCTGTTCACTTTCACTCATTTGCAGATACGCGTTGCGAATAAGGAAAAGACAAATTTACCAGCAAAGACCTTGTACATAGCTGGTTTTGTGGTCCCAACCTTGATGGTTTCAGGGGCATGTACATAGCTTGACTTCTTTACGCTCGTTTTTACAAACCTTTTCATGGGAATATACTTCTCAAGTGAAAGACATCACGTGATTTTGTGATGTCTCTGATACAGCTATTCTCATTACTTGGTAACCCGTCAATGACCAATCCGTCTGCAGATAAGGAAAAAGAGTATGCTTTGGGAAAGGTGGAGTCTAGTATAACATAGCAACTTGTTCTTTGGGGTTACATTAGTGTCGAGCTAGAATGTACCTACCTAATCTTGGAACACTTTAACTATTGCACGAGCAATCAAGAGCTACTTTTTGGAGTATTCCAAGTTGCTGGAGGCCTTTGGGAATGATGCATCTATCATATGTCCTACACTATGATTTCTTGTTTAAAAACTTCATCTTTTCCATTACGCCTCGCAATTGATCAACATATCGCATTGCGGAACGGAGTTCCTGAACCCTAGTACAGCTTGAATTCCGCGGGGTTGCGGACTTGCGGAGTTTCTCTCTGGGGGTTTCGGAAGGGCTGGCATTGAACTCGCCACGGCCATGCAAGATCTTATCCCCTTCAAACCTACTGGAAGCAATACAAACCAAGGTTTACCTGTACTTCATTCCATACGTATCAATCCGCTTTTCATAAGATCTAGCAATAGTCATGTCCTCAAACATCGCACGAGCTCTCGTGGTCGGCGGTACGAGCGGCATCGGTTATGGCATCGCCTGTCGCATCGCTCAGGAAGCCAAATCAGCCACCGTGATAATCAGCGGCCGTACTAAGCCGTCGGACATCCCTCACGCCAACATCGAGTTCAGAAAGCTGGACGCATCCTCCATGAGCGCCATCAAGACGTACACAGACGCCTACAAGTCATCACAGGAGCCCAAACTCGATCTGCTGGTCTTGACCCAGGGCATCATGACCATGACCGGGAGGGCTGAGACGCCAGAGGGCATCGACCGCAAGATGGCGCTCCACTACTATGGACGACAACAGCTCATTCGCGAGCTACTGCCTGCCCTGCAGGACGACGCCAAAGTCCTCATCGTGCTGGGTACCATGGGGAGCCCAGACAATTTGAACTGGACAGACCTGGACCTCAAGTCATCCTTTGGCGTGTCCGCTGCGGCGCAACATTGCATGGCTATGAATGATGCCATGATTCAATACTACGCTGAACAACAGAAGCAAACTGGCAAAACACGCCACTTTGTACATGCGAGCCCTGGGGTAGTCAACACCTCCTTGGGCGGTGAGCTACCATGGTACCTGCGCGGCTCGGCACGAATCTTGTCCACTCTTCTGGGGGTCTCGCCTCAAGTCTGTGGTGAGCGAATGCTCAAAGGTACATACGAATGTGCAACATTGAGCGAGAAGCAGGGCAGATATTGGAGCTATATGGATTCCAAGGGCAAACCTGTGAAGAACAAGGCTTCCTGGGATGATGAACAGACACAGAAGGTGGCGAGTCATACCTGGAAGCTAATTGATGGTGTGAGCAGCTCTTGAAATGACTGTTTCTAGTATCAGCCTTGGAATTTGCTGTTTCATACACTTTCGGTGGCGACCATGGTTGTCATGAAGCTTTGTGGCAGATGTACACGTTGGGAACATTTTTTGACATTTGACATTTCAGAGACAAGGGAGAATTTGATGGCGAGTAGGGGCGCAAATGGTAACATGTTGTACAAATATTCTAGAGACATTCCAAGTTCATTTATCCATGGTTTTAGCATTTTGATTAATTCACGTTGCTGGTGCCCAGATACCCTTATTCTCTTCAGCAAACTCTCTGAAACTCTTGGGAGGGCGGCCAGTCAGGTCCTGTACATCAGTACCTGTGGCTTTTTCAAAGTCCTCCGAGGCGAGTACCTCTAGGTTGGCAAGAAATTGAGCGTAGTAATCCGAAACACCAGCCTTGGCCAACCCGTCAATCCGACGTGCCTTGTCGAGCTTCACATGCTCGATTCTGCGACCAAGAATCTCCGATAGAGTGGCGGCAATCTATGTTTTGCAGCACAGTCAGTAACCTGCTCTACACATACCACAATATGGAATACGGGTCTACTAATTATACCTTGTCGTATGTCAGAATCTCAGGTCCAAGAACTCTGACATCTCGGTTCTGCGGTTTTGCATCCGTCAAGGCATGGTAAGCCACGTTGGCAATATCATCAGCGCTGATAAAGGGGATCTGCCCATCTTGTGTAGCAGTGAAAATGGTATCAAGCTTGGTAATTGTGTGCACAGGTCCAGGCTCGATAAGGTTCTCTACATGACCGGAAAGAGTAAGTAATGCATTTCTTTTTTGCCTTTTCGTATCTGGATGTGAGCGACGAACCCATAAACCAAGATGGGCGGAGCACACAGTAATCCACGCCTGTCTGGATAAAATGCTCCCACACTCTGCCCATACCGTCCTTGCCAATAGCTGTAGAGGTTCCGGCACACAGAACAAACCGCTTGACGCCCTTTTGCCTGGCAAAATCAACAAACTTGATCATGGGCACCCAAGGCTGAGCGACCTGGGGTTCCATCAGGTAGACAGATTCTACTGGCCCAATCTCAAAAGCTCTACCCCAGGTCGACTCAACTGTCCAATCAAACTTAATGGCAGGGTATTGACTTGGTGCAGCATCAGGGCCCCTCCGCGAGGCCAAGAGGAAAGCCCTGTTGGATTCTGACAGCAAGGCAGCCACGCGCAGTGCAGTCTTGCCGGTACCACCAATGAGGAGAACAGACATTGTGGAAAATTTCAAGCAAGACTCATGAAATATGAAGCTGTCTCTTGTGAGGACAGAGCTTGAAGACGTGGGCTCACGATATCATGCAGCAAGGGAATTATTGTAGATGGGGTTACTTTGTCAGAAGTCTTGAGCTGCAGATTTCACATTCTTGCATCGATCATGCTACGTCTTTTTATTCCGCGTCATCCAGATATGACGTAGAATAGTATTCGGCGACCGGACACGAATCCGCATGGCGACCGGTCGGGAGTAAGCAAATATGGAGATGAAGGATGCGGCGAAGTGGCGATGCCATGCCGGCGTGTGGATGCCGAGACGTCAACTTGTGGGACCGAATATGTAAAAGGAGCTTCTATCTCTGACTGTTGCGTTATGTTTGCTTGATCGAGTTCAGTTTAGCCCTCAGAGTGTCGCTCACTAGTTGTTCCGTTTTTGTGGTTCAACGTTCCCTCGGCCACCACAACCATTATGTCGAATGCAGCTATCAAGGAGCATCAAGGAATGGCAGCCTCTTAAGCAAGGGAAATATGCTGTAGAATCATCTTTTATCTCCATTTCGCTCGTACTCCTCATCCGGCTTTGATCGATGCAATTTACAATTGTAGTATGTCGATAAACGTTAGCTACGCCTATGTATTTGGTCGAGAGATCTAAGGTATTTATGAACAATGGTGCCAAAAATGAGGCGGACAGACTACGAAGGTAGTCGGTATGTCTAGATCTGGAGTATTTGTTGGGGCGATACTCGTGGTCAAGCAGAAAGGCTGCGAGTCCAGATAGAAGCATGGGCAGGAAGTCATCTGTACTGGCGGGTTTCCTGCTGCCAGATCAATGGCCAGCCCTCCCGATGATTTATTTGTCAGCAAAGCGTGGGTATCCATGATACTTGAAACCGGGCAGAGCTTAACTCATGTGTTCAACGCCACCGAGGCAGATCATATAACCTCGTTCATCAGGGCGAGGCGGAAGGTATGGCAGGCATAAGCCTTGTGTAGATAGTATAACATAGTTGTATATCTCCAAGCCAGAAACATAGGTTTGGAAAGTCCAAGTAAAATTAGTTCTTTCTTTTTTTTTCTCAACGACCTGGCCTGAAGACAATATTCTTGATCTTGGGAGCTAAGATACAGGCACCACCATGGCATGTCTCGCCACTATAAAAACTCGAAAAGAGGCATCGCTTGCACATTCTAAGATATGGTTCGACGCGGGAAATATGGTGGGTAAGAATTCGAAGTAGACTGTCGAGTTAGGTAGGTACTTAAGTAGTGAAGGTCGAGTTGCAAGATTGTGATTAGAGTTGAAACCAGAGCGGGGGCGAGGTATCGCCGATGCCCCGTGCATTGGCTTTTGCTCCATGAAGATTCCTGGGAGAAGATCATTTTACCGCAACATGCGTTACTTTGCCAGTCACAATTCTACTTCTGCCAAATAACCATTTCGTGTTTTTTTTTTCATGTGCAATAAGTGGAACAGTGCCTACTACCTAGGTTCATGGTGCCTGACGATCTGGCCCGTCTCCCGCATGGACGGTAGGTAGGATCCAACGAGAACCACCCCCGCCTGCCTAGTACTACTACTACTTGCACTACACTAGGAGAGGCCCCAGCCGCCTCTTGAGGTACGTATTCTGTACCTCTGCAGAAAGATCTACCAACCTGTTTGCTACATACACGATATCAAGACGCCTTCATGAGCGATCATCTGGATATGTTGAGAGCTGATTCTGTATTATACTACTGAGACTCGAGACTGTCCCATGGTCGCTCATCTGCTGAGAAGTTTGAGTCTGGTAATTGAAAGTCACATCCAACCAAAGCCCACACGCTAAAAAGTAAAAAAAAAAAAAAAAAAAAAGCCTTGCAACCCAGAAAACGTAATAGGAAGTCTTGTTCTTACCAATGGATACGGGCCAATATAAGGGGTCGGGATCCTCGCCCATTCTGTTGAACTCCATGCTGCAGCTGTTTTCGATTCACTTCCCTACCACCCTTTCGCCTTGGTAACCGATGATTGGTCTCTGTGCCCTCCAATTCGTATGGCTCAAAGGCGAGAACGACAACCGTTGAGTGCTCACTAGTTTAGTAGCCATACATCACTCGCATCTTACTAGGTACCTGCTACCAATTACGCGTGTGCAAAAGACCTCTCATGCAGAGAGGGTCAGGGTTGCTCTTTTCAGCTTTCCCCGCATAATCAAGCTTCAGACTAAGTCCCCCAGCTCGCGCTCGTGATGTCAATGTCAATGAGCGCCCAGTGAAAGGGGGAAACAGAACTTTTCACCTCCATTCAGTATTTGTTGTCGTCTGTCTCGCTGGTTCTCTCGCAATTTTGAACCCGTGCCATGTTCAATAGTATCAAGATCTGAAGATCTTGCTGCAAAGGGGCCCGGTCCAATAGCCCGGGGGCACTGAACACCAGATCTCACACTGTAGCAGATTTTCAAGCTTTAAAGATGCAGTCCCTCGAGGCTGTCCCCGTGACTCCAACTCGGGCCAGTCCTCCAGGGACCACGACTTCCACCACTCCCATTAGAGTCAAGAAAGAAGAAGGGCCGGGGGATGATGACCTCGGACGAGTACAACCTGCGAATCACAAGCGCACCGTGTGTGACAATTGCCGCAGAAGGCGTAAGCTATCCAGCCCTCAAACCCTGCTATAGCTCTTGGTTTGTACATCAGACTCCCATCTTGTAGGATGAATACTCTTCAGTTAGAGCTGGTGTGAAGGATGGCATAGCGTCGCCCCCTCTCAGGCATGTGTAGCTGACCAAATGGGTGATAGGAATTCGTTGCGATGGCCGGTTTCCATGTCAACAGTGCATGGGTGCGACTCTCACCTGCAAAAGAGATCATGTTCCCAGGAAGAGAGGCCCCAAGCGCGGGCATGGGCGGGTTATCAATGAGTTGAGAGCACAGGAGCACAAGCCGGCTCACGGGGCAGAACCTACCAGCGGCTCAGAGTATGACCACCACCCTTTGTGATTTGGACCTCCACGCTTTGTTTTGAGCTCAGCAGCTGAGGGACAATAGCATTGATGCGGATAATTACAACTCGACGACGACGTCCGCTGTCGCATCCGCTGCGCCATCACCACCGGGACAGCTCTTCGTACCGTGGACGGCTGTCACTTCAGATCCGAGAAAAGCATCCGAACCGAAGGGTCCTTTCACTAGCGATGTATATCAACCTCGCATCCGGGATTATCGCTATTTAATTCCAAAGTGTGTTGACCTCTACTACGAACACATGTATCCAATCATGCCCCTAGTGTACATGCCCGCGATTCGTAGCATCATCGCACGAGACATGACATTCTCGGAGAAAAACCTCATCTATGCACTTAGTGCGCTCACATCCTTTCACATGGCAGGGAAGTCACTCGCCGTCGACGGACAACCAGCATGGGACGAAGTCGGTCGCTTCTTTCTTGATGAATGTATATCTGTCAGACACCGATACGATTTTCTCGAAGACACGTCGTTATTCGCAGTCATATCGTCCTTTTGGCTGAGCACAAGCTTTTTTGAGATCAATCAAAGCCGAAAGTCGTGGTTCTACCTGCGTGAGGCACTAACACTAGCGACGGAAATCAGACTTCATGATGACAAGTCCTATACTGACCTGCCACCCGAGGAGACGCTCTGTCGCCAACGCGTGTATTGGATTCTCTTCGTCACCGAGCGAAGTTTTGCTATCCTGAGAAATAAGCCTCTCACTTTGCGCAAAACTCCTAGCCTGCCAACAACCAAACACAGCTACGAAGCTCCCGATATACACGTAGGCTTCATGAAACTCGTCAGCATCTATGTGCCGCTAGACGAGAGTTTTGTCAATGCCTGGAATGATGGCAGTGATCCCAGGGTTTCAGCAACAACTTACCTACACTTGCAACGACTCCTTGCACAGCCGCTGGACTTCTTGCGGCCCAAGAGGAAGAGTCCCACCCCACCTACGACACTTTTCCCAACAACCATGGACAGTCCACAGGACGATGAGAGTGACGAACCAGATCCAACGTCGATACAAAAGGCGGATCTCATGATCACCCAGCAATGGCTCCGGCTGATCGTCTGGCAGTCCTCATTTAGGCAGGGTCTTCTTTCAACGGGTGCCAACGACCAGAGTTTCCACTTTCACTTTCCTTTGTCCATTGCACGAGACACCGCGTCAATTCTCCAGTCTCTGCCAAGTCGAGCAGTCGAAGTGCACGGCATGGGCATATTCGAAAAGATTTTTGAAATTGGCACATGGTGTATCAATGTAATGGGAGCGTACGACTCTGGAACTCCAAATCCGTCGAGGCCTTTTGGAGGAGCCTCTGATGGCGTGGCGGGAATGGATTACGTTGGAGGTGAATTGTCCCTCTTCGGACAATCTGGGCGCAGCGGCGCCGTGCTTGACCCCCTAGAGTTCTTCATCAAAACATTGAGTGCCAGTCCAAACAGCAAAACCATGTACGCGGATAAGCTGCTCATGTTCGCAGAGCAAACCCCAAGCGGGATGCGGACTAATCTCAGCCCAGTCATCATTCCCTTTGGGGGTTTGACTAGAGAGGATTCATGGAGCACAATCAGTGGCGCCATTGGGGAGACTGTAAAGGACGAGGCCGCAGATGGGGACGTATATTGTGATACGGACTTGACAACCGAGCCCATGACGATGGATACCGACCGTGGCATGAGTCTGAGCGAGATTGTAATGACTTCGGGATTTGGGAGGGTTAATTCTGCATCAACAGATGAGCTGGGCTTGAACATTGTGACAACACGGAGCTCTGGGCATAGCACCTTGGACGGCGGACCACTTTCGGCTGGTCTATCCAATGCATTTTCTGATCTGAGCACGAGCGGCGACGAGTACAGCCTTCACCCGGTGTACACGAATGATGTGCTGCCCGGTATGAGCATACCGGGAATGAATAGCATGAGTTCTGCGTCGGCATGGGCAAGTTCAGACCCAGATGAGGAACGGAGGAAGGGCCAAGCGCGGCCTCCTCCGGCGAATCCCAATGCCAAAGCGGAAAGGGTTCTTGGTATCTGGTAGTTCTGGCGATCAATGCTTGGGATATCGGTCTCCTGATTTAACATGTTGGATACTGGGGTTGCATTATATATGTTTTGGGCAGGGAGTATTGGTGTCATACATGGCCCTTGTTGGAAGGCTGGCTGACTGTTACGACTACGAATGAACTTTAAACAATGCAGATGGTTAAGCTGGGTGGATGATTTCTATCCATGATATACCGTATAAATGCAATGATCATCATTTCTGAACCCTTGAATGAAAATTGACCAGATTATATAATATTGATGGCATCCAAAGTTCCTACGCATTGGGAAGTTTTGTGACTGTTATCCTTCAACACCAACAGAACGCACGGACCATCATGGCGTGTTGCAATATTTTGCGAACAATTCCAATTTCTCAAGATCACATCAAGTCAGGACGCGGGTCAGTACTTGGTCGTAATCGAGAAAAGCATTGATTCACTTGAATGCGCAATAGACATATGGCATAGACCGAATTCTTGACGCTCGTTTTCAAAGCCTTGAAACTAAGCAGTGGGGCCAGTGAGGAGGCAGAAAATCTCATTCTGTGGTTGGGTTGAAGCTTGAACAATCCACCAGCTCTGAGGGAGTCCAGAGCATTGGTTCCGGCTTGCGACCTCCTGGCTATGCAGAATACTAGTTGGAACCTCGAGGCTCTAAAAAGTTATTCTTTCTCGTTACCATGGAGGAACTCCCCATCCGGCCGTCTGGGCTCTTTTGGCAGGACGACTTCATCACACCGGAGCACGAGGCCAAATTGATCGATATATTCCGGCATGAGCTCGAGTGGCCAGACCGCGCGGGTCGCCTTTCGCTACATTATGGCTACACATTTGACTACAAGACGTTTGGCGTGGACCCGGACGTCCCCTTCAAGGCGTTCCCGGACTGGTTGGTACCGCTCATCCCCACGCGGGAGGACAGGCAGCCGGACCAGGTCTGCCTCCAACACTACCCACCGGGAGCCGGCATCCCGCCGCACGTGGACACACACTCGGCATACGATCAGCTGTATGCGCTCTCGCTGGGGTCGCCAGTCTTGATGCAGTTTCAGCTAGGCGGGAGCGGTGAGGAGGGCAAGGAAAACCGAGTCGAGGTCGATCTCACCCCGCGGAGCATGCTGCAGATGTCCGGGGATTCGCGGCTGCACTGGACTCATGGCATCAAGAAGCGCAAGACGGATACGCTGCCCGATGGTACTGTCAGGAAGCGCGACGACCGCTGGAGCATCACCTACCGCTGGATCAGGGAACCGGCCGTTTGCGAGTGCGGCGATGTCAAGCTCTGCGACACAGCGCAGATGAGGGTTGGCATTGAGAAGGAGTATCGATGGAAACAAGGAAATGAGACCTCGGATGGTGTGGCCGCCGCCGCCGCGACATCATGATTACCTACAAGAGCTGTCATTTTTGCAATCTTTACAAGGCTGATGGGCCAAGATCCTTTGCGCATTGGGATTACAATCAGGCGTTCGCCGTTTGTATCATGATTTCCACAGGGAAACAGCCGCAACGTTGCATTGTCTGAGAAATCTCCAGGACTCAAGCATGTCCACGGCCTTTAAGGATGCTCAGCTTGACAAGAAACGACGATGGAACTCTCCATCTCTACAATCTTGATCGTGAAGCGAATCTCGCGCGGGAACACCATCCGAGCTTTTATGATTTAACGCTGCAATTACTCCGGCAGGTTGTCAAAAGTCGTGCAGCAACCAGCCCATCAAAACTATATGTCAATGGGGTACCTAGGTAGCGTTCTACGCATTGGCCTTGAGCGGCAAGTGGAGCACATATCAAAAGGCAAATCCAGAGTGTCAACGATCTAACATGGTGATTGCTACATGAGGCGTTGCAAAAACCACGTGTTGCCGAGACATGTATATTATGGAAATTGGGGTGGCTCAAGACAGCAGTAACATCTCGTCCACAATAGCAACAAGCTTACCGGTATTCTATGAAAATAGATATATGGAACAATAATTTCCTGATAAGCATGAATTGAGTACAACTACTACAGACTACGGAAACCGCCACAATTTGGGAATATGGCGCTTGGTTGTGTCTCAGTTGAGCAAGTAAGGAACCGATCGATCTTGTGAGGCGATTCTGAAAGTCAAGGCAAGAGAGGCCTTCAATAAGCACAATGTGAGTTGGCCTCTTTTTACCTGCGTCGCTAATGCCTTGGGGTCAGGGGGCCATTTTCGTGCCCAACATGTATCCAAAGCCCAAGCACAGCGTCTGTACGACAGATCCATTGGCACAATCTGGATGCAGTCGACCTCATGAGGAGTCAACAGACATTTGATCGTACTCGGCATTGCTCGATTACCTAGCCCACCTAGCTAGGCGCTAGGTACCTTTGAACCTGCAAGTTCTTCGTGGCACCAGACACGAGCCGGAACCCCGTTCGGCTTTGGTTCGAGTGAGACATGTACGAGAAGTCGGTGCGACTGTAGAAGAGGAAAGTAATGCGAGACAAGACACCAGGTTGTTTTCATATCATGTACTTGAGCCCATGGGGCAAATTATGAAAGCACTTGTACAGATTGTTTCCTCATAGATAAGGCGTGGCTACATGGCGATGACACTTATTATTTTCAGTTCAACCCCAGACTCACTACTTTCAGACCCGATCAAACGTGACACCTCCCTGGGGTGTCTCTGGAAGTCAAGATTTTGCAGACCCAAAGCGCCGGTGGCGCAAAGGTTGGGGCCGGCAGCGGATCGGCCCCGAGAGGAAGAGCCAGACTCGCACTTGGATTTGGTTGCTTTTTAGTATCAGGTTGCATGGAGGTTATGTATGTATGGCCAAAGTCTACAGTATAATAAGAAGTAACTGGTGCGTGTGAGCCATTGACCAATGCAAAAGGGGACGGTCTCTTCGTTTGGAGATTCTTTCTTCGCCATTCACGCGTTAGCCTGGCTGTCTTAAGGGATGTATGTGGTTTTCAATTTGCATGCTGCAGATTGGTGACAAACAGCTAACTTTTCCGTGTAACCATTCAGATTATAGTGTGCCAATTACATGCGACATCCCCCCACCGAGGGCTTGATGTCGCCTGTGTAGCCGTCTACATTGGCTCCAAGTGTTTTGCCCCGTGTCTCGGTCTATGTCTGACATGGAGTCAACTTTTGTTGGTTGAGTGATCGTGGATTCGAGCAATAGACAAATACAAGAGAAGCGTTATGAGGCGAGATCGAGACTTTCAATGTGCTTGATAGATGGATACAATACTGCAGAGTACATTTACATATCTACCTGCTACCTCAAGCTCCAAACATTGCAATGTTGTTTTCAAGTTACAATTCAGCATAGCGAGTTGACGTGGGAATACCTAGGTTAGTAGCTCTGCAGTGCTGCACGTCCAGCCGCGATGAAGAAATGAGTGGCTGCAGCGCTCATCATCATTGTCATCAATCGCAATCCGGGGGGCTGGTCTTTTTCTTCGACGCGTTGCTACCCTCAGTGTAGCACCCGTAGCTTATAGACAAGGTAGGAAACAAAACCCCCCTGCTCAGTGACTCCCAGAAGCTGGTTAGGTCGCCAGCACCAATCACGGCCGGATCCAGTGTTGTGGGTGGAATCTCCCTCGACCGAGCGGTGCCGCTACCCAAGTGTGTTGTTGCACTTGGGCCTTTTCTTTTTCGGCTGGGCATCTCAGAGTCCCGTCCCCTGTTTTAGGTTCAACAAATCACTGGACGGGGGTCTTTGGGTCGTCACATTTTCCCTTCTTTTCTTTGGCCCTCCAATTTTCGTGTAAAGTGCGTGCATAGACAGGTGGAGACAGACGTGTGCCATCACGCGAAACCCTGCGAATTCCCGTTTGTCGTGTGCTGGGTACTCGTCGTAGCGTACTACGTATACTACTTCGTACATGGCTCTCATCCGACTCCATCGTTGGACCACTTCAAAGCACTCCGTGGCTCATGTATTACATATCTACTAATAGGTCAGGTTGCTATAGCAAAAAGAGGCATGTTTGCTGTTGCCATGGTTGCGGCATTGTATCTGTTGGTTGGGATAATGCTACTAGCAGAGCACTACGGGTGGGAAGGCACGCGGGGCTCAGGGCTGACTTCCAATGATGGCTGGCATTGATCGCTTTCTCACCACATGCATCATCGCCAAAATGGCTGGCGTGGTCCCCAAAGAAAAAACCCACAAGGCGCTAAGAGGCACCACGGCACTCGCTAATTTCACGTTCCTGGACCCAGCCCAAGCAAAGCCGCCGATGCCGTTCAACCATATCACAGGTCTTATGCCACTTCTGTGCTAGCAGTGGTCACTTTGCTTGTCCAATTTTCAGCATCCAGCCTAGCCCAGCCAGAAAAGATGCAAGGCACCGCATAGGAAACAGCAGGGATCGCTGGAGGACGGGGCTTGTCAGTGGAGTCTTTCTGCCTTTTGATCGTGGGCAGTTCCGGGGGGCAAGATGGGACTAAGGTACCCCCTGCAGACAGCGTTCTTCAAGGTTGTAAATGCTTGGGCACGAAGCTCTGTACTCTGTAGATGGCAAAATCTCTACCTGGACAATGTAGGCAGAATTCCAGTCTCTCCCCTTCCGAGAACGACAACACCAACGGCCAATTTGGCGTTGCTTCCATCGTCCTACCTCGTCTCCTCTTCTGCCTTCTCGAGTTGTCTCATTCTTTCCGTGACAGATCGGATCGCCAGGCTACCTAGAGCTGAGACACGCAGCATTAGACACCATTGACCCAACGCCTATTATCACTTTGCTACGGGTACTTGTCTCCCCTCTAGCCATCGCTCATTGAGCAGGCCACACCCTGAACGTCCCCTCTGCTTGTTCCCACCTCAACTCCACCATCGCCCAAGATTGCCCACTTACACAACCATCGTCATTGATCCTCGGAAACGAAAACAAAACAGCTTTTACTAGTAAACAAGACGATTGCTATGGTGTACAGAAAGCCGCCATGCTCCAGCACGCAGCACAATATCCGTGTAGCCTCTGAACTTTCCTCGGAGCAATTGGCGTTGCATTAGCTACCGAGAGAGGCTAAATCCAAGATTCCGTCTACCCACCAAGCGTTGCCCACGAGCCAGCGACAGCAACGGTGCCAGGTACACTGCACTATAGCAGTGGTATTTCCTATACCCGCCCACGCCGCCTCGTTTTCCGATTTCATAGATCAGACGGACTTCATGCCATGTGCCGTTGACGTAGGCTGGGCTCGACTCGAACAAGTTTGGACGCTCTCTCTTTTGTTCTTTGCAATTGCTGGGAATGGAGAGCTGAAAGTTGGTATGTGTTATTGGATTTCTTTTTACTTCCTTTTTTCCCTCTCATGTCTCAGTCTCGCTTTCTTGTTGCATTCTAGCTGACAAGTAAACCCATCGATTCAGCAACAATTTGAAGTCGCAACCAGTTCGAGGCCCGAACTGGCCGAGGCAGGAATAAGGGAGCTTTTGCCTTGATTTCGGCGAAGCCTACGAATCACATACATACACCTCGTACACCTACAATTTACTCCCATACAACCACAGCAAACCTATATCATGGATGGCACTGGGGGACGAATTGAGCCATTGGGCTCGCTTTCGCCATCTGGGACGAGTACACCTAATTCACACTCGCACCGATTTCACCACACACACTGCACCTCGAGCAGTGCGCCGACTCCGCAGCCTTCGAGTTTTCTGCAGCAGAGAATACAGCAGAGGCGAGCAGAAAAGAAAATGAGTGAGGCGAGTCTCAGTAATTCTGCTGGGAGCGCCCGTGACGATGGCATCATGACTCGCAGCTCGTCAGTCCGAAAACATGCTGCCGCTACATTGCGTCCGACTCCTCCCAATACGGACGACGATGACTTGAAGGTCATGGGCATCAAGGAGATTGAAAAGGTGAGAGTCCCGGGCTCATCTCAAGAAACCATGCCATTTGTTGCTGACACTGTTGCTAGACCATTGAAAAGTTGAAAAAGCAGAATTGGGATCTCAAATTGGAACTTTACCACCGGCGGGAGCGCCAGGCCATGCTCGAAGAACTCGCCAAAACGTCTCAAGAACGAGCAAAGATCCTACAAGATGAGCACGCCAGCATTATTGCGCAGCAAGCAGAAACAATGCGCCTCAATGACGACCTTGCGCAAGAGCTAGATAAGCGTGACAAAGCCTTGTTCGAAGCTATTGATATGATTGTGGACTTGCAAACGACTGTGGCTGAGTTGGAACGAGAGAAGGCCATGGTCCGTATCGTTGAAGCAGACCTGCATGGACCCGCCATATCAGGACAAGTCGATAATTTTGATCGAAGCACGAATGCAAGACCTTACCAGCCAAACTCATCGGGGCTTCCTCTAACTACAGACTTCTCCAGTCGTCTTGGCGATCCAAAGACTCTGGAGCGCATGTCAAGCTTCCTGTCTGAGCGCGGCGAGCGTACTGCAAATTTACGCGATATGATATTGCACAATAAGAGCAGTTTTTTCCATTCGCGGAAGATATCTGAGGCGAGCACCATTCAGAGCGAATTCAATCGCAGTGTCAGTCCCGGCGTCAGCCTTCTCAGTGAAAGTTCTTTCCTAAGTGTTTATGGCATGAATAAGAGAACCCCAGACCAGATGCTTTCACCGCCCGAGCCCGAGGAACCATTAGTGATGCAAAGCATCGAAACGCCGGGGCCAAGGAGAAATACTCGCAACTTCTCTGATGGTTCTAGAGCTTCCAGTATCATCACTCCTTTGGCATGGGCAGATTCACAGACCAAGTTTCTCGACATTAGGTCACCATTACAGCAGCTTGAAAGACTAGATGGCAAACTCTCTGTTGAGGGGGGCTCGCGCCCAACAACTTCTAGCGCAGCAAGATCGGCTCATCCGCCAGTCTCACAGCGACAACGGGCACAAATAAAAACAAACCAGGAAAAGAGGGACTCGCTGCGTCGAGTTGTCACATCATCGCCAAACGCCGACGACTTGGCGAATGCCCACATGCTTCCACCAACGCCAGACACTACCTCGAGCTCAATGTTGCGCCGACACCAAAACTCGCACGAAACACTTTCTGAAAAGTCTAGTATCACTCCCCGAGAGAGCATCGCGCATGAAATCCACATGACTCCTGTAACAGCTTTGCCTCCTCAGATATCAACCAGTTCTGCCCAAGGTGACTTTTCTCGCCCATTGTCCAAGTTGGCAACAACAGAGCGTCCAAGTTTCTTGGGGGCCCCACTTCCTGAAGAAGAGGCATCGCGTACCCAGCAACTTGTGCGGACAGCATCTCAACGACCTCGTTCGGCTGATGAGACGACAATATCTCGTCATCTTGCGAACAGCTGGGATTCCGACAGCGACTCTGAAGGTGGTGCTGATGCATATTCTGAAGCCAACGACATGGACTATTGGATACGAGAAGGCGCGAAGCCTAACCCCAAATCCACAGCTCCTCGCTCAACTTCCCCGGATCTCTTCAGCTTCCCTACTGAGTCTGGACGATGGGAGACCGATGTCATTTTTGGCGCGATGCGAGGCACTGGCTTTATGGGTTCTCCAGCTCCGGGTCTCAAGCGCGACCCCATGGACCAGCTCTCCTCAAGCCCATTGATTGCCCCAGAAGATGGCGTTTACTATCCGCCTGAACCAGATGCACCCGATGGAGGCATCAGCGCCCCTCAACGTCAATCTAGTCGTTCAGCCAGGACCAGCAGTATGACAGGCAGCGAAAATACGCTGGAACCAGTCAAGGCTAGAAAGGGCCCTGTCCGTTGGAGTGACTCCACACGAGGTTCTGGGCGTACGAGAAGTAGCAGCATTGACTCTGCTGCCCTCTCATCCTCGGTGAATGGTCCTACCAAGTATCTAGGCGATGGATCAGGCGCACTGAAAAGAACCAACCATCCGCCTCTTGCAGGCCAGCCGGCGAGGCAGAAGAAACCCAGTACGCTCAACAGACTATTCAGAAGATCCCTCGGAGGCTCGCAGGACCAGGCAGAGGAAGACCAAGAACAAAGAACTCCGACGGGTCAGGCGCATGCACGCCCACGAAGGAGTATACACTCAGGAAGGAGTAGTGTGCCACCGCCAGCAACAACGCCTTGGCGGGCTCCTGCAGCAGTGTTAGAATCTGACCTCACGAGCGCAACACCGCCTCCAATTATGAGGAGCCGCGGACATCGTCCAGACTTCGAGCTTCACAAGAGCGGTGATAAGCTTCAAACTCCACGAAGTTCCAGAGTGGTGTCCCCTAGTCTCCTTCACCAAGTAACATCTGAGACGGATAATGAGATGGATACACCCCAGAGTGGGCGGCGCAAATGGTTGAGCCTAGGGAGACGAAACAGCCTGAGAGGCCGCAATTAGAACGACGACGTTTTAGTCATCCGTGAAATGAGACCCCGACATTGATACCCTCCTTGTTGATAATTGCATAGCTTATTATAGCATCAGCTATGGCGTCAATTGATTTCTTTTCTCTTTTTCCTTTTCTTGCTTTTTTCTTCTCGGATACGTTGAAATGACGCAGCACGGTCAATTCTGGCATAAAAGTACGTGGCCTTTCGGCCCTTGTTCACCGGAAACATCGAAGCGGCGACATTTAGACAAAGTATTCATTGATAAAGCTGAATAAACTCATTGTCGAGAGCTACATGAACATGTTGCAGGCAAAACATGCTTGTCAAGAATACCCAAGATTGATCTGCTGAACATACCTGCGTAGCACTAGATGACGTTTCTAGCCGAAAGTCTTTCAGTTCAGGAGTTGTTCTTCCGGATGTTTATGGCGTCTGCTTATTTGGCCCAAGCAATCAATATTTGTGTTTTGTAATTGCGCGGAATCGACATATATTTTGCACATATATCGTCTGTCCATCTGTTCAAGTTGACGCTCCAGCAGGACTCCTCCAAGCTGTCCGGCCCCCCTGTTAGACCTTTGGACACCCGAGGAATTAGCGCTCCCGATCACTGCAAACCTAGCGCAGGGACCGATCGCAACAGCCTGAGTGACATCACCACTTGCTTTATTAAACACCACTGAGCTTCCATCATGTTCAAATAAACGGGCATAGCAGCTAATTGCCGTGTATTGTCACATTCTCCCCACATATCACTTTATTGAACTTGAATCGCGGATGTTCATGCTCAAAGCGTTGTCAGCAGACCGACAAATCATCAAGTTGTTCACCACATCAAAGCGAGTTATGGCACGCAGTGCAATCAACGCTGAGAGCGGCGCACCTCGGCGAAGTCAGAGAAATATCAAGGCCAACAGCACAAGCAACGGGACTATAAAAAATGAGGCAGATTTGTCTGACCCTTACCCTCATGCTAATCACAAAGCTACCGCAACAACTCCAAAGAGTGGCAGAGTGAAGCGGGTGAAACCAGAGGAGGAGCCAGGCCTAGGAGCCCCTGAAGCATTGGAATCATCCACTCCAAAGTCGCGTAAAAGAATCAAGAGGGAAGCCAGCGCAAGTGAGAACGTGAAAGAAGAGTCGCCAAGTCCAAGGAAGGTCAAGAAAGAAAAGACCAAAGCCGACAAGGCAGCAGATTTACAAGCGAAAAAGCTAAAGCAGTATGCACAATTTAGCAAAGCATCACCCTTTCCAGACTTTGCGCACCCGACTCCCGAGGAATGCAAATTGGCGCGCAAGATTCTCGTGAACCTTCATGGCGACCGCCAGCGGCCAGAGGAAGTGGTGGCGCCAACAAACCGCGCTGGTTGCGGCGACTCGCGGTCAGTTCTGGATGCGCTCGTGCGGACCATTCTGAGCCAGAACACGAGCGACAAGAACAGCACGCGTGCCAAGCTGTCCATGGACAAGGCCTACGGCGGTAGCGACAAGTGGGACGCCATTGTCGAAGGTGGACAGGCCAAGCTGCAGAAGACGATTGAGTCGGGTGGGCTATCGCAATCCAAGTCGCGCGTCATTATCGACATTTTGCAGCAGGCCAAGGCAAAGTACGGCACCTACTCACTCGACCACCTCTTTGAGGCCAGCGACGAGGATGCTATGCGGGAGATGCTTGCGATGCATGGAGTAGGACCCAAGACGGCCAGCTGCGTGCTTCTCTTTTGCCTCCGCCGTGAGAGTTTTGCCGTCGACACGCACGTCCACCGAATAACGGGACTCCTGGGCTGGCGGCCACGGGATTGTTCCCGGGAGGAATCGCACGCCCACCTCGACGCCCGCATCCCTGATGAGGACAAGTACGCCCTGCACATACTCATCATCAACCATGGAAAGCGTTGTGACGAGTGCAAAGCGGGTGGGAAGAATACAGGCAAATGCGAGCTAAGAAAGGCATTCAGGGGAGGCAAAATCAAGGGTGAGGCGGGTGAGGCCGTCAAGGAGGAAGAGATTGAAAAGATCAAGGAAGAGGAGAGCGAGTCAGAGACGGAGAAGGATGCCATTGCGCATGCTGTCGAATCGACTTAGATTTTGTCGGCCAATGAGCAATGGTCCTTTTTGGGAGAAAGACAATCTAGGCACGAGATATCATATTCACTAATCAGCACTTAGGATGCGATGTTTGGCTTCGAATTACAAGCTTCGGTAGGCACTCTGTATCCATGATGGTGCAGGTATATAGGTATATTGATGAATATGTATGTATGTACTAGCCTAATCTTGTTGGGGGCTCGTACCTGTCAGCTCTATCGAATGAGGCCCCTCCTCCATTGCCGAAAGCGTCCGTGTTGAAGGTGACTCCGGACCAAGGTTTCCTGACCACAATTCCATAATCTCGTCATGCCACGATTAGAGAGTTGAAAAAGCAAGATTCATGATACGGATGTCTCGATCCCGAATCTTTTGTTATACTAGCTTGCGAATCACCTTTCAATAGTCTTCTGCAGCAATAAAATGGGCTTGCATGCGATGGGTGTCCCCCCCTATCAGACACCAGACGGGTGGGTGAGCCTCTCATGTACCGTGCCAATGGAAAAGCTTGAATACATGGCCACATTATCTCCTTCTGGCAAAGTCTGGTGAATTCGGGTCTAAGCTGTACGACTTCAGGCTCAAATGGGCCCGGAGGATTCCCTATAAGGCAATCGAGGGTGGGCCTATACGTTCAGCTGTCGTTCAAAGGTCACGATCTGATGTTTCTTTACTCCATCGACAGCCGCGGAAGCACTTGCTGGGCCCGTTTTTGTTCTTATGACCTCAGGACGAGATTGCTTGTCGAATGGAGTGTCTAACCGGGGCTTCGTGCAATCGGCAAATAAGTTGAGCATGTCACTTGTCGAGACTGGAGACGGCCGCTCGGTTCCAGCTCAATCGACCCCTGTACAAATACTGCCGGGGTGCTTGCAGACTATCCACCACCTTGTTGTCAACCAAACTATTCCTTCGCAGGAGTCTAGATCGTGTAATATTACGAGATGAGAAAAGGAATCAACTGGCTCTGTTTGTGACGATTTCAAGGAGGCGAAATCTTCAACTATTCATGAGAGATATGAAAACTTCAAGTGATTCACAACAAGGCACAATTTTTGTCACCATTTGACAAGTCCATGTGTAGAATGGCAGAGCGGTACCGGCTGTCGATAGTCATGTAGAAACACCACAACTGGTATTTCTAAGAATAAGCCACAGTAAGCGTCTCTTAAGTACGTAGACATTCCACCATCACGGAGCCGCAGGATTCATGCAGCAAGGTACGGATACGACACTCCACCGATGATGCAAGTGGCTCAAACTTGTGCAGATAGTCGCGGTCTCTGGCCTGTCCTGCATGGGCCTCATTGGGTTGTGTCCGTATCGTGAGATTTGTGGCCTGTTTAACTCCGTTCTTCAGCTCGCGTCCTGCGCAAGACTACCATAGAAACTCGAGTACATATATCAGATGCAGGACAGAGCATCATGCCTGGGCCTCTTCACGTAGGGATCGCTCAAGATTGTCACTCGCGGCGAGTATCACCGAAATGCATCTACCGGCCGTGCTCCTGGCGAGCACTCTGTTTTCCAGCTCCGTAGTCCACGGGCTCTTTACACGTTCAGCTGGAACAGTCGCTTGTGCCAACCTCACATCGTCGCTGGGAGTAGCCAAGGTTGTCTCGACGCCGCTGAACCCTGAGTATATCGCCACGACGCAGGACTATTGGAACGCTCGACAGAGTGTATACACGCCAGCTTGCATCGTCTACGCCCAGTCCGCACAGGATGTCTCGGTTTCCCTGAAGGCCATACGAGCGGCTGGCTCTCGGTTTGCCATCAAGTCTGGCGGCCACAATCCAAACAACTTCTTTTCCTCGGTTGACGGGGGTGTCCTAGTCAGTCTAGAACAGATGACGGGCATGTCCTACGATGCAAGCAGCACTCTAGCATCGTATGAGCCTGGCAGCAACTGGGGCGAGCTCTACGAGTACTATCAGCAGTTTGACGTGACTGTTATGGGCGGCCGGCTTGCTGGCGTTGGAAGCGGACTGGCCTTGGGTGGCGGTCTGAGCTACCTCTCACCACAGTACGGCGTCGCATGTGACTCGTTCCGTGAGCTCGAGGTCGTCCTCCCGAGCGGTGAGATTGTGACCGCGTCCGAGAGCACAAACGCGGATCTATTTCTGGGCCTACGGGGCGGAGGTGGAAATGCCTATGGCGTGGTCACAAAGTACACTGTCCAGAGTCGCCCCATTGGCAACTTCTACGCCGGAAACCTCGTGTACCTGTTTGAGCAATGTGACGCCGTTCTGGAGGCGATTCACGACTTTATTGCGTACAACAATGACTCAAAGGCATCGATCCTGCCCACTTACGAAAAGCTTCCGACGCCAGACGTCAATCTGAACCTGGACGAGGCCATTATCCTGTTTGTGGTCTACGATGGCGAGGATCCCGGAACAGCATTTGACAACTTTACCAGTATTCCTCACATCATAGACACACGCTCGGTCAAGACGTACACGGAGGTGGTCAATATGCCCGTGCCGTTTGTGGCAGAGTTGACCAGGGCCGACAATGTGTTCCGTTCTGGTGTCCACCATATCGAGGACGAGAGCTACAAGACGGCTCTTGACACGTGGAGGACCTGGGCCGAAGACAACAAGGGGAGCTACATCCACACTGGTCTCTACCTATACCCGGTCTCGCGTAGTCTGACCGACGCCAGCAAGGCACAGGGCGGCGACGCCATGCAGCTGCCAGACGGGCCGTGGTTCTGGACAGCCTACGACCTCGCCACTCCGCCGGGACTCATCGACTCTGTCTATGATGCCATCCAGGACAGCTTCCGGGACATGGTTGCGGCCACGCCCGACGCGGATGATCTGCCACTGTTCCTTAACGAGGCGGCTTGGGATCAGAACCCATTGTCTACCTTTTCCACTTACAGCGAATTGCAGCAGACTAAGCAAAAGTATGACCCTGATGGCTTCTTCGCCAACAAGACCGGAGGTTGGTCATTTGCTTGAGGCCTATGCAATGTTCAAAGCTTGAGAATAAATTCCTAATAGTTAGGCCGGATATTAAGGGCTGTTAATCGACTTGAAATTATTCCGAAGGACATGTACTGCAGACATGTCAAGTTTGATATATGCTCTTTGTTTACTTAATACTGGTCTACCGAAACTACAAGTTCAATCAGACGATATTGAAGAGAAGGATTTCTTGGGTGGGAGCGTGTGGAGTCGGCATCGCAGTAATTACTCCTGGCGAGTCACCGTCAAAGCAAGATGTGAAAGACCCAAGTGTACCTTGTTTTTATTTTCTACAGCATCCCTCGAATCTTATCATGTACAAGAATATCGACCACAAACTTGCTCTCCTAAAAGTACGAGGCCTCGATGAGGAAGCCAACAGTGAACTGTGTTGTCAATATTAGCTATATTCTTGACATGAAATCCTGGATGACTCACCTTGGCGTGCTGGTAGACGTGCGGAATGCTGACTGTCGCGACAGTGTCTTGGGATGAGTGGATGTAAGGGCTGGAGTCCTCCATGTTCTCATCACACACGTATGCGGCCGGAAAACCGGCGTCTCGGGCGGAAGCACTGGGAACAGTTCAGCGAAATGATCACGCTATGGTCTCGTAATATCTTTGTCAGGGCACCCACTGGTCACTGCAAGCGTAGCCACATGCATCCGTAGACAGGGGCAGGTCGCTATACACGGGCACGAGCTTCTTCAAAAAGTTGGTTAGACTTGTGTCGACAAAGTCTGTGTAGACGGCAATGACGTTGTTGGGCGAGTATCCGGTCATGTCCTGGTTCATGACGGCAAGGACATTGACGCCCGACGTCTTGTAGGACTGCATCACATCACGAGAGCCGAGACAGCCGCCCTCCTCGCCTACGAGTAACGTTAGTATACATGCTCGTCGGGAAATGTCTCTTTATTTCCCCCCGACTTACCAGAGTAGAAGTGGAATTCAAGAGTGTTGCCGCCCTTGTACTTGGCCTCGGCAAGGACTCTCAAGGCCTCGAGAATAACAATAATACCCGATGCATTGTCGTCAGCGCCAGGAGCTCTGCCGTTGGCCGGGCTGCCGATGCTGTCATAGTGCGCAGAGACGACGATGACATCAGTCGAGTTTCCGGGAATGGCGGCAATGACGCTGGGCTGGTTGTACGAGTGCGTGAACTGCTTGACGGTGATGGCCGAGTTGGCCGAGGCAACATCAACGACGGTGTTGTACATCCACGTGGCACTGGTAGCCGCGTATGATCCCTTGTAGTAGCGGTTGTAAAACGCGGCCATGGATGTCAGCCATGAGGACAAGGTGGTTTGCTCGACATTGGCAATCAGGGCGTTTGCCTCAGTCTGGTGGCTTGGAGTAGTTGGAAACGCAGCCGCCTGCACCTCGGCAATGTTCATCATTCTGTCGATGCGGATGGCCTCAAGTTCCTACATGGTAATATCATATTAGAATCACCTTGACATGAAAAGTGTAGACTGGGTTGACGTGCCATGGTATCCGTGATGTCGACAAAGCCCAAACCCTTGTAGGTGAACTTTTCATACTTCTCCTCCTCTGTCATCCAAGTACCGGGATCTTCGTCCGATGACTTGACTAGACGGAGGCCCTCGGCGCGCCTGTCCGGCGACGAGTTGGCCACGGCGCCGAAGGCAGTGGAGACATTGAGCGCAACGGCTCCGAACAGAGCAAGAGTCGGGATGCGGACCATGTTGTCGGTTCTTTGATAGACCCAGAGTAGACAAAATTCAGAGGAGCCAACTTGTTTCACAGCCTTTGGTGTCTCGATTGAAACCAGATGATGGGGGCGAGAAATCCCCCATTTGAACAAAAGACCAGGCTCTCAACTTCTCAAGCGACATGGCTTTTCGTGACCGTCGTCAACAATGGCGATTTCCAACGGCAATCGTATGCACAGAGCCGCCAAGCGCCGTGGTCACCATGATGTGTATATGGCCTTCTAGAATCGCCTTGGGTTGCTCTTACCAGCTGCCCTCCGCAGCGAAAGCGTCCGCAGCCAAGTCTTTTCATGTTGCACTCGTTGGGGCGCATCGCCGCTCGCCAAGGCGCTTATCGGTGCTGGAGACAATGTCGGACTGGTTGCCACTGCATAGGGGTTCAGGCATATCACTCTTGGCACTATAAACTAGGAGCGGCAAACAAAGCTTCTACGTTTGCAACTTTCTCCAGTCGTTGCATCCCTTCAAATTTGCAAACGAGTGCTGCCATTGGAGCAGAGTCATTGTTTCGGGTCGGCTCGGCGGACCTTGACTACCGTCTCCCATGGTCGCAGATATACTCACGTGGTATGACTTACGCTTAAATCTAATTGTGTCATGCTGCCCAAGCGAAATATTTTAACATTTCAGATCTTTAAAGGTCTGGAAGTGGCTGCAGCATGGTTCATGCTTCGGACTATAATACATCCCTAGGCTATAGCACCATAGGCTGCTTGGGTTGAGAGATGCATATGCAGGTCTGTAAGTAGTCATCTGTCTTGTCTCTTTCAAAGACTCAAATTTTACCCTTTGATAACTTTCGAATATATCTACGTCTTTAGACAAATAAAAAAAAAGAAAAAAGCATTCAAATTAAAGATCAAGGCGATTCATGTCTTTGCATTGTCCGACAGCGTTTGCAAAACCCCTTTCAAGTTTGTAAAAGGCTCAACGCCAGCTTTTTGAAATGCTCCTTCAATGCACAAAAGTTCTGCACGTAAACCATGTTCGACTAGTACTGAAAGGACTCATTGAATTGTGACACAGTTACCTGAAATTGCGTTCAAAGGTGCCAAGGTGCTTTCTCACGGTTGCAGGAAAGGAAAAAGAATTTCAACGGATCTTATGTCCATCATATCATTGTTCCCAGAGAGGCAGGATATGTAAGTGTCAGCTTCTTCTACAATCAGAAGAAAAGATATTAGTTTCAGACTCTTGGTTATCTCGTGCAAGGAAGACTTATTTGCGTAGTATGATCACCAACAAAAAATGAAAGCGTCGACCTGATAGAACGTTCATTTACATTGGAACGGCCATCATTATAGTGAATCAGCATGGAGGAGCGAGAAACAGCTCCCCAGTCTGCGTCAGCGCCCCTCCTAGATGAGGAGGTTGCTGTCGATGAATTCCAGGCCACAGTCGAAGCACAATTGGCCCGCCATTCTAGTTCTGTCAGAGCTCTCGAACTGCCCGAGAGCGATCAAGATATCACGCTGCAGAATGTCAAGAGAGAGCTCTCCCCGGGGCGCGACGAAGAATCGGCCGAGAGGGAGCTCTTACCAGGTATTGAAACCGTCATTGACCTGACTGGAGAAGACGAGGCGGTCCAGCAAGAAGAACATCGGGGTAGCAGCACAGATTCTGCTCCTCCAGCTCGCAATTCCATACCTGCACCAGCCGACCAGCTTCAAGTGTTTCAACATAACCCTTCCGAAGTATCCTTGCGACCTGGCATGCTGGTCGAAATCAACGAGATTAGACAACTCTACCACGCTGCGTTCCTCATGATACAGTACATTATCGATACACCGGATGGCATCGTGCTGCGCGGTCTCCCCTTGACACGAACGAGATTCCTCAGGGGACAACTTCCTCGTTATCGGAACGAAGTTTGCCTCGTCCTTCAAATCGATGAAAATGATCATCGTGATGACATGTTACAAGCAGCCGTGGATGTGCCAGTGACGGATGTCATAAGAGAAAGGGAGTTGCACATCACCAACGAGGACTTCCCAATTCATAGATTCGGTGGCGTTTTCCACTCCATAGAAGACATTGAAAACAAGGCTTTGCTGGCGTGTCGTTGGAAGTATCGTCTCTTATACAAGAGTACAGCTGCCAGGAAAGCACGTCAATTGCCATGTCACTATGTCCTTACACACCTGAGAGCCGAAGACATATTGGATGCCCAGTTGCAAGTCAGTGACACGACACGCCTGAATCGATGGAGGGGGAACAAAGTCCGTGGTGGCTCATACAATGTCAATACTCGCAAAGATCTGGAGGCCATCGAAGATCTCGAATCGGATGGAGGTACAGAAGTAGCATGGATCAAAAAGGACCAGGGTCAGCGATACACCATGGGTGACATGTTTTCGGGTGCTGGCGGCACGTCCCTTGGTGCGCAACAAGCTGGCTTGCATATCCGTGTCGCGTGCGACAATGCCCAACATGCGTGTGCCACGCATCGCCGCAACTTTCCCGAGACCGATCTTCGAGAGGAAGATATATGGAAATTCATCAGTGAAGATCTCACCTGGGGCGGCAAAGGAGACTATGTTGACGTGTTGCACCTGTCTCCTCCGTGCCAGTTCTGGTCTCCTGCTCACACGGTATCTGGACAAAACGACGATGCCAACATTGCCGTCCTATTCTCCTGTCATGAGCTCATCAAGAAGCTCAAGCCGCGCATCTTCACGCTGGAGCAGACATTTGGCATTCTCCATCCCCGTTTCGAGCACTACTTCAATGCTCTCTTGCACGGGTTTACGCAGTACAGCTATTCAGTCCGTTGGAGGGTTATCGACCTCCTTGAATGGGGCCTACCATCGAGAAGGAATCGTCTGGTCATGATAGGCGCTTGTCCGGGTGAGAAACTGCCCACGTTTCCCGCCAGTACCCATGCAAGGAATCCGCCACCCGGTAGCGGCTTGAAGCCTTTCACGACAGTCAAGGATGCAATGAAGCTGATCCCGCCCAATGCCACCATGCACGAGAAGAAGCATGTGCGGTTCAAAGACCACTGGGATCCGAGCATCCCCCTTGCTCGATGCATCACGACACATGGCGGCTTTGGCAATTATCATTACAGCGGGAGACGGGACTTTACAAATCGAGAACTCGCAACCATGAATGGCTTTCCAGCTTGGTACGAATTCCATCCGCAAAATGTCAAGAAGCAGATTGGAAATGCTTTCCCTGCCCGCGTTGTCCGAGTGCTGTATAGTCATTTGTTGAAATGGCTTGAGGACGAAGATCGCGTAATGCCAGTAGAGGAGCAAAGCAGGTTCGAAGAGGAGTCCGAGTACGAAGTTGTTGAGACGGACGTTGAAGATGATCTAGAGTACTTGGGTCAGGCCGTCAAAGAGAGGAAGAACAGCGCCGTAAGTGATTTGATGGAAATTGACTGCCCCATGTCTTGTGTCGATGCCGACCAGCTGGTAGAGCCGCGGCACTATAGTATTGTAGACTTGACCAAGTCGCCTAGTGTTTGTGTCAGCAGGAGTCCCATCTTGATTTCGGACGATGAAGGAGGGATTATGCAGTGAAGATGCAAAGACTTTGCGCCGTGATATTAAAGCGTGATATTTTCACATCTTCATGGTTTACAGGAAAGATGTATTCGTCTTCACGCTTGAGGCGTGGGAAAGGACCAGTTGTGCCCTGTGCGACACGAAAAGACGACGATGAACAAGATATGATGGGCAAATATCGGTTATGCGTTTCCAAAATTGTATGGGGAATCACTAAATCATGTTGAACAGGGAAAGAATAGGGACTGAGTTGAAAGAAAGTATTTTACAAGGAGTAGTATAAGTGGCCGGCGGATGTACACAAGGAATCCAGATCTTGCACAGATAATACGGGCTGACGGTACCTGAATAATGTGCTATGATACGTCCGTACACATGCACTGCAGCGCCTACCTGACATACATACATACCTACATACCTTGGAGACCACGACCCCGCATTCACCCCACCATGAACGATAAGATAAAAATTACCATGATTACCTACAGGACCCTAAGCAGGTGTGATTCTACCCGAGCATCATTGCAACCTTTTCACCTCACCAAAGGAGACTTCAGCACTATTTCCAACGTGGAAACCTACGAAAATAAGCAGCTCCATCATAGCCTCGCCCACCATGACCAGTGCAGATGAGAGCAAGCCGGTACAACCCGCCCTTCAGGCACAATATACCAACGCCTCGACGACGTTGCCAGCAGAGCCCTTTACACTGACACAGACGCTACCTGCCATCCCATCGTCCTCGTCCTCGTCGGAGCCGCCATCCGCCTATCTTCGCGCCCTACGTGATGCCGTGACCCAGACACAGAGCCAGATCAACGAGGCCCTGACCTCGCGAATGGAGGACGACAAGCGGCGCGAGGCCGAGGCTGCCCTAGCCGCCGGCCAAGGCACTGGAGCTGGGGCCAAAAACAACAAGCGCAAGAAGGGCAAGACCGAGATTGACGAGGAGGCAGAGGAGCAGAACTACGGAGAAGAGGTTGTCGATGAAGATTGAGGGGCGAATTCCGTGGAATTGCACAAAGCGAAAAACGCCAGCCCAATTGCAAAGGCGAAGGTAGTGGCCGCGGAATGTCAATTCACCCTCTCTCACTTGGCCGCTTTATCCTTTGGGCTGTCAGTTCAACAACTGACAAGTGCTTCAAATGGCGCCCAACCACTCCAACACCCCTCGCGGAGAACGAGCAAGTCCACCAGAGAGCTTGGTCAAGAGCATGCATTCTAAAAAGGCGTTTGAAGCAACGACAGGATTGTGCATCGATTTCTCTCTACGACTGGGTATAATTGACTTCTCCAATTTCCGTCTCTCCCACCACGAAACCAATTGGATAAACACGAGACACCAATGCTATGTGTATATGCTGCAACGCCAAAGTGCGAGCCTTCATGAACGCCATTGCAGTTTATGAACTTCGACCCCAAGCGCCAGCCGTGACTCTCCCACCACTTGTGCTCGTTGGTCGCCTCCCACCGCCTCTGTTCAGGCAACCGTAGTGGACGACACTGTTGTTGGGCAGGACTGCGACAACACTGTTTCCTAATCGCTTATGGCAAACCCCACAAATGCGCTCCTCTCCAACAACAACTCTCCTATTCCTTCCACCCTGGCCCCCAGGCATCCCGTCGCCAAGCAAGAGAAGTGCCTGAGTATCAACTAGCAGAGTCCTGCGCATTCCCTCCACAATTCGGCTCTCTGCCAGTCTTGAGTTGGCCGCACGAATACGACTACCGAAGTAGGATTCCAATTCCTTGACCGGCAAATCGTCTGGTATAAGAGAGATTGTCGACGATGCAGGTAGACGAGAACCATGCTTGGAGAGCAGGTCCAGAGCAGGTTCCAGATTCGGTTCATGCGGAGAAGGTGGTGTAAGGTAAAGACCTAGGAGTGTGTGGTAGATTGAAGGATGCGAGTCTGGATCGTCTTGGTCTGTAGGCTCCTCGTTTGAGCGTTGTTGGGATGAGGAGGGACGAGACGTGCGTCCGAATATGGATACTGTTGGCGATGTTCCAGAGGATGAATTCCGCCGTGTTTTATGTACACGATTACAATATCTTGAAGTAGAATTAGCGAGTGTATATCAATGAGCTTTCATCATTGTGACTTACTCCTCGGCCTTGGCGTAGTCCCTCATCTTGAAGACGTAAACCTCTAGGGCCTGCTTATCTTGGTGCATCTTGCTAAACACGACTGCCAATGCCTCATAGAAGCGCGGATCTGAGTTGTGGTTAGCTTGACAGAGGCTCCACCAAGGGGGGAAGCAAACTCACCGTCTCTAGGAATTAGTCTGTACGCTGGGCCTGGGCCATACTGCTCGCTATTCTTGAGGAAATCTACAAGCTTTTCGGATGCCTCGCCGATACTATCATCGCCTTCCTTTTGCTCTTGAAGCTTCTTTATCCGGAGCTCGACGACTCTGTTGTGGAAATCTGGCGTCGCATCATCCAGTTCATCAATTATGTGCTCCAAATATCTCAGCTCGAGGTTCTCGTCGAAAGCAGCAAGATATTCCACGACGCGATCTCTGGGTAACGTTTCAGCGTTCTCAGAGTCAGCCAAGAATATGTCCATGCCGTGATCTGGGTCTCTTCGCAAGACCCATTCGGAGAACTCGAGAATGAGATCGATAAGTTCGGGCGGCAATGCTTGCAAGTAACCAATGGTACGTCTTGTACCGCGGAGCTGATCTGGGACTTGATTAAAATCGATGGGGATCTCCTCTGTGCCGCCATTGGAATGAGCATGCTCATTGGCATGCTCATCATCCTCATGATCGTGAGCCTTTTCGCTGCCTGCACCCAGTCTTCGCTTCAATGTGCTGACCAAGGTTTTCTTTTCTTCATGATCATGTCCCTCATTGGCGATGCCAAATCTTCGGAGAAGCGTCAATGCCTCCTTGTGCAATTTCTTGCCGTAGAAAAACTCGACCAGTTCGTTATACCGATGAGTTTGCAACAACTTCTCGTTGACCACCTTTGGATCACAAAAGTTCGGGATTCGGAATAAGTGGGTTGCCAGATTTGGTTGCGATAACATATACACGCGGAACAGAGTAGTATCGACCAGTGTGAAAGTTGCTCTGATGGATTCCTCAAGTGCTTGGTCCGAATCCAGCTTGGATGTATCAACAAGGAACGATGCACTCATGTTGTTGATTGCTGCATGATCCTCATTTGTCAGCTGCTCAGGCTGGGTCCCAGATAAAGAAGAAGACTGTCTCTTCAGCTTTCCGGTTTCCACATCTAGTATGCGTTGTAACCGAGCGCGGGCTCCATTGAGGAAGAACTTGAGCTCTCCGGCGGCTTCCATCAGGTCTTTCCCTTCGAGCACAGAGTTCGCGGCTGGGATTGTTTCCGAAGGATGTCTTGATCCCTTGACACTTGCAGTCTCTGTGTCCTTGTCGACTACATGACCCTTTTTCGACATGATGGAAGCCGTATCTGAATCTGCTTTCTTGGCCCCGCCGCCGAGCGGCCAGTATCTCGCGAAACCTCCACCCCGCGTTGGCGATGCAGCATGTGCTGGAGTAGACTCGTCTTCAGATGACTTCTCGCCATTGGCTTTATCTTCTTCATCGGCAGATTCTTGCTCCGCCTCCTGTGCCTCTTGTTCGGACTCTGATACAGGCTCCTCCCGGGCCACTTCCTCGGCTAATTCTCCGGCAATTGCTCGCGGGAATAATTTGAGTACTCTCTCCGGAGGTGCGTAGACGTCGTCCTCGTTAAACAAATCCATGCTCTGCCTGTACTTTTTGGCGCGGAAAAGCAACTCGGCTTTCCGCATTTTCACCTCTCTCATCGTTGCAACCTTGTCCTTCAGCAGAGCATCTTCCAGCATTCCAAGTACACTGATAGCTTCGTCGTACTTTTTGTGCTCAATGAGTTCCGCCACCTGCGAGTCATAGTCAGTTGCGTCCATCTTCCACACGGCTCGATCACTGCTGATGTGAAAGCCTTTCCCAGCATGGGCAAGGCTAACAGTCGGTGGAGGGAAGTGCATCTGAACAGCTCCAGGTAAGCTAATATTCTGTATCAAGCTCAATGTATCCGGATTCCAGACGTCGAGTGAGCCTTTGGAGGGTGGCTGCAGTGCTAGAATATAGGGATAGCTGTAGCCAATATTGTCTGGAGCAATCTGCCATGGTATTTGCTTCTTATCGAGGGGTTTTCCTTCGGTATCGATAAAGAGTGAACTGACATCCTTTGCCAGGAGCATTTCGCCATCAGCCAACTTGGCGGTCAAGGGTTTCGGCATGTAGCCACCAAGTCCCATGTAACCCATGCTGGCTGCACCAAAGCGACTGCCCTGGCCACCAGCAGATGCCGCGCCCGAGCCGTTGATCTCCATTGTAGTCAAGGTATCGATATCGACAAGAACGTATCCGGCATTCATTCCGCAAACGATCTTGGTGGCGGTTGCCCATGTTACAGAGCGCACAGCCTCGGGCAGGACGATCTCCTTGACCTCATCGCTCAACTCGCTTGCATGCCAACTCCACAACAACAGCTTTCGCTTAACGGCTACAGCCAGCCTGGATATGATCTCGGGGATGTCTGTCGCCGCATCTTTGACAATGTTACTGGTTACGGCAAAGCAACTTGCATTCTTCGTACGCGCGAGAGTTTCGATAAGCTCGTAGCTTGATAGATCGTAGAGAGATACATAGTAGGCAGATAGTGACACGATAATGTTGGCCTCCTTGATTCTGGCTAGCTGTTCTATTGGGCGCGTTGAGAACTTTTCGACCTCGCGCAAGAGATCTGTTGCCTTTGGGTTACTTTTGTGTTTCGGTTGGTCTGTATCGTTTGGCAAGCTTCCAGTCGCAGACGCGACGCCGTTATTGTTGTTGCCACCATTAACGTTGCCAGCGTCTGTGGAGATATTGTTGAGACGGTAAATTCGTAGGGCGCCGGTGTTGAGGCCAACGAGGACCCGATCGCCTTGGGAACGATTTCTATTAGCTTAGGCGGACGGACAGATTGAATCAGGAGGCAAGTAGATGCAAATGAAGGAACTGACGTACCGTATGCGAGGATTGTCTCGATCTTTGACTTGTCGCGCTGCTTAAGCTCGATGATGGGCCGAGCTGTGAAGGCGGAGAGCATGGCGAATTGCCAGCTCGGAGATGGCTGCTCCGATGATCAACTGGCAACAAGCATGAGACACAAGCGGCTGCAGTGATAGATGCGCCCGCCGCTATTCGCAAGACTCGTTATGTCTGCGCCCTCATCTGAAGGGGAAAGATTTGTCCCAGTTTGCTGCAAGCTGGTGTAGGTAGTACGGAGTTGTAGCAGTGAATGTCATTTGACCCAAGCCCAAATGCAACTCCCAAGCTGTTGGAGCCGAGACCCTAGCAGGGGAAACCTTTGGGGTAGGTAAGAAGGTAGCGTGGGCCGGCATCTCGGGGCGATGATGGCATAGCTCTCGCCTAGCGCCGTTTGCCGATTTGATTTGGGTCTGACTTTCTACATGAAGGTAATGTATATTTTGATTGCAGCAGATAAGTCTCAAACTTGGCTACCAGCAGTACCTCAAAATGATGAGACCACCAAGCCTTAGACAATCGTCCAAAGTGTGTTTCAAGCCCTTCGAAGAGGACACAATACCACTTCTTCAACATGTTACAATTGTCACATTCGAGCAACTCTACAGTCCTTGCTGCCGGAATAGAGTGCAAGGCGCCTCTCAACATCTGGACTAGGTCACAAGATTAGTCGTTAATTGCCGCGACGCAAAACCACGATATAAGAATTCCATGATTACAAATCTTTCAATTACTGATATACCATAGCTTAATTCTGACATGGATAATAGTCGCCGTCCGAGTTCCTAAAAACCTATCTAGCATTCCGACAGCGGGCTTCCTGACAAAAGCTATCCGCTGATTGGCCCATTATAGAGGGCAAGTTTCGTGCTTCAACTTCTGGCAATGTAAGTGCTGTTGCTGTTATCAAAATTGTCTAATAACATGCCTCAGCAGTGAACAGACTATTGTGCCAAGGTTCCCGGATTTGAATTTCATACTTGGCCATTTTGCCTCGTGATCCTCGGCTTTGACTAATCAGACCTGAATCTCTGACAACCTTTCAATCTGGCCGGCGGCGAAGGGTACATGGGCTTTTGAGAGCAACAATCGCGAAAGTCTATGCTCAAGGTAATTTAGGAAGCAATGAGATGCCCTGGAGTCACCACGATACCTTTCTACCTTTTGGTTTGAGACCTAGGATTTGACGTTGACGAAGAGGGCAAGAAACTGACTCCAAATGTCGGCTGCCCTGGGAACCGCGAGGGCCAGCAATCGAATGAGATTGTGCAGGCTCCTACAAGGCAGTGGCGCAAGTGTTGAAGGGAAGCAGTGCCGAGAACTTGACCGCAAGGTCTCAACCGAATTTACGTAGACTGTGCACGCAGTCAAATTAAAGCATTTATGTAGCAGGAGGGAACTGTTCAAGAAAAACGCTGATGCCTTGTTGAATCAGTTAGAAAAGCCTAACTCCGAATCAAGCCTGAAACGCCATCCCTTTTCGTCGTAACTCATGAGATATCTAGTGTCCACCAGTTGTAGGAAGCTGGAATATGTTAGCAAATGATCTCATACACGCAGTCCCATGTAAACTTACTCCACAGTACACCTTGAAGGAATCATAAATCAACCATTGGAAGGCAGTCAGGGTGCCGATCATGAAGATACGGACTGGCAGACCGTTCCACAACCCAGTGAAACCAATGTTCTTGTAAATCCTGCCAACTGCAGTCATGGCCCCTTCGCCCGGCTTCCGGTCGGCATTCAACTTGCTCACCATGACATCTGCCGGGTGCGAAACAACGGCACAGCCAACACCAGCAATGTAACCACCCAAGAAGGAGACGCCCGTCTGCTGGAGGGTGTTGTATGACTCCTTGGGCTTGCCCATTTGTTTGTAGATCATCTCGACGGCCTTCTCGAATGTTGCAAACTTGACCATGGTGTAGGGAATTTGTCGCGCCCACAGAGGATACAGACCCTTGTACAAGCCAGACACGCCCTCCTTCTGAGCGACGTTGCTCCATCCCTCGCGGAGGGTCTTGGCATATGGTGGAATGGTAGTCTGCATTCTGACCTTGATGGCCTCGAATGGACACAAGGCCATATCGGCCAAGAACTCTGCCGATGCCGATGCACCCAGATAGACTATAGTCTTGGGGGCATTCGGGAAAAGCTGTTCGCCGTAGTAATATTTGAAGACCTCGTAGAAACCATACTTTCCGGCACCCTGGAATGCATAGCCCACAAAGGTAGGAGCCCAACCGGTGAAGACGCCCCGCAGACCTTCAGCACTGTAGATCTTCTTCCAGGCTTCGATATTAGACTTGTAAAGAGAGGAGTCTACTTGACGGCGGCACTTGACCAGGTCGAGGGGTGTGACGGAGGTGTGTGTCGGACCGCAAGCTGGCAAATAATTCGGGTTAGCAGTTGCGCTGGAGGAGAAGTTTCTCAATCAACAGCAAGAGAACTTACCAATGATACCACCTAATGTGCATGCTGCAAAATACGTAGGCGAGAACAATTCAATCTTTTGCGCAGGAGCGCTGCTCTTTGATTTTGTCGACATGTTGGATGCGGTTTGCACGGGCTGGGCAAGTAGAGGAGGGGAGATGGGTCTGGCAACAGGATCAAACACTGTAAATCTACAGACAAGATGAGCGGATGAGAAACAACGAAATCAATCGCCTGCAAATATACTCGAAATGCGCACAAGCAATTATTGAATACCTACAGGTTTAGAAGATCCGACAGGTCCGTTATCTCGGGCTCGCGTTAGAGCTCGCTCTCTTTGACTAGATCCAGGGAGCGACGCTGGAACAGCTCCCAGAACGGCATAATGATGTCACTGCACCAGTCCGTTACTCAGCCCAGACCCAACTACCCTACACCTACCCTTGTCCGACAGCAGATATCCTTGGCTAAACGACGCATCTCAGTCACTGGATTTGGGTCTATCATACTAGCAGCAAGCATCGTCATAGTCAGTACAGTAGTTGTGTCGGTCATGATCGAGAACATGGTCGACGTCTTGCTCAGCTCCGCATCCGAATTTTCTGTAATAATACACCTCTTTTGTCACGCGCTATTTGGCGACCTCGATGGCGACGGGATCCCCGGCTTGCACGGAGTTTGGTGCAGCGTGGTGGAGATACGAGTGCTCCAGTACCTACGGGCGATCCCGAAGCGCTAATAAGCTTCGCAGTCCTTATCTTATCCCCCTCTTAGTTGCATGTTATACTATTCCTATACTCCTGCCAAGATGCACGTTCGGCAATAGCAGTCTTGCGAAATAAATGACAGTAATCGAGCCTGACTGGGACTCCAACATCAAAATGACTGGAAACGACGACAATCAACTAAGTACAGTTCTATTCTTGGCTTGGGACTGACGAGACGATGCTGGAAAAGGTCTTGACTCTGTAGCCCTCAAACCTATCTCCAATATTCATGCGGGTTACGAGAGAACCACATCAAAGTGCCTCCTTGAGCACGAGGAAGAACGAACCACATTCTGTATTTTCCTGGTGTCTTTCTGTAACAACAGACATATGTTACCCATGTCATATTCTCAGTAATTGACTGACCAGTATCTTTCCAAGACTTCTTGCAATCTAGAAGGGGCTAGCCTGCAGCAATGGTTCAGTAAGTACTCGAAAATAAACGTTACCAGGCAATGGTAGACTCGTCGAGATATCTGGTTTTGAATGCATCAAGCTCACACAGATAATAATTTACATGGCAGTTGCTTTAAAACTGTGGGCAAGGTCCATTTCCGTGTACGTCTCGCTACCTGGTGATGATTGAACCGCCGATCCTGTTTCCCCCTTCCCATACAGCCTTCTAATGCCCTTTTCTATTAAGGCATAAATAAATAGTTACAAGTACCAAATAGAATGGTTACAGCGAATAGATATAAATGAAATGAGACAAAACGGTCTACAACAAAGGTAGGTTTCATGATTCCACAAGTAAAACATTAGACGCTTGGGGAGATGGCTTATTATTGTATTTGGCTACCAATGTCATTTTCGTGGTCTGGAAGGAGCAAAACCTTTCTATCCAACCAAGTTTCTACTTCCTGTGGCAATATTGATCAGAAGCCAAATGAAATGAAGCGGTGTGATATGTACTGTATACTGTGCTGTCTAATTTGCCATTGCTCGTATAATCTACTTGCGTGCCAATGAATTTTGGATGGTATCCTGTACAGAGTGATAGTTCTACTGCTATTATTTGTAGTTGCCAATTTCAGGCCTCTTTTCGCGTAAGGAAATAATAATTAGTATCGACGTATTTAAGAACAATCACTGAATTCCCAAGCAAATCAGAACAATCATCTGTCACTCGGTCTATCTTCGCTTGGTTGTAGGGACAATCAAATATCGGTTTCTCTGCATGTCAACCGGAGTTTGCCAGTATCCAAACGTGACCTCGTACTTTCCACGATTTTTCCAGTCCCAAACCCCATCCTGTTGCACCTTTAGTTCGAAACGACCCAACAATATCTACACACTCTATTCAAGCTTTTCCCACCGCCATTGGACCACGTCTCAAAGAACGACTTTCAAATCCAACTCCATCTACTCAAATCTACGAACCCTATTTCATTCGATCAGGCAAAATGGCTACTGACAAGGGCGCGAAGAACGCTCTCAATCTTGGCGACTTGACCAATAATGACCTTCGTCTCGTTGCCATTGCTTGGAACTGCCTAGAGGACAGCAAGGCAAGTAATTCCACCTTTTCTCCCTCCCGGAAGCTTTGGCACAAGATGGACCGAACGTTGCGTCGGCCATCCAATCCATTACTCAGTGTCGATCCACGGCATTTCTACAATGTTGCTAATTTCTGTTTCTCTAGATCGACCTGGACAAGTTCACTGCGGCAACCGGCTACGCCAACCCGACCAGTGCCCGAGTTTGCTTCAACGCAACCAAGCGCAAGCTCACCACCTTCTTCAACACCATCAGCAATGCGGGCGATGCAACCATTGCTCCCTCTCCCAAGCGCAAGGGCGCCGACAACACCGCTGATAACTCTGTACCCGCTGCCAAAAAGGGAAGAACTACGAAGAAGTCGCGCGCCAAGGCTAAGAATGTCAAGAACGAGGATGCCGATGTTCAGGAAGAGGCCGACGTTCTGGAGGATGGCGAGATCTAGGATCAGACATAGTCTAATACTCGGGATGAATCTTTGAGCGGCGGCAATAGCACAAAAGTACTGGCAAATTCTCACGCCATGGCTCAGCATACTGGTTCAGGGTCTGTTTAGGATGGATGTTGCGACAAAACTCCATACGTCTAATGGGTTCCTTGTAATGCTTGGTTTCATAGGTACCTACTGAAGATCAGATTGAGGTCACTAAGCAGTGGGCAGCTCGATAATTGTATACAGTTAACCACTGCCTCGTAACAAAAGCCTCATATGGGCGCGTGAAACAATGCGATTCCTACAAAGGTGGTGATATAACAGCAAGAGTCCCTCCGCAACCTGTGCTGATGATCCAAGAAATCTGGGAGCTTCTCGGAATCGACATACTCAGCACTGAAACACAGGTACATGATATGCCTGACGTCTTGCAGCTTCTATACATAATTACGATTGCAAGTTACTCCTTCACTTGGGAATGAATGAGGTGACGAGGCTCAATACTCCCATCATATGATCAAAACCTGAAAGCCACGAATGGGACATGTCCATTTATTACCGGGCTGATTCATTTTTACGTCGAGTGTGTTTGACCCCGCACTTGAAGGATTCACCTTAGGAAGGTAATAAGTAGGTCAGACCGCCCCGACTACAACAGCTTTTGTATAATAAACAGATTTTGTTCATTGCTTGGCGCCAAGTCCGAATTCTCTGGTCTTATATTGCGCTTCCAGCTCACATTGTGTTTAGCCAACGAGAAATTCTTTTGCATAATATCAAGTTGCTTACTAGTGCATCTCCAGCTCTCCCGCCATGTCAGACTTCCCACTCCCCCCTCGGCCAGCAACACCTCAGGTCCTAGTCCACCGACTTCCTGACAAGATTGAAGACTCTGACAACTCACGCAAGCCTGAGAAATATGTTGTCCTCATCTCAGGCTCCACGAACGCACCGGGGAAGGTCCAGATTGCACGGGAGGTATCTGCCGCCTTGTCTTGTGCTTTCTATCTTGGCGACAGCATGCACGAGTCTGCCGCCAAAGCTGCAAGTGTTGGGTTCAACCGCCAGATGCCCACGACTGGAATGAGTAGTGATGCTGGTGCAGTCGAATCACCGACACCATTGGGTCCAAACGAAGCACGCTATCAGCGCATGTGGCTATCCAAGATGACTCGCACTGGGCTTCTCTTTCCCGAGAAGTCTCGAGCGGCAGGTGAGGGCTTCTCGGGTTTTGGAGGCGCTTCGTCTACTTCAACGAGTCGCAGAGGTTCTGCAAGCTCAGTCGCTTCCGTCTCGTCAAGCGCAGCACCGGGATCCAGCATTGCGAGCAGCCGACGCGAGTCCACGAGCTTTGCACACTCAGGACCCCCAGCTTCAAGCACCTTTTCATCAGAGGGTCCCGTAGCTAACCTCCATACGTCAATCCCACCGTCCGAGAAGGAGCGTCGTCGACTTGCTAATCCCGTGCTCATGGTGCTTACACACCCAGAGCTGGAACAGTGGCACCGAGACGCCATTAGAAAAGCCGTCAAGGACTACAGCATTGGCATCATCTTTGTGCCCCTTGAACGTGGCTCTGATGAAGGTGGTGATGAGGAAGAACTGCCTATTCTTCGACCGCTCGACCCAACAACCATGACCAGTTTCCCGACTTCTTTTAGAGCCTTTGCCAGCAACGCACGCCGGGTACCTAGCCTAGATGAAGAATTGAAGCTTAACATCGACATAGAAAATGATATGGAGGGGCAGATAGCTGAGATCACCGAGTCGGTACGAGACATGATTAATATTGAGGTTTAAATTCAGCTTGTTGTTTCGAAGTGTACTTCTTTCTTGTCGAAGTCGCTATTTAAATAAACACAAAATCTACCGAAAGAATATAAGCCCAGTAAATACAAGCACTCGTTTCGCTAAGCCTTTGCCTCAACAGCATCAGTTACAGGCTCTTCATGATGCTTCTCCATCACGGCCTGTATCTCAGCTACAAGTCTGGATTCGCCCTTCTTGGTCTTCCAGGGCTTGGGCCCGTCCTTCGAGAACATGAGCTCGACCTCCTCCAGGGTCTTGCCGCACGTCTCAGGGTAAAAGGCAAAGAACCAGGCGGCCGCCGCAATGCAGAGCACACCAAACACGATAAACAGGTTCCACTTGATATTGATGAAGCCGGGTGGCGTAAACATGCCCAAGGCAAAGTTAAAAATCCAGTTGGACAGAGCGGCAAGAGACATGCCGGTTGCGCGTGTCCCTAGAGACCAGACTTCGGCCGCATAAATCCAGCATACGGGGGCCAAGGTTAAGGCGTAGACGACAATCAAAAGGTATGAAAAGACGATTACAGTATTGGCCGGTGCTCCACTGGTAACGGCAAAGATGACGTTCGGATTGCCATCGACGCCATCGGGCACGGAGTAGTTGTGGGCGGCCATGACACCTCCAATGACAAAATGACAGAAGCCCATGCCGAGGGCACCCCATACCAGTAGAGTCCGCCGTCCGGTCTTGTCAATGAAGAGCCACATGACGCCGGTGAAGATGATAAAGACGGCATACTGTACCCCGGATGTCACCATGCCTACGTTACCCGAAAGACCCGCCATTTCCGCAATGTATGTGAGGTAGTACACAATGACGTTTGCCCCGGCCAGTTGCTGTAAGACTTTGATCAGCTCATGTTTCTATTTCAAGTCACAGTGACGGCTATTACTCACCTGCCAGGCTTGAACTGACATACCAGCCAAAGTACGCTTCCACATGCCATTTTTGATGAACTTTCTCCAGCCCTTGCCGGCCTCGCGCTCCGCAATGAGAGTAGTTGAGATCTCGTTCCACTCGGCAATGACAAGAGGATCGTCAATATTCCCTCCGGCCTGGATCCGAGCTAGAGTCTCAATGGCCTCCTTGTCACGGCCAACCTTTGCAAGCCATCTCGGCGAGCGCGGCAAGAAGGGCAGACCCAGGAGCAGGAAGAAGGCAGGGATGAACTGGGTGCCCCAGGCAGTTCTAAAAGAAGCTTTTCCGTCGATAAAAGTGCAGCCGTAGCCGATAAAGTACATGACCAAGATACCAAACTCGATAGCGAGCTGTTGGATAATGACGATAGAACCACGCTTTTCCGCTTTGGCGATCTCGGCCAGGTAGACAGGAACCTGAGACGAGGTGATTCCAACCGTTATACCATTGATTACGCGACCGGCTATCAGGGTTCCCGAGTTCCCTGCCGCGACTTGTACAGCTGTACCAATGAGCCAGAAGAAACAGGCGATGAAGATGGAGTCGCGGCGACCGATCTTGTCAGATAAAGGACCAGCGACTGCTGACCCCAAGACAGAACCAGCAGCGAGGGCCGAACCGATTGCACCTTGTAAGGCTCCCGCAGGCTTATTGAAAAAGTCGAGATATTGCTGCGAGGTGACAATGGCAGCAATGGATGAAATATCAAACCCAAAACTGTAAATCATGAGTGAGTCCTCTAGTTCGGACAAACATTTTGTTCCAGGATACGTCTTACAGAGCACCACCTAGTGTGGCGATAATAGCCACGAAGTGGACATTATAAATTTTTGGGAACGTGATCCCCATGATCAATAATGAAATGTCAAGATGAATCCAGGCTCATACAAGAGGCAACGTATAACGCGCCCAATATGTTGATGTAGCAATATTCAAAACGGAATCGAGGAAGAGACACAAAAGGATGAGGTCTTGAGGAGGGCTCGAGGTGCGTCCCAGCTGGCCGGTAGCTATACTTTATCCTGGGCAACGTAACCCCCAACTCATATGCCTTGGAAGCACTTCGCAGGGATGGGAAGTGTTTACAACGCCAATCCTACTATGCATCATCGAAACATCCGGCCCCAGTCCAAGTCCCACGAATGGGACCACGAGCTCGACAGGCTCAAATGGGCCCTCTAACTCCAGACTTGACCCTAGCCAAGTTACACAATTCCGGATTATTATGCTCGAGTCGAATATTCATCCCCACATGCGACATTCACCTATTGGCTGGTGAATGGACTTGGGGCCGAAAGACTGGGAATTGAGGTGGTTTGTACGTAACCTGTAACTTACACGCCAAGAATTGGAGAATGCACCGCCCGTGTACGAGGGATGGCAATAGAGGGTGGCCATGAAAGAGCGGACAAGCAGTGAAGGTCCCAAGACTCCAAGAGTTTATGTGAACCTTGTTCTCCAAACTCATGCAGCATGGAGTATAGTTTATGGCCGCCCAAACTAATCTGGTCTGACCACAATGTAGCCACCCGAGTGAGAGGAAAAGTAAGCTGATCTAGCAGCGATAGCTGGATTCTCGAACAGAGGTTACGCAAGTAGAGGTTCCCAAATTCTTTCACAGGAATAGTCACTCTACTTCGTACGGACACAAGCATGATCTCAGCTTGGCTTGCGGGGTCTTTGACTTGTCATGGATCCGATCCAAGAGTTCGTGGGGTAGTCGAACCAAAATCGCAATTGGTGCGCCTATTCCTCACCTTGGTATGGCAACAATATAGTGTCATTTGTTTCACAAGTGGATTGAAACTGCCGAACGAATACCGGGCCGGCTTGCCACCTAGGACCCCCAAACGTAGGAACTAGGGTTGTATAGAGGCGTGTAGCCACCACAAATCGTAGCCTACGTCGATGAATCATGTTGCCTTCGCGATTTTTGGAGCCCGATTAAGAATCCGGGGTATGCACCAATCTCAGCACCTTGGCCTATCCATACGGTCCGTGACTAGCGAGTATGTCCGTGGGTCTTATTTGGACCTTTTAAGACCGTTGAGCACAAACTTGCAGCTACGACAGGGGTACAATGCAACTGGTTCGCGAGTGAGCATTGGCGGGGGAGGCTGGTCGCAGTACGATGTACAAAGTACATACTCTGAAGATTTGAGACCCGCGAAGAAAGAGTGTGCTCAAACGTATGCTGCAGGTGAATAACAATCCTACGCTCCCTTCATGCAGGATCTGCAAGCTGTTGCTAATCATATGATGAAGCCAAGCGGGAGCGTATTCTTGGCCATCGGGAGAATTGCTCGATATGGTTCGAATCTCCCATGCTATACAGAACCAGTCATCCCTACGCCATCTTTTCGGTGGAACAGCTGAAATTATTCACACAGCCTCTTTTGCATTGGAATAGTTTCTATCGGTCATTTCGCAAGAAGATGAATTTCAGTAGACAAGTACAACCAGATCGTGCTTTGGCTAATTCATTTCTACTCGGTAGATTTATCATAGCCGTGTACTAGTCACCAGACCGCTCATACTGCTTGTGTGGCATAACGTCGCACAGTTTTGAAGTCAGTGGTGGTTTGGGGGCATATATTTGTCAGACCTTCACCTCTACAGCTGAACTGTCTGCATCACGCAGAGTTCGTAGTGGGTTGCCAGACAATGATATCAGCCGCAAGATATAAGATATAATACCAAACTATGCTTGCAAACAGTATCCAGAGTGATCTTATCGGTAATCCGCCGCTTAGTGTCTGTTCAAGTACGTTCTAGGGATCATGACCGCGGTGCACTCATTTTGCTCATGCAATTATTTCTTCTTTTATTTTTTTTCAACCATAATGCGGTTCTTGAAGTAAAAAGTGCGCTCAGAAACCAAAGAGTTTTCTTAACGACAGATTCGATGTCCTTGTTAAATTCAAAGCTGCTGGCTGGAAACGAACATTCTTTATCAGCTTACCGTAGAAGTCCAATCCTAATTGCGTCTTACGTGATGCTAATTAGGAAAAGAAGCCATCCTTTTAAAGATACGCGGCATTCGAAATATTCACGGAGCACCAAAGGGCAAACTGTTTTAAAAAAAAAAACCGCTTTAAGCCTTATACGCTTACCACTCTGTGGCTACGATAAGAAAATAATAATAAATAATAATATTAAAAGAAAAAGAAAATTACGTTATTAAGTAATTTTATTATTATTTATGCATTTTTCTTTTCTTTTTTTTCTTTTTTCTTATAAACTTTTTTCTTTAAAAAAAAAGGGTGGATTTTTGCCGTTATTATTAATAAAGTAATATTACTTAAATTTTAGTTTTTTAATAATTTACCTTTTAAGCATCCGTAAATAATATAATATATTAATAATGAAATTTATATATAAGGATTAATATATTTTCGTGAATTAATGAACTAATTTAATCCTGTCGCTATGTTGCGATTATGAATACGAAAAGCCCGGGTTAAATTGTAACTCTTTTGGTAATAATAATAATAATAACGTGTGATTCTCAAGATAATAGCTCAAACAAAACCACAGACCAATTGCGTTCTTAAAGGCTGTTGAATAATTTGTTAATTGCCTAATGAGTCAATCACACAATTTACTGCATGCGCTGTTATATGTTGTGTGCAGTCTCGCATAATATATACGTGCATCAAATGTTCATCTCCCTGTACTCGTTCCATTCTGTACCTTTCCAAAATTTCTTACCCCCACTGAAAGAATGTTCGATCTTTTCTTTTGCCAGTATAGCCATGCGTCGCTCGAAATCGACAATTTTCTCTGGAGTGATGCCTTGTTCAGCGATAGTTTCCGCCAGGTCAGCTGCAGTACGTATTGCAGTATCAGCACCTGATCCTCCCACTGCGATTTTCGTCGTCAGTATATCTTCACAAGAAAGCAAAAGGGATAGAGTGGATGGGTATTCATGTTCATTTTGCAATACAGGGAAGATCTGAATATCTTCCACATACAGTTTTGTTCGAGGAAAAGACAAGAAATACACAGAGTTGAATTGTACTGGGATTTCTTACTGGGACTCATTGGATGCGCTGCATCCCCGATGAGAACAACACTCTTGGTTCCAATACCTGAGCAGATTTCTATATCTGGTATGCTGGATAAGACCCAAACACAAGCTGATCGCTCATGTGATGCCGAGGAAAATAGAGCCTTTAGTGTAGGGTGCCAGGCCTTGGTCGCATCCATCAAATACCGTTGCTTCTCTTCCGTCGTTTTGGGCAATTCTGCCGAGAATTGTCCTTTAGCTGTGCATATAACCCAATACAAATAATCTTGGAATTCGGGTAACCTGAGTTGCGACTTATGAGCCAAGCTAATTGGCCAGTACATTGGTTCAACAATGGCTTGAACATTGGCATCGTTGTCAAGGTACATGCACCAGCTTAGGAGGTCTTGTGATAAGTACTCCTTGAGACTTTCTGTCATTGGGGTTCGCCCCCACAAGACCCAACGATCCAAGTCAAGAAACTTGCGTTCGGGCTGCAGTTGTCTGCGAACATGACTCTTGATGCCATCTGCCCCAACAAGGAGCCTCCCGATCACATGCGAGCCATCCTTGATATGGACCTGAATATGTTGATCAATAGTTGTAAATGATTTGAACTCCTTCCCATACTCGATGGCATCTTCAATATCCAGGGTAAATAACATGCGGAACCATGTCCTGTCCATCGGTATAGAGACTGGATCTACTGGCTTGGGTCTCGAAAAGTCGAGATTCCTGGTATCGACGTATCTTGGCTCGATCCGGGGTACGCCAGGTGCCGTGCTTGCGAATATGTTTTTGAGTTCAGACGACAGGACGGTACTCAGAGCTTCTTGACCCTCTTTCGACACACGGAAACGATGCCCCTGAGATGAGTGCGATTTTGGATGGCGTTCAAAGAGGCGAAAAGGTATTGACCGAAGGCGTAAGCCTTGCGCCAGCGTAAGGCCAGCCACACCCGCGCCAATGATGATGATTGGCGGTCGTTGCATTGAGCTTGCGTTCATGGTCATAGCTTCGTCTTTGTGTGAGTTGAAGGTTGAAGTGATATGTCAAAACAAGTTCCTGAAGAAAGAAAATATACACCATGGTTCCACGTAAGCATTGTGGAATCAAGTTATCGCTGGTGCTTACAGTACATTGAGGTGACCCCCCACCCAAGATTAAGGGTATTAGGAGTATGTAAGCAAGGGTTTTGCCAATGCGACCGCAAGTATCGGGTTACGCCATGACATACATTGATGGTATACTACAATTGCCGAGCATGTAGTTTTGGTGTTGAGTAATTTATCAAAGCCTTGAGGCGGATTGCTCATACATCTTGGAACCTTGCTATGACGTGGAGGGCAATTTATCAATATTATCAAGTCAATGTATTCTGCCAACGCAAGCTCCGCGAGAGGTCGCTCAACTATACCTACATCAATCAATGATGTATTGATAGAGCATTGCAAACCTCAATCACATTGTTTTTGGATCTAGGTGTGCTAATCAATTGAGCTCGAGAACAATCTGTCCTTGGGAGGAACAATAAATTCAGCTTCATTTTGTTTTGGTATCAGCCCTCATCACGAAAACGACCATAGTTAGATTTATTGGTTTGGCTATTCAAGTCCAAAGACGGCGCTAGTACTGGATGGTAGCCCGGCTCGCTGAGGTCGCTTACTAAACCTCATCGGTTGTGCATGAAAATATGCGTTTCGTAAAGGTAAATATTGGTGATGCAAGCTCATGGCGACCACTAGAGCGTGGTATACTCGGCGTCCGACATCAATAAGAGACCGTCAATTCCAATATTGGGGCAGAGAGGCGAGCGAGGGCATCAACATGTACATTAGACACTAGCGTAGTAGTCCATTGCCCACATCGAAATGATACCGAGTCTGTATTGAAATGAAGTGTTGGAGAAAGTGGTCAAGTGACTATTGCTCTGTTCAGTTTGTGAAACACGAGCTGACTTGTTTCTGTAGTCAGGTGAGATAGAGGGAGTAGCAAATGAATCTGCTCCAACGACACACATGCATCGCCTGGCTTTCTTAATTCGTAGCTGGCTAGCTTCTCAGTACTCTGTAGGTGCTGAAGATTTCCGAGTTTTACCAAGCCACAGTCCAGATATGACGATTCAAGCCATCCAAGGCCGACCCTCACCCCAGCGCACCTTGTTGGTGGCAGGCTTATTACCTGCAAGTACAGCGCCTACACGTGGACCTTGATTGAGCTTTTGGGGGCGGTTTCCGCCTCTGGCCCGGCATACATGGCAAATATCGGAGCCTGGAGCTCAACTAAGGCTCTACTGAGCCTTAGCTCCGAGGCGACCGCATTTTTCTGGGTCCATCGCGTTGTACCAGATAGCAACTTGGCAGGTAGTGTGGTAATACGCTCTCGCACACATTCACCGATCGATCCATGGATTTATCTATTACGCATCTCTTGACTATCGTCTGTCCGGTCACAGGAAAACCTTGCTAAATGTGCTCAATTGATTGATCGCCAAAGATAAGGGCTTCCAATTTCACCATATCTTCCTCAAAGTCTTCCTCGTTTCACCCCTCCTCTCTCCGCGACATCGAACCTGCGCACCAAGCTACCCGCCCTGCCCGCCAAATTACGCTAAGCTTGAAGGATAGAGGAGGGAGTAGTAGCCCGAACGAGAACACTGCTCATTCCGGCGAGGAGATCGAGCTCATCGACTATCGAGACGTCTCGAAGCAGACATACAGGGCCGACGCGGGTCGAGAAGCACGCCGCCAGGCGAAACGCGAAGCAAAGAGGTGCTGGCTAGTCGAGCAGGACGAGATGAAGTTCTCACACAGCATACAGTTCAATGCTGTTCCGGACTGGAGCAGCCACTACATCGCATACAGTAATCTCAAGAAACTGTGAGTCAAATTTTACCCTACTACATGGTCACAATCCGCCTTCAGTGCCTTGTGATTATGTCATGCTAATACGGCATTGACAGCATCTATACTCTTGAAAAGACCGTTCATCAGTCTGGCACCTCCGATGTTGAGACCCGGCCACTCTTGCAAGGCGAGGACCCCGAAGCCGTCTTCTCCCGAGCACTCGACGTCGAGCTGGAGAAGATAGTATCCTTCTATCAGATCAAAGAGAAGGAAATACTCGATGAGGTGGAGGAGCTCATCAGAGATGTAGGTGCCTACGAAGAGTTGGGAGAGTCTGCCTACGATATAGCACCGAGGCCATCGTCTGGACCTAGCGCCGATCACGTCAGGCAGGTCGCCAGTGGTAGAAGCGCCCGCAGCGCAAAGTCCACCAAGTCCACCGAGGATGGGATCGAAGACAGCGATAGCGGTGACGACGACGATGACGAGACGTCAGCTCTGACCAAGAAACGGCGACCAAGCGTACTTGGCGGCAGCCGGCGGAAGACTGTGCCAAACCTGCTCGCGTCGACGACGGACATGTCTGCTTCCACCGAATTTCCGCGTTCAGCTCGACGGGCGAGTGTGGCCGCATACGATGATTACGCCGACATTGGCTCGAAATTTTCTTCTGGTGTTATGATCAAGAAGCGCATCATTGCTCTCTACGTTCAGCTATGCGAACTCAAGTCTTATTCGCAGCTCAATAAGACTGGTTTTAGAAAAGTTCTGAAGAAATTCGACAAGATCATCGACACAAACCTGCGCCAAAAATATATGCCCTCCATTGTGGAGCCAGCATATCCATTCAAGCCTGAGACGATCCAGCGACTAGACGACCATATTTCGGATATCGAAAAGGCGTATGCCGCAGTCGTTACAGAAGGAGACCAGGAGATTGCCAAGAAGGACCTGCGGTCCCATCTCCGCGAGCACGTGGTTTGGGAGCGCAACACTGTCTGGCGTGATCTCATTGGTATCGAGCGCCGTGCAGAGGCTGCTAGCCTTGGCCGAGGTCTCTTGGGCGCCCAGCAGGACGGTATGAAGACACGACTACAGGGCGATGACGCGCCACTTCCCCAGACGAAGGAGATTGATACTCCCCTGGGACGATTTACATGCCCAACATGGGTGCTCGGGAAGCCCATGTTGACTCTGCTCATCATCCTCGCCATCTTCATCGTCCTACTTGTCGTACCAATCATGGAGCTCCCTGAGCAACAGAACTGCTTGGCCATGCTCGTCTTTGTCAGTCTATTGTGGGCTACCGAGGTCAGTACCATAAGAACTGTGCTGTCATTATTCAAGTGGCTAATATTGAACAGGCTATTCCTCTTTTTGTAACGTCGTTGATCATCCCGTTTCTGTGTGTGGTCCTCAATGTGGTTCGCTCGGACGATCCGCCAAACTATAGGCTGGACTCAAAAGCCGCAACTGCATACGTTTTCTCTGCGATGTGGACTCCGGTGATCATGCTTCTTCTGGGCGGCTTTACTGTTGCCGCCGCTCTGTCCAAAACCAAAATCGACAAGCGCATCGCGACATTCGTGTTGAGCAAAGCCGGAACGAAGCCGAGAACTGTTCTCATTGCAAACATGTTTGTAGCTGCTTTCGCCAGTATGCTTGTCAGCAATGTCGCGGCGCCTGTCTTGTGTTTCTCCATCATTGAGGTGAGTAGCAGGAGTTCGTTCTATCTCAAGTATTCAAGCTAATTATACATGAACAGCCCATGCTGCGAAACTTGCCATCGGATTCCAATATGTCCAAAGCTGTCATTATGGGTATAGCATTGGCCTCCAATGTAGGCGGCATGCTATCTCCGATTGCTTCGCCGCAGAATGTGGTGGCGCTTGGCTTCATGGAACCGGCGCCCACATGGGCTCAGTGGTTCTTTGTCGTCATTCCTGTCGGGATCCTATCTATACTCTGCATCTGGTTTCTGCTGCTGGTCACTTTCCAACCAGGCAAGGGCACAACCATAGTACCGATTCGAACCATGAAGGAGGAGTTTACGATTGGGCAATGGTTTGTCTCTATTGTTTGTCTCGCCACCATTGGACTTTGGTGTGCCAGCCACCAGCTCGAGTCCACATTTGGTGATATGGGCGTGATTGCCATCATGCCGATCGTCATCTTTTTTGGAATCGGCATTTTGACCAAGGAGGACTTCAACAATTTCCCCTGGACCATTATTATCCTGGCTGCTGGTGGCCTGTCCCTGGGCAAGGCGGTCAAGTCTTCGGGTCTCCTTCACACGGTTGCCGAGAGTATATCAAAGGAAGTCCACGGCTTGGATATGTACCTTGTCCTGCTTATCTTTAGTTCTCTGACATTGGTGGTCGCAACTTTCATCAGCCACACTGTTGCGGCCTTGATTATTCTGCCCCTGGTCAGCGACATTGGCAAGGGAATGGAGGAACCCCATCCAAATCTATTGGTTATGGCTGCTGCACTCATGTGCTCGGCTGCCATGGCATTGCCTACGTCTGGTTTCCCCAACATGAGTAAGTTCATTCCCTATCACCTGTCTCGCATATGTGTAATGATGTCTATGTTGAGCAATCTGACGCTAACAAATTTCCAGCCGCGATCATGAAGGAGGATGCCACAGGTCAGCGTTACTTACAAGTCAAGCACTTCATCAGTCGCGGTGTGCCAAGCAGTATCATTACCATGTTGATTGTGGTCACCGTGGGTTACGGCGCCATGCGGATTATTAGACTATAAGACTTCATCTGTATCTGAGCGACCTTGTGGTGTTTACATTGGCCCTCCTTGCAACGCTGTGTATTGGATGGAACGGTAGATTTATAGACTGGCGGTAGTTGTTTAAAGAATGATATATTTATGCTACATGTGTCTTTAGCATGCAGTGTCCCCAGCTGCTGTTTGTCACTAGAATTGAAAGCACATGGAATAGATTGAATACTCTCAAGACCGTAGTATTTGTACGCCAAGTGACCAAGATGACATAGAGCGCTGATTTGTGAATTTTCAATCTTTGCAGTTCGGGTAAGTTGAGGGTATATCGTGTAGAGGTTCCTTCTCAGTTAGTTAAAATGGAGAATCGAACCCCCAAAATTTACTGAAATTTGGGGGGAAAGACTCGCGTGTCTCGGTTCGATGGATCAAGGGCACACGGTGGAGGTCCCTGACGAACGCGGGGCACTGGGGAACGAATCCGATTAGGTGCATGTTTGTGGGCGGGCTGGTTGTTGATTGATGGTGCATCAGCAGCAGCATCAGCAGGTACTCTGTACCTAACGTAATGTAGCAAGCAAGGACGCATCCATTTCATGTCATGTATTGTCTTGCGTCGCAGATTCCCCATTTCTTGCCCATTGCATATTCTTTCGTAGAACTGCTGGTCAGTCAAGGTCCTCTACTCGACAATCTTGGTATCGTTGCTCTTGTTTGCGACGGCTCTCAAACATCAAATCTGCCAAAGACAAGCTGAACAATACTGAGCTTGTAATCCTCCAGCCACCCAGCCCACCACCACCCAACTCAGGTTCGGCGCGCAAGGCACCGATCTACGTAGCTTGAATTCCTGGTTGCAGAACGAACACGAAAACAGCGACGCAACATTTTCAAATACTTCTGAAGCTCGCTCACGCACACGTTTGCTCTTCCGACGACTCTTGCAGTTTATGCGATCCTGCCAGAAGCTGCGCCACAAACCAAACTTGAGCAATTCGCTGCCTCTCCTCCGACGAACCTACCGTCAGGATGCATAAAATGTGACTCTTGCATTCTCGAGCCTGATCACATCCTTCACCAACGCACTCAATCCGCGACGATGCAGCCGAACCGCATCCAGCGCGCCCCCGGCTCCTTCTCGCCTTTGCCCGGCAGTGTATCCACATCGGCGGCAGCGGCGGCGGCGGCAGCCTCTGGCAGCGGCGGGCGAGATGATGGCTCCAGTTGCGCCCCTCATCCTCCACTGCGACCGCTGCCCCAGCCGTACCAGCACCCGTCGGTGTCGTCCTCATCGCAACAGTCGGCCCGACCTCAGATACGGAGGATTGAGTCTTCAAGTAGCGAGGAGCACATATCACTGGCCAAGGTCAGGAGTCCTCAGTCTCCTGTTGAGAGAAGCGGCGGCGGAGGCGGAGGAGGCGTGACGAGTCCTAGTTACGCCAGCTTTACACAACACGCAAATAGCAGCTCGAGCAGTCTACATAACTTCTCACGCCCTGTGCGATCGAATCCGAATACCGAGACGAACAGCGTGCGGACGGCATCACCGCTAACGCTACCATCAAGAGGCTTGCACACGAGGAAACATTCACAGACCCAAGGTCTGTTCGATTCAACCCTTCCGAGCAAAAGCAGCCTCAGCCTGTCAACATCGAATATAGATACTGTAGGTGGTAGTACGCGTTCTCCATCTGGAGCGCTGCCCGCCAGCCACATAGCAGCGCAGGCCGCAGTGCAGCAACATCAGCATCAACAGCACAGCCGCAACCGGTCACAGACGGTGCCCTTTCCTGGAAGCGAAGGCACCGAGACGCTCAGACGGCCTGCAGCGCGGCCGATACAAGGGGGAGGCTCCGAAACGGCTGTAGGTGCTAGAGGACCACTCAGTCCGCCAATGCTGAGTCTCACGGAAGCAAGCGTCCCTCGGGATGGGGGTACACTTCTGGGTCCCACGAGAAGCAACGAACAAACCTATCACAATGGACTGCTGGGCTCGTCGGCCGCTACAGCCGCGGCGAACGTAGTGTTTCCGAGAGCGTCACCACAGTCTTCGCCGAGCTTGTCAACAACAGAGCAGACCCAACAAGGGGCATCTCCGTACCTACCACCACTTACAATACCAGAGAAACCAGCCAAGGCCGAAAAATCCAAGGTCAAACTCTTCTCACGGCCCAAGAAGATTGACGTCAAAGGCGACTCAAAAGAAAAACCACTTCCTAGCCCTGGTAAGATTGGATCCGCCCTTGCTTCCTTGCAAAGAGGCAATTTTAGCACAGCTTCGCTCGTTGAGAGTCAATCGATATACAATCTAAATAATTCGTCTTCAGCCACAATTCGACCCCTTGACACCTCCGCCGACGGACCTGCAGCCAAGGAAAAGGAGAAGAAGCACCACTTCCTTTCGAGGCAGAAGCACAAAATCTCAGGAAAGGACGACTACCACTTACCCTTATCTTCCGCCGCAAGCAACAGTAGGCCGGTCGATCCAAATGCGCCAAATAGTCTGTACAACTTCAACCTCCCTCCCCAAAGCCCTGCGCCCACAACCACCAGCTTCAGCAAGTCCGTCTCTGGACTTGATCTGCGGCATGGCGGACGTGCCCTACGTGACAAGCGAAAAGAGGATAAACTCGGCATGGCCCACGACAACGAATCCGTCTTTACGCTCAACAACACTACTAGTAATCCAGAATGGCCCGGCCCGAGCTCCCTGGGCTCAAGTCTGTCGCAGACGCAAAGTAACCATGCGTTGGCCATGTATGACCCAGTCGATGGTACTAAATACGGATTGCATAACATGACGCTTGACGATGCGTGGCCTTATCTGAAGGCAAAGCTCCTGGTCGTGTTTGAGGGAGAGGATCTCAGGCTACCAATTGAAGATTTCAATCGAGTTGTCACTATGCATATTCAGTGGTGTATACAGCGGCGCTCAGCTCACATCATCATGGAGGACCTGAGGGAATTGCTGTCCACTGGCTTCGCGAGTCTTGACCACACACTTCGCAGGAGCGGGACCGAAGACACAAACAGACTGATTCCAGCACTGGTTGATGTTTGGTTGGCGACATTCACCACAATTCTTCCATACATGCAGGCTGTCTTCCTGCCACTTGATCTTGAATTCTCTGGTAACGGAACCTTGTTGACCCCGGAGCAGGCTCGAGATTTCTGGGGCGGCGTTGTTGGTGGGCCTGGATCAACGGCGAAAGAATTGGGGACTGTTCTAGATGTCCGAAGACTTGTTCTCCTGGCCTTCAGAGACGGATTGATTTTACCACGATACGACAAGCTAAGGACGATATTCTCACGATTGAGTCTTGAACACCTCCCTGGTAGTCTGGCGAGTCTGGCACTATCCAGCCCACCTCCACCAGGAGAAGCAATAATGTCAAGCTCACCCAGAGATCACATAAACATACTAGACTCAGCTCGACCAAGTACCGCTATGAGCTTGGATCCATCTGTTGCATCATACAATAGCTCCAGCAGCACATTGTTGAATGAAGGCAGTAATCCGTCCAGGAGCCGTGCGATATCCAACGTATCTTTTGGCTCTGGAGGCAGTGGAGGAGACGGTAGTCAAGGCTTCCTGCGATCTCTTGGAGGCCGAGCGCGAGCAGATAGCGATCGTGACAGGAATCGTGACCAAGAAGCGGAGAGTGGATCTAAACAGGTTACAGATATGGTGGGCCGCATGCTTCAGTGCATGTCCGTCCTGGCTTCGGTGGGAGGTAACACCCCATCACCGGATTCAAACAGACAGGAAGATCCCGGGTCGAAGCAAGTTGCCGAGCTCGGAAGGCTTCTGAAGCTCAACTGGCTTGGGCGCGGGCGAACTGGCAGAAACAGAAGGGGCATGGTAGGGGGCCGAATTAAGAGGGACGTGTCTGCACAGCGAAGCATTGGCGGGCATAGCCGGGCCAACAGCGCATTGAGCGGAGGAATGAATGGGTTAGGCATAGGTCTAGGGGGTTCGAGGGACGGCCTTGTGATACCTGTTTAGAAGTGGTACCGATGGGTTGCCTTGTGTTCGTGGTTGAATACGCCATAAAATGGAGTATGTGGTCTCCACACATTTGGAAAGAGGATGTGGCGTTACACAGGTATGTCTCTGGTTGGGTAGACGTTTTTATTTTGGTTGCAAACGCGGACTACATAGGCGGCACGGACATGACGAAGAAACCCGTAGATGGAGCAGCAAAGCCATTTCAAGATACCAATACTTAGATTGAATTGATATTCGGATTTTCAGTTGATTCTAAGTGCTAACACGCGTGTTCGGTGCAGTGAGCATGAGAAAACCTCGTATGTCAAGAAGCGGTTTCCTTTGGCGATCTCGTCTGTGCCAGTGTGCAGAGAGCATAGAGGCTGCCGAGGCACATCATGAATATGCATCACAAAGGCACCTCGAGCAGATGTGCCACACGGACATAATACAAGAGGCAACCAGAAGATACCACAGCATGAGAGAGATGTTATCATTGTTATTGACTATTCTGACTGTTGCGTACAATATTCGAGGCAAATTCTTGCCCACTTCGCTGAGGGAAGGCTTCTCGTGGCTTTGACACAAGACTCTGTTTGGGTGTTGCATTATGCGCATTGGATATTGAAAAACCTAGGACTGAAACAATCTGTTAGCAATTGCCCAACTCTCAATAATCAGGACAAATGTGGTAGATATGTATGTTCTTCATACATCCAAGGAAGATTGCTGCCCTCATCTACTTGTCTAAAAAGGCTCGATGGCGACAAGCTCGAGTGGAAACTGCGAATTAGGAATGTTTTGAATCACTAGAAACGGGTGTCGTTTGTTGCTCATGTGCGATGTAAGAAAATGTGCAACTAACCTTTGCATGTTAATAGCACCAGCGACCGGGCTGCGTAGGTTAGTTCATGAGGGCAAGGAAGAAAATTCTTCGCCAGTCGCGTTGTTGGACACGCGGTGAGGAGCTGTGCGACGTAACACAAAATCTGCAGAGATGATCGAATTAGCCCAAAGCCCGTGTGAAACTGTGGCACGAGCGCTCAGTGCAATAAATCTTCTCCCAAGCCAAGGCGCACTTCTAGTGTCGGAAACACTAATGAGCGCAATGGCGATCAGACAATTTTACTGGCAAGTAACAGCCTCCGAGGAGACCGAAGAGTCATGATTTCCTCATGGTCGATTCGGTTGGGAAAAGAAGACAATGTTGTTTGGTTGTCATCCGTTGAATGGGGAAGATGAATGGATTCTCTGATATGCGCGCTCGATGGGAATGAGGAATATGGAAGCTTACCACATGAAATAGCAAGAGAGGGGCCAGCTCTTATTCGAGCTGGCCAAGATGCGCACGCGTCTGCCTGCAGATCGCTGAGAGTTGTGTGTGTTGATATTGGGAAGAGAAAAGTTTCAAAGGTTTGCGGCTCTGGTGGGATATTTGAATACTTTTTTCTGGGCCCCGTTCAGCGAGGCAGAAAAAATTAAAGTGGAGAGCGCTCACTCAGGTTGACAGGCCACAGCTGAAGGCGGGCGGGGCCTTTTTGCCGGCAGTATGATTTTCCGCTCAGTTCGTCTGGTAGATGGGTTGGTGTCGACCTCACAGGGAATGTCTGAAGGTTGACATTGCTCAAGCTTCCAGTGAGATAGGTAGTGCCAGCGCTTTCCGGTGGTTGAATGTAGCTCGTACTTGCATACAGACTACATACTTATTACTTCAGGCAGATACAGGTAGGCAGCACTGGAGGTATGGCCTACAAGGTGCTGGGCATATCCAAAATTAGAAACCCCCGCCACTGCATGGTGATATTCACGGAGTGGGCACATGCACATAAGAGTTGTTGGACGAAGCAGTTACTGTTTCATGGACACTATTAACACCTGGCATGAGTTGTTTGTGCCAGCACCGTTATCAGTGGCCGTTGGAATAAGAACTATGGATGTGCGCAAAGAATACCCATTGCCTAGGCCGCTCTTTCTTTTATCTGTCCATTTGCTGAAGAGCTCCGACTTTGGTATCATCGCATAAGCGACTACTCCGACCCTTCTTACTTGATTGACGGCATGCTTGCTATTGCATTTAGACAGGTACAAATTCTGAGCATGTCAAAGCGAACCACCCAGCTTTTGTCTCTGGACCAGAGGCGACTTAAGAGTCTTCTCTTGCATATTGAGGGATAGGATAGTTCTCGTCACAGAATCTCTGGGCTATTGACAATGAACATAATGATTTCCCATTTACCTCCATCACTATAGAGCTACTTATGCATTTATTACCCTGCTAAGTACTCCATATTCTCGTTTATGTAAGCCGTTGAGCTCACCGAGCCAGAATCACACGCCCTCGGGCAAGGCATCAAGAAACTAGGTTTCAACAAACGAACTGCTGACAGAATTTTTTTTTATTTTTTTTTTTTGGCTCTATCTCCCGTAGTATAAATACTTACAACTGCGCATAACGTTAGCTACTCGGTGACCACTCTGTTAATTCATTTCTGATCACATCTGCAGATTATTACTCGACTTGATTGTGTGTTCCTCGTTCCACATCAGACGTTTGCAAGCGTCAGCAGGATAACGCATTGGCTTAAGCGACATATTGCACCAAGCCATACAGGATAGACTGGCCGGCCTCCTTCCTGTTCCAGCATCGCAATCGAGACGATTTTCAATTGTGTAAGTCTCCCTCTGTGTAGAAAGAGTGTCGTGGCGAGATAACTGAATAGTCTTCAGATTGCCACTCATAATCACGGCACAGAATTCTGCTTATTTATCCTATTTCACTGACTCCGGGCACTCATATTCTGCTCGCCTGCCCACATGCATTAAAATCGTTGAAGGAAGTAGTGCCTATATCCGTTTGGTACCTGTCTAGCACCAAATAGACGTGAAGGATCGACGCCCCGACTTGCACCTAATAAATCGACCAAAGACACCACGGGGAAATAGTCCCTTAGTGGCCGCCCTGCCTACACACCTTTGAAGCAGTGTCTGTTCTCTTTGCGGCCTGCATCATTGCTCATGCTTGCACAACAGGAGACCGTTTTTGTGTAGACTACATACCCATTTAGACGAGGACTGGAACGCGAGCTGCCAACCATTGAACAGCAGCACCAACATTTCTCACATAACACGTACGGTGCGTAGGTTTTCCGCACAGGAGGCAAGACCAAAACGTATCATCCCCACCCAGGGAACTCAACCTCAAACCTGTTGGTCGCATCGGTGGATAACAAGCTTTCTACGTGCTTACCTACATTATTGGCATTGAGAGTAAGTCTCTAGAAGAGCATATATTCACCAGACAGACACGCAGAGAATTACGAATTAGTCCTGTTTGCGATTACGCCAACCTGCCCGCAGCCCGGTATTCGTTTATCCAGAACTAATATAGAGGCAGGATTCCGTCAGTCATCAAGCGGTTCCATCCAGACTGGACCTTGCCTGACCTTAATCCCAGGTCTCCCTCTCCCTCCTTTCCATCAGTGGATCAGCTCGTAGGGGGGCCCCGCGCTCTGATTCGTTCAAATCACGGGCGGAGCACGGAGAAACACATTCTTCCTTTGCCGGTCCTCCAATCAAATCTCGTCTTGAGTGGGTTTGACCCCATTCTGGGTCGTGCTCCCATTTTCTCCATGTCCTCGCATCTCTCGCCCTCTACCACGCACTGATCCTGGACTGGGCCTTTCCCTTTTTTTAGCCTGTTACCCGCCATTCGGATTCATAAACACGCCCACGTCTTTTTGCGCAGCGTCTGCCGCCCGCTCTCAGCATCCGCACGACACTTGGGAGAGGCAAAGCGCGAGATCAGCGAGTGTGTCATAATCCGACTCTTCGCTATCGCTTTTCTACATTCTGCACGTGTTAGTTTTCCTGGCTGCACGTTTTCCCGGACCAGCACCGACTCTGCAGCCAACGACCCCGTCCAGTTCCCATTCAACGGGCACGACTCAGCCCAGCCGCGCGAAGCTGCGAACGAGGCACGACGAGGGCTGACTGACATCTCGGACTAGATTTGCGCGTCGCATTAGCAATATCATTGCAACGCGACCACAACTCGTGCTGTTCCCTGCCCGGACGTGGTCCGTATCTTCGTCTTCCCCTGCCGGCACGTCAAGTCGCCTCGATATATATATGAACCAATTGGGAGCCACGTCCCGAGTCCCCCGATCCGCACTCCGCAGATAGCAATCGCCTATCGACTGGATCAAGAAGTTGCACGCGACCGTGTTCGCACTCGTAGACGTTCTCTGCCTTGTCGCCGGACCGACGTTGTCGCATGTCTATCTCACAGATCACCATCCGTCGCGACGATACCCGTGCATGAAATAGCGCAGTAGGGAGTTGGGCGTCGATATCCACTGAGGTGGATCGTCGACGAGCGGACCAGAGATGATGACAATGCCGGGTACATTCCATCCCGGGATGCCTCAAGGAGTTCATGCCGGTCATGCCATGGCCCCGGGGATGGCCCATAACCCTAGCCAGCCCGGAAGCCAGCAAGGGATGGCCCCTCAGATGGCTGGCCACATGGTATCTGCGCCCGGCGGTCAGCCGAATCCGGCGGCATTCATGGCTGGTATGCATCCAAACAATCCGCATGGGCAAGCCATGCAGCAAATGAACCCCCAGTTATTCCATCAGCAGCAGCAGGCACAACACCAGGCACAGTTGAGTAAGTTGCCGGAACATTGCACCGAGCACACTATGCGAGGCTAACTTTTGTGAATAGTGGCTGCACAGAACCCTGCTCTTGCTGCTCAAATGAGACAGCAGCAGATGATGAATCAACAACGACAACAGCAGATGTTGGCACAGCAGCAGGGAATATACGGCAGCATGGCCGGCAACGGCATGCCGGTAGGACAACACATGGGCCCGAATGTCCAGATGACTGCTCAGCAGTTTCAGCAAATAAGAAATAATATGAATGGCATGAGGCCCATGGGTGTTCCAACGCATATTCAACAGGCCCATCTTGCTCAGGGCCAGCACCCGCACAACATGCAGCAGCAAGCTGTAAGTCGTGTATACTCAAGCCAAGTGTATATCTTACTAATATAGTTAAAACAGATGATGCAGCACTTATTGCAACAGCAGCAGCAGCAGCAGCAACAACAAATGCAACACGCCGGCCAGCCTGGGCATCCTGGACAAATGAACCCCCAGCAGCAGATGATGAACCACAATGCTGCCCTTGCTCAACAGATGGCTACAATGCAACAGGCTCAACAGGCTCAGCAAGCCCAGCAAGCCCAGCAAGCTCAGCAGGCCCAGCAGGCTCAGCAGGCTCAACAGGCCCAGCAACAGCAAGCTCAGCAGGCTGCTCAAAATCAACAGGCCCAGCAGGCTCAACAGGCTCAACAGGCCCAGCAAGCTGCACAGAATCAACAACAGCAAGCTGCCCAGCAGCAACAGGCCCAGCAGCAGCAACAAGCAGCTCAGCAACAGCAACAAGCTGCCCAACAGCAGCAGCAACAGCAGCAAGCTTCACAGGCAAACCAGCCTACGCCTCAGGCTCCTGGTCAACAAACACAGCCACAACCAGCTGCGCAAGCCGGACCACAAGCGCAAAATACCACGCAGCCTCCACCCCAAGCTTCTACTCCAGCCAACAGCCAAACGAGTCAGCCGCCAACTCAGCAGCAGACGCCTGCTCAGGCAAATCAACCTACGCCTCAGGCTCAGGCGCAGCAAGGACAAGCGCCAAACCCACAACAACCGCAACCCCAGGGGCCCAACCTTCAGCTTCTGCAGGCTGCTCAAATGAAGAACTTTCAGATGCAGCAACAGCAGATGCAAAAGAATGAGGGGAATATCCGGGGCCAGTGTATATTGAAACTTGTATCCTTTGCCGAACATTTGAATGCTTTTACGGTATGTCGTACCATCCTTGGGGGAGAAAAATATGTGATGATGACTAACCAACATATGAAGGGGCCCGTGGACGATCATGACGAGTATTGGCCGAGTTTTGTTAGGCAATTCTTTTCACCCACTGGCACATTTCGATATGGTCTGATGGACATCAGCTCGCCAGAGGCAACTGAGAAGACGTATGAGATTGTTGCATCTGCACTTGGACGATACTTTCAATTGCACTTTCGAGGTGGTGTTACACGGATTCAACTGGCGTTTGGCTCTCGCATGATCGACAAGAGTCTTCCAGATGGATCTCATTATCTGGAGAATGCCGATTCGTGTATCACATACTCATTTGGTGACACCACGCGAGTGATCACGAATGGTCGGTTACAAGCCATTTTTGATACGAATCAGAAGCTGTCACTGTTTGAGTTCACTACGACTGCACAGGAAGAATACCTGTCCAGGTCCATGGTCCTTCATTCCGCTTTGCCCAACCACAACTGGGTCAAGGACTGGAACAAGCTCAACTTCGGGGATGCCAAACAATCTCCAGAAATGAGTAAGAAGGGCAAGGCCAAACAGTTCAAATCGCCGAACACGGCTCCTCCCGAGATCGATTTGCCTCACTCCTCCATCAACCAAAATTTTGGTGTCCCCTCGTCCGTGTTCCAGTATCTGGAAATGGTTGAGGTTATGAACCTGCTCAACCCCCTCATGTCATATTCGCTGCAGAATCCTCAATACTCGCCCAACCAGGCACTTCGCGAATACGTCAACCAACATGTTGCCAACGGAGTAGCACAAAATATGATGAATGGCCAGCCTGGGGGCGTCATGGGAAACCCGCGGACGCCCAGCTTTAGCCAATTCAACTTGGGAGCTTCACCAGCAGCGGCCCATCATCAGCTACCCGGATCGCCTCACATGGGTGGTAGCCCGGCTCTCAGCCACATGCAGGCTCCCGGCATGGCTCTGCAACAGAGTCAACAGGGCACAAGTTCCAGTGGTCCCAGTGCCAACACAAGCCCGGCAAGCAACAAGCGTCGACGACCGTCGGGCGTGAAGAATGAAGATGACAGCGGTGCTGCCACGCCAGCAAGCATGGGCGGAGCACCTCAAGTCAACGGTATGGGCAAGGCCAAACCGCCGACGCCGCGGATACCACAGAAGCGTGTCAAGGCCAGCTCTTAGTTCGGACCTGGGCCCACTTCCATCATGAGGACAAATTCTCTTGATTTGTAGCGCGGGGGTTTTCGGCTTTCTTTTGGCATGTATGCTTTTTGACATGTATATGCGTCGGAGTAATATTGGGTATTTTTACTGGAATCAGGTCCGCCCCATTGTACGATATCATTCACTACGGGCAAACAGGCGTTTGGCGCGATCATTTCCTGGCTAGTCTTCTGTCTCGTACCATTACTGCCTCGCATTTGATGGTTGGCCGTTGTGGTGAATGGGGTTGAAAAGGGAAATGCGGGACGAGATCAGCATAGCCTGCTTTCTGGGTTATCGAAACGGGTGGGTTGGTCTATAGCCGTGCATACCCATTTGCTTAATTCAGAAAATATGATTTTCGCTCAGCAGGTGTGATCTTTTCATCGTTCTTGGTGACTGGCGGGCGTATTCTCGCGTTGATCATTGCACTGTCGAATATTGAAGGAGGTACCTCGTACTCATAAGAAGCGTGGCCATGGACTTTTCGGTCCAGCCACCAGATGCCAATATTGCATAGTTCAAGTACTCGATCACTTTCGACCGACTTGGTGTCTTTGGAATGACATGAATGCCTAGATATCTAGTTGGAGATGGTTTGCATTCTTGATGAGTCAGTATCCATCTGTTTTCTGCCTTGTGTTCTTCGTGATCTGTCTCGGACATACAATTGAGCACAGCAACTATTCCAGCTGGACCGGATGAGGCGGCAGTGAGCAATGAGGCACACGGCGTGCGATACTCGCACGAAGGGCAGTAGGATCTGCACAGGGGTTGTCTCGCGGTATGCTCGTATATGTTTCTCGCAAAAGTCGCTGAACGAAGGTTTGTACAAGGTGAGAAAGCTCTCGTTGTATCACGGAAGAGGGAAGTTTTGAGAAGAGGGGGAGGCTGGGAGGAAGGCTGTCTGGAGGTGATAGGCCAGAGATGTCCTTGCAAGTTTCCATGCTGACATGGGGAAGGGGGAAAAAAACAAAATTATCATCCTGTCTCCCGGGTCAAGAAAAGATGGGATTCAAACATGGTTACTCCTGGTGCATGCTAGTTTGGCAAACCGGAGTGGTGGTTCATGGGGTTGCACAATGTGGATTCAGACCAGGGGCGGGAAAGAGAAAAATATGGGTTTGAGCTGACGATGTGAGAGTCGTGTTCACGATGAGAGGAACCACTTGGTCAATGTACATAGCGGAAGGTAACGGAATACCGTACACTAGCAAACATGTGGAAATAGAGAGAGAGTGAAAATGGCATTTCCGTACGAGATTTACACACGCCAATCGTTATAGTATTGTAATAGAGCCACTTCTCGTGCGAAATGTCTTGAAGACAGCGCGGGCGATTGGGTCAAGTTCATGAATGGCAACTTGTGGGGAACATCAATCACGATTGCAAGAAGAATGGTTTTGCATTTTAGAGTGACCTTGTTTTTGTTTTTGTTATTTTGATATATTTTACTGTTTTGTTTTGTACCTAGGTTTCCGAGTCTTTAGAGACTAGATTGAGTCGCGCATGATTTGTGGATGTCTCCATGGTAATCATTGCCAGATGCTTCTTTGCATGTCCGGTCAGGGTTCATGAAAGCAAGCATCAAGTAGCTGCACCCCCTACATTGGAAGCGCCACGAGCTCAAGTCCTGGTGATGAGATTCAGGTGAATGAAGCCTGAGAAATGGATACCGGTGAGCGCCCGCTCAAAGTTTTCCCCATTCCAATTCCCATAACGCCAATATTCCGTGAGGAGTCGAATATGGATTCCCATTTCTAATAATAATGCAATTGTTGATGAAGAAGAAAACTTGATCTTTTTTTGTTTTTGGGGTCCACGAGTGTTGTATGTAGAAGTTGTGCATGCCCCCCTTTTTTCCATTTCCTCTTAGATTGTTGTACAGTGCGTGTCGATTGTTGAATATGCAAATCTTGTCGAGGCATTGGTTGAAGAGACCCTTATCTTGCTCCCGGAAAGACAATGGACCCACAATGCATTTTGATTGAGTTACATTGAGACCTCCATTGCGTTTCCTGAGATGACGTTGAGATCTTTCGACCTCAATCTCGAGTAGATGCTCACCGGCAGGGTGGGGCCACTAGTCGAGTCGCAATCTTAACGAGCCCTATTTTGGAGCCGGAACCCGAGAGCCTGGCATCGGCGAGCGCGATCGCGGCCTCTGCGTCTGGGCTGATGAGGGTGAAGAGAGGTTGTTGGGTTGGTTAATGGGTGTCAGAGGGGCGATACCAGAAAGGATGCGCTTGGTGGTAGGGCGAGTAGCAGGCATTGTTAATCCTTTGTAGGTGATGAGAGATGTTGTTTGATAGTGTGTGAAGAAGTTTGATGGAACTGATTGTGGTGCTATCCAATTGTAGTCACTTTCGAGCTCTCGAGAGGCAGTATATTTCTATTGCGTTGGCAATTGGTGTGTTTTGGCTATGGCAGAACTTGCTGCTTATCGTCGACTGAAATTCGTGCAATCAAGGATAGTATAGAAGTAAAGAATCGTGAGGAGCGTCTCGCACTCGAAGGTTGTAAATCCGCAAGTTGAAAGGCAAAAAACAATTCTCAGAAGAAAAGGAGTGTGAATAAGGAGTGATGTGCGTCTGAATGACTGATTGCTGTGTGTCTGTACGTTGGAAACACAAGATGTGAGTACCAAAAAAAAAAGAGGAGGAAACAAAAAGCGGCTGAGGGAGAGGATCTGGTCATGATATAGTCGTCCGACATCCTATAATTACAATACATACTTCACAGGGTTGGTGCCGTACTTCGCAAGTACGGTGCCTGCTGCTGCATGGTCAGATTGCATGTCCCTGAATGGTTCCCGCAATGGTCTTTGTCCACTGTGTGTACACTTGCAGCGAGATGCATTGAACCGTGGATCCCCTACCCCAGCTGGCTTGTTGAAACTAACGGTGCGTGTTGGTCTTAATTGGCTTGACTCGGGAATTTTCGACTGCCAATGATCGAACGATGCTCGAGCACAAGTGATAGGGGTCGTCCTGGCTTGGGGGCCACTGTCGAACCCGCAGGTAAACAGGCACTTCAAGCCATCGCGTGCTTTTGTGTGGGTGACGTGCATTAGCCTATTGACCCGTCGATCTCTTAGTGGCGCCACACTTTAGGCTTGACGTCCAGGGTGAGCGGGCTGGTGGCTCTTCATCGCTCTTCAATGGTGGAAAGCTCTGATCACTTGATGGACGTGGTGATGAGATGAGATCCTTTTGGCAAGGTAAACAACAAGGGGAAGGACGGGAAGAGCCAAAGGGGGCTTCGAGAGGCCAATTGGCGATGGGATGGGTGGCTTGTACGGGATCATGGCATGACCATAGGATGAGTTGGCATGTTTTTGAGACAGGATGGCTTGGCTTTACCTTTGGGCTGTGCATAATTATTCTAGAATAGCTAGAATAGTGTTTACGGGACATCTCAGGGTCCATCCTTGCATAACGGGAAACAGATAAACAATGAAAGTACCTCACCACGGCAGCATCTTTCTTCTGGTGCGGGATGGCAAGTGAGGCGATCCTGACCATGATGCCTGCTGCACCTTTTCTAGCATTGTATATCCTCATCAGGCGTCAATGCATAGGTACTCTCTCCATGCTTCGATATGCCGTAGCCGGTCGATGCTGTGAAGGCCAAGGCGCAATGGCAAGCGATTGGTAAAAATGTGATGTGCAGCTATTCAACAGGTTTGGCGTCATAGTAACTTAAACATTGCTTGGCTACTACAAAGCGTCACCTAGCATGTCTGGTAGTTCGATAGCTTTGTATCGCTGTATGGGGATCGGCTGGATATCGCAGTTTGCTCGATCTCTTGTCTTAAAGAGTAATTTATTAGGGCCTCTCGCAGTTTGTGTGGGGAGAGGAACCATAGGTATCAACGTTTCACGACTGATTCGTAAGACGCAAAGACAGAAAAGCCCACGTAGATGCCGGCAATGAATATAATCGAATCGCGGCAGCAGGTTCTAGACACTGGAGACAGTGTCACTATGAGGATAGACTCCACCTCTCGACATGTTCCTCCAATGCTCATGAAAAACAGTCCGGCGCATAGCGTAATAAGCTGGTGGGTTTCAGATCGCGACGGGATTCGCCGTGCCCTCTATCGGACCATAGAGGACGACCACGCTCATTCGCTGTTCCTCTTGCTTCCAGAAGGAGCGGGCTGACTAGTACCGATTCCAAGCGACTTACCTCTGGCCAAAGGGCCTACCGGGGGCCTTTCAGTCAAGAAGTAGTTTGTGCACAGATAAACAATGCTCGAAAGAACCAAATCATGGTGGACTGCGGGTAGGTGATTTGGATCCTGGTAATTCCCGTCCAGCTATAGCAGTTTCCGTCGTTGAACTCGAGGCGAGTTGGAGAGTTCGGACGGATACTCACAGAAGCCTCTTGCTATACCTACTACCTACTTGAACCCCTTCGCTACCTTGTGGGGATGACGCAACCATTGCAGTGCCCAATGGTGCGACAGACCAGGAACGCCACGTTCTACAATTAGTACACACACGGCACTTGATAACATTGTTGCTATCTAGCACTTGTTAGTGAGGAAACCAAGGAACTATCCAAGGGCTCTGGCATGTGATCAGACCGTAGAGAAGACAACACATTTATTGATACCCTGCCCGCTACGCAATATTCTTGAAAGCTCTCTATCGTGCAGAGTCAGACACAAGGCGAGACCTTAGAGTCAATATTGATGGATCGGATGTTCGTCGTTTCAACCTGCCACAAAAATTAATCAATCTGGGATAAGCGCACTGGCGGGAAGACCAAACTTTGTGAATCTCCCCTTTACATGCCGCACGATCCAAGATTCTTGATATCGTTTATCGAAATTGGCATGTTCTCTTTGTGTATCTTTGAATCAGAAAGTCGGCTTTGACATCTATGTAATGCTACCACGGTAGGTTAGAAGATTTCATCTTGGACCCTAAGCATTGTTGAATCTTTGGTTTTCTTCCTCGCTGGGGCAGCGTAACGCCTTGGGCTCACGCCAATGTGGCATGCGTAGTGATGACCAGGACCAAGTGTTTTGTTTTCCTCTTTCTCTTGATTATGCTTTAGTAATGCCTGTCGTATTTCTCCATAAGTGGATTGATTACACGGACGGAAAGGCTGACGCGTTTGCAGTGTACTCTTGTTTTGATGCAAGTTAATTTGTGTAAACAGCTGTTCTTCCCCAGCCGAGATTTCAGGCGGCATAGTATTCAAGTAGGACTTGCTGGTAGTCCGAAGATGAAGAAAAGAAACAGAATAGAATACGAAATCTCTTGTCTAACTGCGTACCAAGCGATATTCCCAGAACATTGTAGGCTTTTGCTGGTAGCCTCGGGCCAGCTGCTTTAGGCTCCGAGATTCTTGTCGGTTCCAAAATCGCGTCGGGACAACAGGATTAATACCAATTAACATCGCGCAATCGCGTAGCAGATCACGAACTTCGGATCCGAAACAGGATTCATTTATTCGCACAACCGGATCAAATATTTCTCAGCGACATCTCTCATTGAGAGACCCGCAAGGTAAACGAATTGGTGACCAAAACCCTGAAAAGCGCCCAGGGAGGGAAATCTTTGGGAATATTGTATGTAGAGAATATTCGGGATCACCTTCCTAGGTTCAGCAAAGTTGAGTCTTTATGGCTCACTCAAATCATTATTATTGCTCTCATCTCAATCGTAGCTCATTAATCATATCCTATCAAAGTTGTATTATTGAACCACACGTCATGTATTAGAACCAGTTCCTCCGTTCCGCAAATGACTTTGATGTGTCGGGTCACCACTTTCATGGCTAAGCCTTGTTGATGCCATCGAACTTACTGGACTATGTGCGCCCTGTCGTGTAGGTGTGACTGGGCTAACCAGCGTATCACCTTGTCCGTAGCGTGGTGTTGGAGGAGCGAGAGTGTTTGGATTATCAGCTTCCAGCTCAAAGATTGCGGCTGGTTCCCGTAATCGACCGACGGAAAGTGCTGTTGCTGGTAGTTCCTGTGTATTTTTTCCTTCCAACTCGGATATTTCTGCACCTCCAAGCTCTGCCCGTAACGAGTTCTTCCTGTCTGGACCTTCCAACTTTGGAATGGATAAAGCGGCGGTGCTTTTCCCATCTTCTGTTACTGGGTTTTTATCCTTCCTTCTTGCTCGTCCGAAGAAGAAGGCGGCGACTAGAAGTATGACGACGCCAACACCTACACCAACACCGATCCCTACTTTGGCACCCGTAGACATGCCACTGCCTGGCGTAGATGATGCTGCGGCTGCTGTTGAGGTAGCTGAAGATGTCACGCTGGATCTCAACGAAGACGGAATAAGTGACGCAACTGGATCCGACGTAGTGGTCGAGCTTCCCGTTTCTAATGGTATGGCTAAACCTGTGGAGGATGGACTGGCTCCATCTTCTGATGACGTGGGCTCCGACTCTGATTCTGTCGTTTGGGGGAGGTCCGACGCCTGGAAATTCAGTTGATAAAGCGGTGCGTAAACCGTGAATGTCTTCATGTCGTCGTTGGGCAGTTCGAGCAGTGAGAAATCTTCAAAACTTCCCGAGTTGCAGACCACTGTCGAAAAACTCGTCGACGTGGCAAGGTTGACGCATGTTGCCGCGTATGTGTTGAATGTTTCAATGGATGATGGCGTGAAGCCGCTATTGTTTATGTGTTATTCCGGCTTGAAGTTATTTTCTGATCTTCAGAAGCAAATTGACATACGTAGGACAACACGCTGCAGCCGTCTCTCCATCGGTTAGACTATATTCTAGGCCCCAGCCTGTGCTTCCTCCAGCTGTCGCCATGGCGGCGGTCGTATAGCCCTGCGGACAGGCAATTCCAGGAGAGTAGAAGCCCCATCCCATCATGACCCCGGGGTCAATCATTGAGCTTGCACGCGGCGGCCAACAATCCGTCCAGTCATGAGCATTACTCGCTGAATTGCACGTCTGTCCTTGCCAGCCGGTTGAGCACTACAACATATGTTAACAAGCCCACTTTAAGATGAATTAGTTGAGTCGGAAGTAATATTTTTTCCCCCGTGCATCCGGTCTGAGTGTACTATTTCATAACACTGCATCAAGAAATATATGCTTGCGAGATAACCCAGCACGGGTCAGAAGTAACACGAGAAGTTGCTTACAGTAGCACACCCCAGCGCCATCGCATAAGAGCAAACCGGAGGTGCGGTCCATGTCGTCGTTAGAGGACCGAGCAGAGTGCGCGGCGATGTCATGATTCCTGCGCCGTTCGCACTCCGCGTATACGAATGGTTGAATGCGCGGCGGCTACAAGCTACAAGAAGTTAAATCCACGACAATGAATCGAGTAGCAAAAAGTGGAAACTCCAGATTGAAAAAAAGTATGCAACGAATAGATAAATTGTGCAGATTTCAGGATAGTCCCGGTTGGGACAGTTGATGATTACCCGCCACCAGAATCATTAATCTCCATTCATGAGCTGGCTATCTACCTAGGTATGTATACACCCCATTTTGTTCAAAGGTCTACTTGCCCTGCCATGACGATGGCCTGCAGGTGACAGAGCACATCCTGATACAGGTTTCGCAGAAATGTGCGCTTGGCTTCATGGTTGTGCAACACGCGATTGGTCCTGTGCCCCTGCTCACGGCAAACCTGATTTTGGGGTTCTGGAGCAAAGATCAGTACCATCTCGGAAGGCCGTCTACCGTTACATTGCCATGACCGAATCTGGTCTGGGCTCATCAAACGCTCACTCCTTGTCTGCATCTATCAGATCAGATTTGTGCCTAGCTCGTAGTACCAATAGTCAACCGAGTCCCCAGCAAAATTCCTGCTCCAAAGGGCTGCGGACCAAATCCACCTACTTCGTCGCTGATTTGGTAATTTCGGGGCTGCCCTTTCAGTTGTATCACGTGGAAATGCTCTCAGCATCGAATCTATTGATTTACTTTTTTTTTATGTCTTTTAATATCTAAGAGTCGAGTTTGCAATCACTCCATGGCAATTGATACACTTCACCTCATAGCATCAGGTCGGGTGCCTCTCAGCATTGCTCGCCTGTCTCTCTTCAGCGTTGAGCCTGACAGCCGAGCCGGAGGATTCATGTCGAGATCAAAAAGTCCTCCAGCGTTAGGTAATCATGGGGAAGAAGATGGGTTGCGCCTCGTCTGTGGTGGGAATGCATGTATGAATCAATGGCGCAGCAGCAATTTTGTGCATTAGCGCATAGTTCAACGGCAGCTCAGCAGTAATATCGTCTATGAGTAGCGATGATTCATAGTGAGCCATGGAGTTTGATTGGATGGTTTGTCAGCTGCGATCCACTCAAGCGCTGTAAGCTGTGGTCCTCCTTGGCTTGGACAGTCTCGACCGTTTGACTCGGTTCTACTACAACTGCAAAAATCGTATGCCTTGCAATGGAGGTGCTTTGATATTCTCGTCACTTATAAGGACTATCGAATCCCATAAAAACTCTGTTCTCAATAGTTCTTCCTCATTCTCATACCAACATATTCTCCTAGTCGGAACCCACAAGCTAAATGCTACTATTACCTCTTGATTCCGGCACAGTCACGACATCAACCACTCAACAGCACAACATGGACTACCAAATACCCCAGGGGATGCATTTGATCCCCTCTGAGCTTCTGGATTTACGACCAGACTCGGAGATTGACAATGATATCCTCCATCCTAAACCGGTCACTGACGAGAAAAATATATGGGTTTTCTGGCATAGCGGCTTTACAAACATGCACCCATACTCGAAGCGCAACATCCGTGCTTGGTTCCGCCGCTTCTCCAAGCTGGGTTGGGTGATTCGCGTCATGGACAAGGAGCCCGGATCGCCCCTCAATATAGAACACTGGGCAGACACGAAGGATCCAGATACCTTCCCGCGCGCCTTCATCGACGGGACTCTTATCGGCGACCATGCCGTCCAACACACTTCAGATCTAGTACGGTGGCCCCTCTTGTTACGGTACGGTGGCGTGTATGCAGACGTGGGCATGTTGCAGATTGGCGACCTGGACCGTTTGTGGAGCGAGACGGTGGGAAACCCCGACAGCCCCTACGAAGTCCTTTCGTATAGCGGTGGTGACCCCGAGGACATGTCCTTGACGAATTACTTTCTCTGCTGTCGGCGAAACAACCCGCTATTCTTGCGCGCCCACAAACTCTTTCTGGCGCTGTGGGCTGAGGACGGCGGAAAGACGAGTACCGATGGCATGCATGCCAGTCCACTGCTCAAGGGCGTGCCTCAGATGACATATAGCGGTTCCTTTACTGAGAACGGGAGGACTTATGGCCCACTCGAGGTCGGCACCATGCTCTCGGATTACATCACCCAAGGCCAGGCGCTCAAGATGGTGATGGGTATGGAGGATCCCGAGGACGGTTGGAACGGGCGGGAATATGTCCGAGATCATGTCTACGCCATCGAGTTCATGGTAGGCGCTCAGCTCATCAACGAGTATACCGGCTGGGATGGTCAGTTGGCGTTTAAACTAATGTCGCTGCCACTCCCGCATGAGGGCGAGGCGGAGAGCGAGGAGCAAGCAAAGGCAAGAGAGATTGTCGAGGGTTGTTTGAGCAAAAGTTTTGGATTCAAGTTGGCTACCGGCCTTATCTTACGGGTCAAGGGCGACACATTAAGTTCATTGTGGAGGAAAAATGTAGGCTCGGATGATGTCCCTGGGACATATGCCCACTGGCTTCGTCATGGCACTATGTATTGGACGCAAAACGAGCTGCCGCCAACGACTGAACTGAGGATTGACCAGCCGTTCAAGAGAGGACCATTACTTAGAGCGACATAATGTCGTGGGCGAATTAAAGCGATACGGTATAGACTAGACAGAGCAGAAAAAGCCACGATAGATTTAGAACCCCAGGATTAATTCCCCGATGACATAAAGGAAGTCAATGTAAAGACGACGGAGGCTTATTAAGTGTATCGTTTTTCTTATTGATTCGAATTTGTTTGTCCATACCCGTACCTATTGTAGCATGCCGCCACTGACAATGTGGTCTACGAAGTCCATCCAAGAGACTGACCATGGCTGCTAAACAAATTCAACGATTTGAAATTTGTAAGTAAACCACGACATGTGTATGTAAACTATGTCTTTTCTCTCAACTGTCTATTGCGCCTGATTATGATTTAGGCCCTGGCAATCTCTATTGATTCTGGGAGGTATTCGGTCCTGCCGGGCCAGAGACCAATCTGACAAAGTCGTTAACTGTTTGTCGTGACACTATGTTTTTTTGAGACTCACTTTTCAATCATGCCCCCAATTACGCCCTTTTTAGGCTGCTGTTCTGAAAGGCTCTCCCGTTTGGCGACCGACTCTGGGTCTGTGGACCGTTTTTGCAGGTACAGATTGTCAAAATTCGGCCCGGAAAGCTGTACGTGGTCAGTCATCATATCACGAGCGTTTGACTAGAAAACAACAAGACTAACCACAGAATTCTCGGTAGTGTTGCCACCGCCTTGAATAGGTCCTGCTTTGCCGCCGACCGAGGCTTGGTTTGGTGTTGAATCGCTCATCTTGATGTAAATAGTATATGAATTGTTTAAGGCATTGTAAACTGGACCTTCAACTCACCAAACCGAGCAATTTATGTATCTTGAGGAAATTCCAGGAACCAGGTACGACTTCCTGACTCATGACGTTTATTGTACATAGGTGTCGAATTGCTTTGTTTGCGGCACCCACGTCACCGCGCTGCCAAAGTCTATGAGGTCATCAAGTCAGTGATGCTACTAGTAGTTCCCGTCTAAGATGAAGCCGTGTGCACGAGCCACATGTGATGGCAATGATATATCTATTGCCGTGCTCATTATCTTTGGCATAATAAATATGTATAATGCAGATTGGTGGTTTACACAAGGTGCATCTGCCAACGTTACGAACCACCAATGTTAGATCCCAGTCCGATCCAGGTCGCGCCAGTCGGATTGCAGCATGTAGGGAGGTAATCAAGTATAAGTCCGGCTAATTAACAATAGCTTGAACTCACTTCTTGAGACCATTGTGAAAGCACAATCTGGCTGAGTTCCAGTAACGTCGACTAGTGGCATCAAGTTCATGTCATTCCGAGTCGTGTATTTACTGAATCTGTTTGTCGCACTCATCTTTGTTGACAACCCCTGTAAGCGAATTGTTAGCATTATGATGATCACGTGGATCATGAACCAAGAACACTCAACCTCAGTAGATCAGTGTGCCCATCGCAGTAAGTAGGCACACTGCCCGTCGAGGACCAAAGGAAGCTTGACCAGGTGATTCCAAAGATTCTGCAATGGGGGAGTTTGTAACAGAATCTGCCAAGCCGCTGGCAGCCACAGTCTTCATTTACCACGGCCCGCTGCAAGTAAGACAATAGTACACAATATATACCAATGATAGGCAGTTTAGGGCGTGCAATCAGATTGATTTGCTTTTAGCGTTGTTGCATAATTTGTATGCATTACAAAAGGGTTATATAGCAGCAGCAATAGTGGCAACCTCAAACATGCAAGGCCAATATTACTGAGCAAGTATAATATTTCACATGTAAGCTTTCTTTCTCGGCGAGGCTATATTGGATTTGATGAGATTTCCGGAGAAGCTTTATAATGCTCAGATGTAACAATCCGCTGGTGACATGTTGGAGCGCTTGATTGTTGGCGGCACCGGAAAATACAGACAAGTCAGTAAGCTGCAGCCAAAAATGCAACATTGGTATCCCCATAGGTCAATAAAATGCACGACTTCGTATAGACGCCTTGGCGTTGCTGCGGAGAAGCGGCATCGACACATTATAAAGTGAGCATGTGTTTCCAAAAGTCAAAGTGGATAATCAAACAAACTGTTATCGACGCAACTCATAATCATCATGCTCTTTGTCTTGTCAAGTGTCTTTGTCGCAGCTGCAGCGGCCTGCGTTATTCCAGACGTAGGTCTTCCCAATAACATCGTGGAGCCTTTCTCTATCCAATTGCAGAACGCCTCATTTCCTGATGTACACAACCATTTTCTCAATCTATGGGACTGGGGCGGCGGGGACCAGCATCTATTCGTGAGCCCAGCCGGCAACTCGACCAGCGAGCTCACGCTCGTCGAAGGTGTCATCACTCTGCCCTGGGATCCCATTCGCCGTGCTGTCATCAACGGCGAGTACGAGGTCAAGGACAATACCACCAAGATGTTCATGACGGAGCGCGGGGACCCTCGTGCCATTTGGGATGTCGTCTATGGGTGCAATCCCGACACGGATGCCCTTCAGACAGAACTGCGATTCAAGTCGCGGGGGGATATCGAGGAGGGAGGCATCATGGGTGTGAGACCATTCAATGGAGCTTATGACTTTCGATGGAGGCCGGCTGGGACCTCAGGTAAGACCACAATTAATCGTGGGATACGGTTTTATTGACCTCGTAAATAGTCATCGATCCGGACCGTCTGTGGATTGGAGTGACGCTTGTTGTGGTAGAGCCGGAATGATTGGGCATCGATCAAATCAGATCCCTTTTTAGAGGTTGAGACAGTCATATGAAGTTGAAAAGCATTGAGCCGCACTATGTTATTGCGCTGCTCCATGGCATGTCCTCCGTGTAAGCTTGTTCAGAACTGCCGGGTCGCGGAGTTGAGAAGTCAATCAATCCTGTGGCCGTGACATGATCAGCCGCCCTGACTTTCCTTTGCTCCACAGCTTTCCATAAAGCACGGCAAGGTCTTTTGTGTATGAGCCTATTCACGAAAATGATGTAAATATCGTGTCTTGTCTGCGATGCTGCATTTCAACTCTGAATGCACGACCTTCTAGGCTTTTAGACACCACAATTTGGCCGACTTTGCACAAGGTCAAGTGCAACAATACCAGGAGCATTTGTAGGTAGCAGTCAATTTTGCAATATATGTGGGTACATATCTAGGTATTCAAAGTGCTCCTGATTGCGCTCATTGTATGGAGCTTGGATACTCACCATGTACAGATGAAGGAACTGTTGAACTTCACTGTCCTGATTCCAGCTGATGTACAGTATCATAGTATCGATCAATTCTTCGATACAAGAAAATTGGTATCAGACACCATCTTGCAAGATAGCCGGCTGGATGGGAAAATAACAATATCATACTGGCCGACGAATAGGCACTGACTGGCATCACTCGGAGAATCACAAATAATAAGCCCAGACATTCTAGACTATCAGCAGGTGTTGTTTATCAATAGAACGATACATCGTTAAGGAGCAGACTTGGTGGGCTAAAAGCCACTATGGTATAAATTGACGATCTGACAAGCACAGCGAGACATACCCAACTCCATCTAGTGAAATCAGTGCTGGTGAAGGTGTCGGGAGTGTCCATGATGACGCGGATCGTGTGCAAGTGTGCCTGGCACGTCTTGCCCGTTCTTGCTTGCCAGCGTGGAAGTCTGACCAGGCCGAACCAGGCCTATCCTAATCGCAAAGCATCCCATCATCATCGCAAGGTGTCGTGTGGCTGCCAATCGAGCAAAAGCCTGAACCGTAGAACGCCGGAGGTAACAAGGAGGAAATTGCACAGAAACAAGGCTTAAGCAGAGTCGCCAAAGGTGTTCTCGCCCGAGTACGTGATGTAGAGGAAACTGGAAACAATCAAAGTTAGCCACGAGTTTGGCTGTGTGCTCAACACAATCTGATCCGAGGGAAACTTACCCATCCTCGTCCTTGTGTTCCTCGTAAATGCTACTCATCAGAGCAGCCGTTGGCGGAAGAACTTCATCGACAAAGATGAAAATGGCCTTTTCCGGAGACAACTTGATGCGCTTTCGGATAACATAGACGAACTGGCCGACGGTGAGATCTGCGGGTACGAGATACTTCTTCTTGTCGATAGTGGCGATATCAGACTTCTCGACCTTTTCGCAAATAACCTAGAGGAATAGGCGTTAGCAATCAAAATCACCAAGCTGTATAATCATGCAAAAGTTTAATGCAAGGTGCTGCTGTTGCGATGTACCGAAAGCGACCAGGGTGTGAAGGTGACGATACAGTGGCGGCGATAAGCAACACTGGCAGGCAGCGGTGTGTAGATGACGCCGGGCTAGCCAAGGCATTTCGGCACCGGGACCAAAGCGTTGCGCACAGAAACACTGGCGATGGCTATCACAATGCATCTCGGATGGAGTAGCAAAAGAGAATGAACTCACCGGAATACGGTCGGCATACTTCTGTCGGATTCGCTCGGCCTCGGCCTTACGCTTCTCGAAGGGGTGCTCGTCCTTGAACTTGGATCGCATATTGGGCGAGTGTAATGACGTTGTCGGTGTAGTTGGTCTGTATGGGATGCGACTGGGCGTTGTTGGTTGGGTCAGTGAGAATATGAGTTGGAGATTGTCGTCAAAGTTATTGGCAGCAGTAGAGATGGAGGTGGATTAGAGGGTGAAGGTTGGTAAGTAGGTAGGAGTGGGAAGAGGAAAGCAAGTTGTGCTTTGGCTGGAGGACTGGCGTAAGGTTGTAGGTATGCGGAGGTGACCTACATACAACCTTGAGGTACTGCCTGCCTGGTAGGTAATCACCTGGTTTAGTGACCCGATGGCCAGCAGGTACACACCGGATTGCGTGCGTCGATTGCTTAATCGGAGTGGGTGATTGACTGACTGGATTGCTCAGCAGCAGGGCGGGGTGATTGAGTGTATGTACCTCCTAGTACTGGGAGCTTCCACCAATGTCTCCAGTCCCGCCTGGGCGAATGAACTATCTTGAGGCAGAATCAAAGTATCTTCAAGGCACAACAATGTGTCAAAGAGACTTTTTGCTCAGTCAGACCACTCAAAGTCCTCAGATCACTGGATCTCAGCGCACTGTCATTGGGAGCATTCCAAGCCGAGCGTTCAGTCACGGAAAGGTACCTTGACCCAAATAAGGCGGGGAGCACGAGGTAGTTGACGTGGGGTCAGGGATCAATGTCTGCCTGGAGAGGTACGGTACCCAGCAGCGTAGAAACGCAATGTATGAGGGGCTGGCGATCTGACTAATGAAGTGTACAGAGTACACTGCGAATGAAAAGACTTACGTTATTTGACTTCCTCTGTCGAAGCAGGAAGGAAACAAATTTGAATGAAGCGATGGGATGTGGTAGATTGAAAGATGTTGCTTGCTGCTAATCGTGTCGTGATGGATTAAGGGCAATCAAGGAAACCGGTAAAGAAAGAGGAGAAAGCGACGAGATGCACGTACGTTTAAGGTATTGGTCGGTCAGAGGCATTGAGACAATGGAAGTGAGCAACCATCCACAGCGCTGAAGACAGGAGGAAAGCGGGGCGAGGCAGTGAGACGACACCTGCGGCCTGGGCAGCTGCTGGGAGAACGTGAACGTGATGCCCGTGGCAACGATAAAGGAAATGCCATGCGCCTTTCCAAATATAGTCTAGCCTCATACCTGTCGCTGGCCTTTGGGTCATCCGGTGAGTGCGAATTGGTCACATTGATACCATGGATGACCTCGTCTTTCTTTCTTTTCTACCCCTTTCGTTTGCCTTGTGCTTACCTCTGAGTAACAAAGAAGAAGACTTGAATCGCTTTGAGATCAAACAGTCGCAGGAGCCCATCATCGTTACTGGTCACGGCCTACGTATATACTCCAGATCAAGGCTTGAATGGTCGTGGGCGTTTGTAGTTGACTCTATTCTATGCTACGGACTACCTCGCAGCCACTTCGTTTGCTTTGTTCAGATCCGAAATAATAATGACCAGACATCAAAGCCATACACGGTGCAGACAAAGATGGAGCAGTGATACATTGCGATGTGAAGAGATGCATTACACTGATTTCTCTGTCCGTAATCTACCTACGAAATATCTATTCTCAATTCATTCTTCCCGTGGCGCGGAAGCCTCCGATGGGCTGCCCAGCCCCCACTCTTGTTAGACCCAGTAGGCACTTATTCCCTTGCGTCTATCGCCGTGCCGGTTATGGGAAACTGTACATATTCAAGCAAATTCGCGTCGACTGAAGTATTCAATTACATTAAGGTGTCGTCTTTGCTACCTCAAGTATCTTTGCGATGTACGCTTTTGGGCATGCCATTTCGCATTGGTTTTTTGTGTACTGGGTGGAACGTATTCAAAATGAGACTGTGCAAAGAAGAAAGGAGAAGAGTATAATTTTGATTAATTCGAAAGCCTGTCACATACGACCATAGATAGTTGAAAACATGGCATCCCGTTCGCTCTGCCCTAATTAAGCAACTAATCGCCGAATCAGTACTCAGGTGGGTGACCACTGGGGAATCCTCGGTGATGTATGTTTTTTTTTGACATTTTTTCAACTTAGTAGAGCCTCGCTCGGACGCATGGACTCAGAAACATCATCTGGGAAGTGGAAGTATGCGTGAACACGAGGGAAAGTGATTTTTGTCCATTCCACGGACTCCAGCATGGCAAATCAGCATGTTGTCTAGTTGGTTATGGGGGAATAACACGTGCTGCAACGAGTTGAATAGCCTTTGAACACGATTCATGGAATTGAGCATGAGAAGAAACTAGGTAGAATCCAAACAGATGAATACGTTGCCGAGAACGAATGCCGATATGCTGTTTCGTCTCGCCAGACGATCTCCAGGCATACTTTCTTATTGCGTCATCTGACCGAATGCATTGAACAGTATCATATATGACCAAAGAGAGCAAAGTATGACAGCCAATACCAAATCATGGGAATATGAATCATTAAATGGTCGTAGATCAGCGCCGAACGCCACCTGTAGAGGCCCACGAGCGAACAAAAAGTCCCCTTGATTTTGCTACAGTGCAAGCCGGTAACTACCTCTCAATTCATGTTGATTTGTGCCATTTGTTACCGGAGTCGGCAAAGTGGTCCCAGTGTGGAGTGTACAGCTTCTTCATCACTCGACTGCTGCCTGTAATTAGGCTTGACTGACCAAAGATCCATCTGAGCAAGCCTTTGTCTCCGCGTTAATATATGCACTATCAATATGTACTCACCTTGAATTTACATTACAGGGCTGTTTTATGGCCGAACCGGAAATCTTTTAGTGGGGTGATGCGTCTTTGTCTGGAGAGGCCCATCGATCGTCCTTGGGCAGCAAAAATGCATGTAACGGGAAGATGGCCATGAATAAGCCGAGATAGCCATGAAAGGGATTTTTCATTTTCCATAAAGCTGCTCAGCCGTCTGTTACATCATTTGATCTCGTCCTCAAGATATCGAATCACACTTCAATCAACAAACATGTGCTCCGGCCCGAGCATGCCCCATCAGAGGCAAGTCTCAAAGGCAAAGTCCCATGCGATTTCCGGACAATCCTCGGGAATGGAGCGCTCAACAGCTCTTGTACTTGCACAATTTGGTGCTCGGGTATCCTTCTGTGATCATAACAAGAGAAGAATCGCACAGGTTGAGGCAGAAATCGTGCCCTCATCATTGTATGGCAAGCACGGCGTGTTGTCAAACAGTGTCTACATTGAAAACGTGGGTGAGGTGGTAGCCTGGATTCACGCCTTTGTCGACAAATTTGGGAGGCTAGACGGAGCTATCAATGCCGTCGCCCTTGAGGCATCCAAGGTTGTGTCGATTACCGAGATGAAGTCACCAACTTGGCATACTGCCATTAATGCAAACCTACCCCAGCTCAAACATGACTAAAGACGCTGCTATCATAAATGTTGGTAGTATTCTTGACATCGTTGACCTTGAAGCTTATGCCCTGTACTCTGCGAAAAAAAAAAAAAAAAAAAAAAAAAGAAAACATGGGATATTCGGTTCCACAAAAGCCATTGCAAAAGAATATGGTCTGGGGAGATTCGAATCAACGCTACCGGACCGTAATTTGAGAAGATGCGATTGAAACGCATCCTCTTAACAATGTTCGTGGTCACACTAATACTTTCATAACAAAGAATAAAACTGCTCTCTTGATCGCAGATAGTCTGAAAATACCGGGTGTGGCATCTCCGACGATAAAAAAACGAATCGCGAAAGTATATAAGTAGACTCAATCTATATTATTCCATTGTAGTAATCGGAATGTAGTCCTTACCTACCTTAATATCGGCCTTAAGAAAGATAAAAGACTTTAGAAAAATTCCCCTGTGTAATCTATCCATCTCGTTAATATTCAGACAGGTCATAATTCATAAGTAGGCAGAACCTCGCCGCAGACGGTGGTCGGGTCGTTTGAAGAGATCTTAACTCGGCCACAAAAACGTGTTTGCTTTTCATTAAACAATGACAACTATGGCCACGCAGAGGTTCATTTTTGCAAGAAGCCAATCTCTAAACAGTTAACAGCGCAGGAAGGCCAATCATTTACAGCCTTGGACTGCCACTGGTCGAAGCCTACCCCGTCATATGAGAACTAGACACCGCAATAGCCTGGAGCCACCCAAGGCGTCCTTCGACAATGTAGCTTAATCCGGCCACGAAGCTTGCCATTTGCCATGATATTCTCGCCGCGGTATGGCCGATGTTCCTTGAAATGCCGAATTAACTCGTCCTTCCTACTTGCTCGTCTTGAGGCTTGCATATCTAGTCAGGGGCAGCGACCATTGCAACAAACGACAGCAGCCGAACCTTAATTTGCAGTAATGCAGCATGCTTGCATATAAAACTAAAACCTCCGCATTATCATAGATGGACGGATTTGGTCGCCTACTTCAATGAATTTCAGTCACTTTAACGATGGGTGTATGTGTTAATTAGTCTATGTCGATTCCCAAAAAAGCTGTTTATATGGAAAGGGTTTTGAGCTACGCCGATCATGTCGATAATTTTCCTAGGGCGACAAGGGTTCGTACAACGGCAGCGTGGGGTGATCCGGAGCCTCAATTTCCTATTATAGCAACAACTCGCTCGGCAACTTCTCCGACGACGAACCGTCTATGCCACGGTACTACAAAATTGTGAAATGGGCTGCAAGATTCTGAAAGATGATATAGAGGGTATTTCTCTCTATTGTCCAATGTTTCAAAGTGGCCCGTGGTCCGTAAAAGTGAGCAGATTGTTATGGAAAAGCTGTCGCGTGTCTTATGCTATGTACAATGGCTGGGCGATTAAACCCACCTCCAGTTCACCTAACCGTTCCGTCATTGTGCCGGGCCGCATTGCCAACCACAAATAAGCTCGTTCGACCACCACTTTTCAAATCCAGTCCAATCAAAATAAAGAGGAAGAAGGCGAAAGATAATAGTAATATTCCAACGCTATCATATTTTCCCTCGTCAAGTCTCCGAAACTCAGCAGCTGACCGAGCCACAATGACTTGTCTCTTCCCCCAACCCTACCCCACATATTAATATTAGTGTCTATAGAGATTCTGGAGTGTTCGGGGACATGTGATATCCTGTGCAGCCTCCGGAGTACTAGCCTCTTTGACGGGCCACACACACTGTTATAAAGGGCCGTTGAACAGCCCAACGAGCGTTGAAAAGTCTATTCCATGATTAATGCCTATGCAGGTACGATGCATCACGGGACATGCAAGTGATGACTGACATTTTCTCCGGCGATCTATGCACGATAAACCGAGATCCATCCACAACGTGTAAATTGCTCACCATGACTCGCACCTGCATTTTTTTTCTGTTTTCTGTGTGGAATCCATCTTACTACGAAAGCTAAACGGCGGTCAAAACTCGTGGTTGTTTGACCTGATGCATCTTGAACGGCGGCGCGGGAGAACGCGTGATCTCGAAAAGCTCTAGAAGGGTTCGTACAGTCAGTGTTCGTCACTTTACCGCGCACCCTACAACATCCGACAGGTTGGGTCTCTACCGTCTTTTCCAGCCATTCCTGGCCCGAGAATTGTATACCAAGAAGGTTCGGCCACGATGGTTTCTCGGCTTGAGTAAGAAATTGTGTATTAGCAAGTGGTGATCCTCCTACCGCAGACAATGTGACCTCTGCGGATCACGAAAATCATCGTTGACCGCTAGCCATGCCAATGGACATGAAGAGATGGACGCACCCACTCTTGCCGGCTGGGTTGTATAGTCAGCTCCGCCTCCACAGACGGCTTTCCCGGCGGGTCATCACATGGCCTGCTTGGAAAAGGAGGATCGTGGAGTCGTCGTGGTGTAAGCCTTCTTGCCGAGCCGGCACTATTCAGATATATAACAAGTAGAATGTCGCCGCAGCTATACGTTTGAATTATCACCATTCCCATCCAAAAACAGTTCTCTGATCTTCTTCGGTACAATATTTTTGGTATTGAAGTTTGTTTGCCAACAATAGTCCATATTTTCTTGTTTGAGTCAGTCAGTATGCGTTTCAGGCAAGACTTTGTACTACCTTTGCTATCGATGCTTTGTGCATCTAGCTTTGCCGCACCGATGAAGGCCACACCCGGAACGGTCAACGACATTATCATCACCGAGGATAACACCGTCAACGGCACTGCTAGCCCTGTCAAGACTCAAACAAATCTTTCCAGTGGCAATGGTTCTTTTCAGATATCCATAACAAACAACATGGGCGCGAGTGGTGTCAATGCATACATCACTGGTCGAAACGCAGCTGGGTCTGTTGTTTTCCTTTCACCACAAGGGGGTTGGTACTATCCAGATCCTCATGGCAGTGCGGCTCCTGTTCAGATCACCGATGATGTCAAGTTGCCACTTGGCGGGGCTGGAAGCAGCAGCACATTTGCACTACCTGGGTACTTGAGCGCGGCTCGTGTATGGATTGCAGAAGGAGAACTGGATTTCTTCACTGTGGCTTCCAATGGTATTCAACTGGTTGAACCGTCATTTGCGAATCCCAAAGATCCCTCGACCGGTATCAACTGGGGCTTTGTGGAGTTGACATACCTCGCGGAGGGTCTCTGGGCAAACCTTTCCTTTGTCGACTTTGTTGGCCTTGTTATGGGCATGACCCTGACGCTTGGAAGCGGCGAGGTGCAAACCAGAAAGGGATTGCGATCAGATGCGATTGCAGGTATTTGCAAGGATCTTGTATCGCAAAGCAATGCCGACGGCCAACCCTGGGGTGACTTGTGCGTCACCGACGACAACGGCACCCCGCTGAGAATCGTGGCACCCAATATCTACCTCAGCGACGACGGAGACGCCTTTTCGGATTACTTCAACCAGTACATTGACCAGGTGGTGAGTCTCTTGATACTATACAATGTGCATTAAAACCCTTACTGACATATAAAAATCTAGTGGTCTCGCTTTACATCTGAGCCTCTGACGATTGACACTCAGTCCGATCCGGGCTTGGTCAAGTGCAATGTCCAGGGCGGCAACAACCTCTTCTGTGACGGCGATAACCGAAGCTATAGCAAACCCTCAGCCGCGGATATCTTTGGCTGCAACTCTGGTCCATTCGCCATCATTGATGGGGATAATGCAGTCCACAAAGCTGTTGTTCCACGACTTTGCGCTGCCTTCAACCGAGGCACATTCCTCCAAGATGGAGGAAATGTTCAACCAAAGCAGCCTAGCAGCGATTACTACCAGTCAAACCCCAACAACCATTACTCCCGTATCATCCACCAATACGAGACTGATGGACAAGGCTACGCATTCTCTTACGACGATGTCAACCCCGATGGAGAGAACTCAGCTGGCCTCGTGGCTGGCCCAGACCCTCGATTGCTGCACATTGTCCTCGGAGGCATTCAGTAAGCATGGAGAGCAGCAAGTGGGACATCTTTGCGTGCCTATATCAACACATCTCATTACTTGTCACAACTTCGCAGTTGTAATCAAGCAGGCACTCAGCCTTGTTTGTTCGATGTTTTTACTTTCTTCCTTTTTAAACATGTCTCTCGCTTTGGATACCACTCTCGCTTGTCTTCAGCATTGTTTTGAGTTGCATTGCGTTTGCGGGTCGGGTTTTCATGGCATATACCACTATCTAGCATGATGACTATATGAAGCATATACGAAGCATATAAACATGTAAATAAGACTCAGTCCGACAAGACAAAACCTACAAATCACGTCATCAATTATTCATTTAGCTTTTAACACGAAACATTTCCTCAATCAGTATCAATTATAACATTCCAATCGACCGGCAAAGTTTGGCTTTATTATGACTTAACAATAGGCCAAATTTATCTCTGGCGTTTGACGAGTGGGTTGGCTGGTCATATTCTTTTTGCAACTTCTGTCGGCGCCGCGGTATCACAGAGATACGGACGAATGAGAACCATGAAATCACTCGAAGAAGCTGAAAGAGAGAGAAGACTCATATCTCGCGCATCTTTGTTATGTTTGGTATCGTTTCGATCATACATTTGACAGCAGAACTTCTCCTCATGTGGCACTCTCCTTCCCTTGGTCGGGATAGCTATGCTTGACATCTTCCACCACGACCTTGGCCTCAATCTCCACCTCGATAACACTTTGATCTAGAGAACGACTTCTTCGAAGCGACTCCTGACTTCCATGCCGGCCATGTTGACTTGAGGGCACGCTTGCACCCGCGGCGTTCAGTACTTGGCGTGGCGGCCACCAACATCGTGCTGAATTTCCATCCGTATCGTTACCGCCCTGAACCATTACCATGTTGCCATACACTCTTTGAGGCGTTCTTAAGAACGCAAACTTTTCCAAACCGGTTTCTCGAATATCATGGTCGCCAATGAAGATGATAGTAGTACTCCACAAAAGAACATTCAACCAGCCTGGCGAGAGGAAATTGTCAGTAGTGGTCAGATACATGCTCGCCAACAACGGTGGCCACTCACCATGAGACGCAATCATTGCGCCAGCAATACCGTAAAAGACCCACCCCGGCTTTGTCCCAGTCATTGCAGCCATTCGACTAATGGCTAGAGGCGCAGTGCAGATAATGTAGATGATCTGATAAATGAGAAATGCTGGATGATGACCAGACGGCTTAGGTGGCTCGTTCTTCTCCCTCGCCTCCATGGAATCGCAGAGGACTTGTGGGAAATGCCGCGCTGATTGGTTATTCCGTTGAAGCGAGAACAACACCCACATCAAAAGACACACCGTAACGGCCATGGCGACGAAAATCCAGAAATATTCAAGCCAGAGCGAATACACGGTGTACTTCGGGTTAACCCAGCACTGTTCCACAGTCAGTCAGTCAGTCAGTCAGCCTTGACATGAGTAACTCCATCTCCGGATAGTACAAAGCTTACCCAGGCACCAGCTCGTGAGTAGAAACCGCCATGGTCTGCCCCGTTATGCGTGCTCAGGATACTGATGAGAGGGAATGCGAAAGCAATGACCCATACAGTTCCCGTCAAGATATAAATGAGCATGCGGGGTAGTTTGTAACCCTTTACAATCGTAGTATACGTATTGACGCCTTCTCTCATGATTAGCCGTGAAATAAACACCAGCAGACATGGAATAGTGTTGATGTTTAATGACTCCGCCAGGACGAGATGGAAAGAAACATGGACTTACTAATGAGAACTAACATTCCACTACACACAAGCTTTCCGACCTGCATAAACCAACCCTGGGCCCAGCAAGCAGCAGTGGGCACGAAAATGCCGTCTTCCTTGACCCATACCACTACAGAAATCGAGATCAGCAATCTCATCCTCAGCTGCCCATTTGCACGAAGGTCGTCAAGGTACTGCACAAGGCGATCGATACACGTTGCCAAGATGCCCCAAGAGGGAGTGGAAAACAAGACCGAGCGCTGCTTACCACTCAATAAAAATGCCATGGCTTCTATCAGATTTGCACAGAGCAAATTATAAATGAGCATCAGCACAGGGTTCCATCTGTTGTCCTTGATCTCATGATGTCCATGTTCTTTCTCGAATCGTGGTGTCGGGGGCTCGCTGTTCGGTGGCGAAGGGAATTTTGCCTTGAGGAAAACATAGTGCCGCTCCTCGAGTCCGAGAGACAGATCATTTGTTCCATCTACTTCAGTCTGCCGCGTCGCCGCGTCGTCAATATTTTGTTGCTTGGTCTGTTTTACAACCACGTCCCATTTGATCAGGCGATATGTAATGTAGAGGACGAGAAGCGCAGTCGACACAAAAGAAAGCAAAGCCAAGGTTGTGACAGCAATCAGACCGTTTCGGACGGTTTTGGGCAGCGGAGCGAGCGTGCTGCCGTCGGCGGGAAGGTGTGAAGCCATTGTCACATCCACCGAGTGGTGAATACTCCCAACAGGCCCAATATATTTCCACCTCAAGGCTTGATGCTGGGCTGGCCTGATCGCGACATTGACAGCCTGTGATCAAGGTCAAGTGAACCCGAGATGAAAAGAAACGAAGAAGATCACCCTGGTTGGTAGTGGGAAATGATGAGCAAGAGACGACAGGGAAGGGCATGGGTGACTACTACCTCCTCCTACTGTTGTTGGATTGGCATGAACTCGACGAGGGTCAGAGCCCACTCAACTCCCCGCGTTTATGGCGGCAGAAGATGGGACCAGGCCGTTATAAGCGACGGGACGGTCCTTCTTGAAGAACTCCATCAAACATTGCTACCTAGTATGTACTGTGTAAACGGTCGACCTATCCGGTGCAGAATCTAGCAGGGATTCCTGCTTGAAGCGAGGGCCCCCGGGAGATTTCCGCGCGAGAGCAACTGCACCTCAATCGGGGTCGGGAGATCCTAGCGGCTGCTGGCCATCCACATCGAGGCGTTTCGGTCGGGAGCAGACAGATCCGTGCATGGTGCGGAGGCAAGCGATCCAATGATGAAGGCTTGAGACCTGGTTTAGAATCCCTGCACGCAACCGTTGCTCCTCGACGGATTGCAGATGAACAAGTACCATGTAATACTACGCCCAACTTCACACCATTTTATCTCAAACCTCCTCTCCAGCTGCCAGCAGCCTTACCACATCGCCGTTCCTCCTTGGCTCGGAGAGGCGGCTTACGGCGGGCGGGTCCGCCTTGACCGCTAGCTTAGCTGAGCCTCAAGAGGGCGACAAGAAATAGACGGCGCACAACAGACGTCAAAGCGTGGTATTCGTGTTACTATATACTAGACTAGATAGGACGTTGAGATGATGTTTTTGCATATGCAGAAGCAGAACGTGGCTTGAGCCTACAGTAGTAGTGGTGGTAGTGGGACGAGTCATTCAAACCCATGTAGCTAAACCTTTCCCCATCTGCACTGGGATAATCTTAGAAACATTGTTTCTGGAGGCCACATACGAGTTAGTACTCCCCAGAATCCCCAACGCTCACCTTGTCTGTCTGTCTGTTGAAGACGCCGGCGATCCTTCACCCTTTGGACAGTGTGATTACAGTCTGGGTCATCGTGGACCGCTTGGGACACTGGTACACTGGGAGTTACTAAATATACCTATTGACCGAGAATAGTCAATGGTACGCCTATGGTTAGTTCTAGAGTAAAGGCTACTATAATTGCAAAACACAGGCATCTAACTAGGCAGACACACATGTTGGGCGCGCTGACTAGCATGATAGCTTAAACAATCTAGATGCGTCCATATTCTCTCGGTGAAACAAAGGCTGCACAAAAGTCTGTGTGCTGGTGTCGTTATGCCATCAAGTGTCTCGCGAGCACCGTGCGATTTACTTTTCGACTCTGGCGTATTCCTCCGGTCCCTCATACTGACTGGGGGGCTGAAAGTAAGGATGACCTTAACCGAGACTATAACGCGCGACCATCGTTGATCATTTGCACGAGAGGACACCGTCAACAATGGCGACTCACAATACTCGTGGCACTCGACTGCAATGATTAAGCACGAGGGGGCATCTCAGAAGCAGTAATCAAGCAAGATACTAAAATGGTGAACCGACTCTATTGTATTCCCACAGAATAGAGGGAAACGCATGCATGGTTTGGGCAGACTGACTACCAAGGACTTTTCCTGCGAGTGCTCTGCATAAAACCTCCCAAGTCCCGATCCTTCGACTGCGCCAGCACTTTGCACGACAGAACCGAGGCGCAAGCATCGAATTCAACACAGTATAACATACGACCATGTGCACATCTCGACAGCTATATCGCAAATTATGAATCATACTTATTACCCTTTGTAGACTCGGAGAGAAGCGATACAAGTCACCACCGAGAGGCCACCGGTGTTTCGTCTCATCCCATTTAGTAAGATAACAAGGACTAAATATGACACTCGAAAGTGTCTTGGCCCCAAAAGACACGATCAAGTCATATGAATTAGCGTCCTCCACTCAAAATGTCCTGCATGAATAAATACAAACGTTGGTCGGCATCGCACTTGAAGATGCTTTGAGAATCTGCCTAGAATCCTTAGTTGAGACAATAGGTCGCCCATAGGCTCTTAATGGCTCCTCGAGGGGTCTGGTATCAACAGGGCGCCTCGCAGCAAGATAGCTGATTGGTCACGAGCGGTGTATGTGCCACAGAAGGAGGTCTCATCGAAGTTGTCATATGACTGATTTGGGCTTGTCTATCCAGTAGATGTTTATAACGTCTGCATCTGTCTTACCATTACTCATATTGGGCCATGTCTGCGGAGGTGCCGATAAATGTGTCAAGAAAAGGAACGACGTCTGCCAATCATCCTCAAGCTCTAGTCATGGAGGTCGGAACCCTGTGATATCATTCTAGCTACAGCTGCTCATGCATTTTGATGACTCAAGTCAACTTCTTGCGTTTGTGTCTCAGTCTGAATGCTATGCCAGGTCATGTCTGCCACTCATTTCAACAATCTTTGCTCGAACCTCCAATGCAATTTGTGCACCAGTGCGACAAAATTGCATGTGATATGTTAGCGTATAATATCACCCTCCTTGTCGATGCCCTCAGCCATCTCAATAATGTCACTTCCGCCCAGAGCACCGGGTCCTGTAGCAGTGATGGATCGCCCACGAGAAGTGCCCCAAACCTCATGAAACTTCACGCTTTTATCGCTTGCTGCAACAATCAGACAGCCTTCTCCCATCTCTCTTCTTCTTCGGCTAGTTCTGCGTCGACTATGACTACCCATGTCGGTCCCTTGGCTTCCTGATTCACGACTCGAGTCCTCCAAAGGGCTGGTAGAAGGTGGCTCTGAGCCATCCATAGCAACGCCGGTTGTACCTAGCGATAGACGTGCCATCGGACTGCCGGGGTACGTGACTGCAAATAGCGCTCGATGCTCGCCATCCCATTTCACACTTCCAACCATTTTGCAATCTGGCCAGCTGAACACTGCAATTCTCACTGGATGCTCAGGTTGAGCATAACCAAAGGTAGCTGCAATTTCTCTTCGGGTCGCACTCCAGTGAAGGCTTGTGACTTGGGCATTTACGGAAATTGTCGCTAATACCGCACCCGAGGTGGAGTGGAAAAAATGTATCATTTTGTCGTTCGAACCACCACCTGTAGCAATAAGGTGAGGGCGCCATGGGCAGAAAGCTATGGCTTTGACTGCGGCGAGATGGTGCCATGTCTGATCAGCCGCAGAAGCCCGCCATGTCTTCACTGGAGGGTGCGGAGGTGTTGAGGGGATTATGGGTAGTACCAAGTCGTCACCATCATCATTGTCAACATTGTGAGCCCAGGCGGTGTAGCGAGTAGTATAGGGCAGCTGCGGTGATGCCCTTGACTCATCTGGCCATGATGGCCATGGAACGTTGTCCGCCGATCGGTTGATAGGCGTGAACTCGGGTGCATGTGGATTGAGAGTTGTCTGAGTCTGTTCACCAGGCTCTTCCTTTGAGATGTTCGCCTCGATTTTCTCGGATGCCGCAAAACTTGTCGACCAAGACGGAGTCATTGGCTTCGTCTCGATAGTTACATCATCCTGTTCATCCTTGGACTCTAAAATTTTGTCGACACTGAAGAGGCAGCACAAGTTGTCATTGCCACCAGTGGCAAACTGCTCGCCGTCACAAGACCAAGCGAGACCGCAAATCTGTTGTGTGTGTACCTGGATGCGAGCCAGCAATGTCATAGCTCCAGGCCACGTGTCACGGGCAACCTCCTAGCCACCGGGCCACTCGACAGAGTAATAGTAGACATCGCCGGCTTCTTCTCCAACCAGAAGATCCTCGGTTGGGACAGGGACGCCTGGGTTGAAGGGGTTCATGGAAGGTCGGGTTTTGGTGACCGGTCGCCAACTGAGACACGCAATCGGTTCTTGATGTTGAGCCTCAAAGCGAGGGAGCATACTATCGAATAAGGAGAGTAATCCAATGTGACCATTCGAGCGGCCGAAAACCAGTATGGATTTGCCGCCCTCCTCAGATGAGAAGGCAACCGATGTAAGCCATGACCCGTCCTTAGGTCCAGCATTTAGCAGCGACACGCCAGTCGTCTCCGACCATCCATACAAAAGGCTGCCAAGGCCGATAGCAAGGACATTGCATGTCGGAGAATAAGCCATTATTGAGCAGTAAAAGTCATCACGTAGGCCGGGTGCGTCGAGAATCCTGCGGACTATCAGCGATACACATAATATACCGCAGTGAAGGAGAAGGTCTTACTTGAAGGGGGCCCTGGGTAGCACTCGTTCCTCTTTTGCATGTTTCACTGTGCTTGTCAACTCCTCATATTCGAATGAAAAAATAACTTTCAGCGAGACATACCGGACTTTTGTCCATCATTCAACCACTCGGTCCCCGTCCAATTAGTTCTGGACGTGTCCAGTGACGCTTGTGCTTTGCGATTGCTACGGCATCGGGGAAAGGTTGAAAATATGTCGCTGCCGAGTATCCGCTGCACTGGGTCTATCTGCAAGGCTTGCGCAAGTCTTCCTTCGTGCTTCTCCTGGTGTTCCTCTGACTTCGGCCGCATTTTTGTGAACGGCATCGTATATAATGGTGCAGTCGTCCCGCTGCCCAGAAACCGACCACGACCACCATCAATGGCGACTGCCCCAGGCGCAGTGCCACCAACTGACCAAACGGCTCCCACACTGACCTTCCAAGAGAATCAGACACTGCAATTATCACAATCAAGCAACTTGGGCCTATCAGGACAGAGGACACCACTTACCTGACGCTCAGTGGGGTTGAAAGACACGGCATTGCGAGGCAAGATATTTACTGTGGTTCCTGTAAGCATCAGTATTACGAATGGAACTGAATTCAGTCATTTGGCTCACCATTTCGTCTGTCACTACCATCTGAGTGCGAGCCTCGTGGTATAGTCCTGGCGGCCGCGAATCGTTGTGACCTGGATATAAATGGGTCTGGCAGTGCAGCCTCGTTTCGAACGATCCGCTCAGATGTCGACAGTCTGTGAGAGTCTTTGACTGTCCGGAAGCGGTCTGCTATGAGACTTGACGGCTCGCGACTTGGGACGAACCGGTCAGAGAGCCGAGTAAACCCACCTCGACTCAGAGGGGACCCCTCGGTCAGAGCTTGTCTGCGATTTCGACGTCGGTTGATTTTAGAGTCCGACCAGAATGCAGTAAGCATACTAGGGCGAAGGCCGATATCGCGAGGAACCGTGTTTGGTGTTTTGTTATTAGCGCCATCGTGCGGATCTGCATCATTGTCTGATGCCTCACTGCCTGAAGTACTCGAAGAAGACTGGGCTCCATCAAGACAAGCATCAGCAGCGCCCAAGCGTTTCGTCTCGACGGCGCACGTCTCGGTCCCATCACACGTTTGGGAGGCCGATCCTCGGGTTGTTGAGAATGATCCAATGGGCGCTGCTTCACACGAGATGGATCGCGCCGCCTCTTGGTCGTGACATCCTAGCAGTTGGGGTCTACGGCGTCTGATCTTGAAAAGTGCAGGGCAGTGTGGCTGGAGATCTGAAAGGGGAACCGGGCTATTTACGTGACATGTTGACAATTTCTTGTTCTCCTCATGCTGGTCATCCATTCTGACCGAGCACACAAGATATCGATAATGAATAAAATTGAAACGAAAGAATGAGTACGAATGGTGGTTAGACACCAACGAATTCTGCAATCACAGACGCGGCGGACAAGATGGGAGGCACGCACAACTCTCACCAGTCCTGTCGCGGACGTGATCATTTGTGGATTTGAGCCCAAAAGAAGGGGTTGTAGGTTCAGGTAGAGATGACGACTGAAAGCATGCTAAAAGCATTTGCAAGAACTGCACGTGCTGTTCTCGAAGACATCTATTCCAGGTAATAAAGTAGGAAACCACGTGGGAAATGATGTGACATCATGAATCTCGACTCATCTCACCACGCTTGCGCCAGGAGACAGGGAAGGGAGAACCGACGACAACGTATTGCCTACGGCAAGCTCGTGTTCTACTATCTGTCAAGAATTAGGGGATGTAATGGTTTCAATTCTCCACGTGCCTGAAAAAAAAAAGAAGCATGTCTTCATATATTAAGTGTATGGAAAACCCAGCCGCTGTCCTTGACCCATGGGATCTATAGGCTTTGTTCGACGTCATGCCATCTACCCTTACGAAGAGGGTCGAGCTGTTTCAGTTTGGACAGCCAAGTCACGAATTCGTCTTGAGATGATGTGGGACTCGTGGTATCGCCGCCGGCCTTTCTGAATACGTCGAGTGCGATGCTGTACTCGAGCAGTGCCTCGTAAATCCATTTGACGTCATCGTAGTCTTCCAAAAGATCAGAGATCTCCTCCATCTCCTTTTCAGCATACACCAATCGTTCCTCCCTGGTCAAGTTTGGTGCCATGGTTGGTCTGCCAACGTTATCGAGGAGATGCGACATGAGGAATTGATGATAGTACCACAAACTCTGATCCTCTGGGCCGACGTTGAGCCCTTCTCTTGCAAGATCTAGCTCGGCTTCCAAGAAGTGTCTGCGTGCGGCATCATCCGCCTTCCTCTCATCGAGCAATCGCAGGACAAGTTGGCTCCGATTATGCCAAGCGGAGAAATTGCTCAAATCGCTATTGATCTTCTTTGTCGTATACTCGAACTCGCTTTCCACCATGCTCTGTCCATGCAGCTCTGCACTCTCCAGTTTTGTGACCACCCTCCGGCGGTAGCTCCATGCATGGAAATTACGTTGGTCCTTGTTCAGCATCTTGGAGACCAGCCCCAACTCAGCTGTCCAGATATCACGCGCGGTATTCAGCGGGAGATGAGCTATGCAGAGGTGTAGGATGTATGAGCGATGATTCCAAATCCAGTAGCATTTGGGGAATTCGAGCAGTAGTGGAATAGTGAATTGCAACTCGGACTGCAAAACAGTGAGAGCATCTTTCATATTCTGGTCCCTTTGTTGTTCGTTGGCGGCGCTCTGATCATGTACTAAGCCACTCTGCCCACTCCTCGTGGCTTGTTGGGACTTTAGGTCTGGCGGGGTCACACCCGAGAAAGAGGGCGAGGAGTCGTCGGAAGGCGGTTTCGTAGTGTCGCTCGCTGAAGTATTCGGCAACGCCTTCGAGGGCCATGACCCATCCAACGGTTTGGACAATGAGCCAGATATTAGACAACGTCGACGGACGTTCCATATTGTGTAGTATTCGGGGTTCAGCCGGAGAAGCTTGGTTGTCAGGTCGAAGAGGGTAGGGTCGGCAAAGTCTTGCTGCTTAGCCTGAAGGCTGTGAGCAGAGCGCTTGTATGGGTAATGTTATCACAGAGCTTTGTATCTAGTCATACCTTGTCGCGAATCTGAAGCTCCAGATCGTGGTACTTCTTGATCTTGTCCAGGTCCTGCTGGCGTTGCTCCTCGGTGCGCTGTCGGATTGTACGGGCTATGCCATGTGAGCCTGCACTCTGTCCATTAGATCAGCGATTTCTTGTGCGCAGAAGTCTCGGTAGGACGGAGCATACGCTAGCCATGTCGAGCACCAGTCTGTGCCTGTGTGCTGTAATATTCAGGCCTGTTATCGATGTTATTGAGGCCAGTCCGTTTTCTGCGAAACAAGATGCGGATTCAGGGAGCTGCCTTTACGGAACAATGGAGTCAAGGTTGGAGTTCATTAGGTACGTGCCTACAATCAGGTACCCCCTGCATTCAAGGTGGAGCTGCTAGTTAGGCTGGTGGCCTTCAAAACCACGGGGTACATACAGTACATCATAGCTGGCATACCTCCAGGTAGTAGCCTATTCCAGAGGTGCTCGCGGTGGCCATTTGGCCAACTTGTCAGGTCCACTACGAGCAGAAGTCCCCTTCAGACAAGCCTGGTAGCAAATTTTGTAATTCCATTCTTATGTTTGATACATTGAATCAAGTTGCCATATCGCGAAAAAAGTGAGGAAAAAAAAAAAAAAAAGGCGACTTTTCCTGTTGAGTGATCTCAAACGTACCTCCGTACCAAGCGGCTGCTGCTTTAGCCTTCGTCCATGAAGTTGAGCCCGGACCCTTCTCCGTGATTGATTCGCTCTTCGCTTAACAAAGCAGGCCCGTTTACACAATTGAATGTATTGTGCAGATACGAATTCATGAGCATGTAATTAACTTATTTGCTAGACTTGTTCCCTCAATACTTGCAACTCAGCTGCTACTACACAAGACTTATAGCTAGGTACCTCGGTGGAATACATTTATTTGATTACATACCTAGGTTAGGTATGTACCTACAGAGACTTGCGTGACTGTCTACCGAGGTATGACGCCTCGTCAAGGACCAACGGAAGTCGTTTTTGATAGCCGGTATCCCCCATAGTACATAGTATGATTGGTGCCTGTCCATCTATATGGATTGCATGGAATGCCATGTTAGCAGAATGATCGTATCGCGGTCGTTGAGCTAATCATTCTAGCAAGACCCCGTGATTCAATGGTATTTATCAAACATGTAGGCATCTTTCAAACAGACCATGCTTCACTTTGCTCGCCAGTGATTACATAGTATGCCATGTTTGCTCAAGCATTCTTCTCATATTTCTTTGGTGTCCATTACAGCGATCAGCCCCAGCAAGCATTCGTAGATCTTCTCGAACCATCTTAGCATTACACCAAAGCGTGCCGAATGCCTCTAAGTTGGCCGCATCCTATGTGGCAGTAAGAGATTTGCAGGCAAGCAGGGGGTGTCTAACCGTAACATAATGTTGCTGACAAGCATCGGGAAAACTATACTACTGTTTGGTAAGCAGCCTACAGTTAGGCTTACACTAGAAGTCATGGCCCTTTTTGTATTTACCAATCCGGAAGCACTGCATTTGAGCTTATTCGTCACGTCATGCGGTTACCAATGCGTTGTTGGACATCATAAAATAGGGCACGATCCCGATAATGAAGCCAACTGCTGTACTCAACCATCCACTTATTGCACAACCAAGGAGCCCTTCTTCCTTCCACGTTTAGGTGGAACTGGTTTGCATCCACTACACAACATTCATCTGCTGCAACGGCTGCTCAATCTTGGCCTCAACCCCTCTTTCCTCACTTACATCACTTTAACACAGCATCCCTAGCAGTGCGAATCACAATGTCTACCATGAGAGCTCTTGTCACCATTGAAGACCACAAGGTCGCCGTCAGGAACGATGTGCCAGTTCCCACTCCCCAAGAGGGGGAGATTGTTGTCAAAGTCCATTACGCCGCACAAAACCCCACAGACTGGAAGGCTGCTGCCATGGCTCCTCCGGGCCGTGTCGTCGGCTCCGACTTTGCGGGAACTGTACACGATGCCAATGGCTCCTCTTGGCAACAAGGTCAGCGCGTCTCTGGTTTCGTCCAGGGCACGACCTACCGTGGCGCCTTCGCCGAGTATGTCGTTGTCGAGGCTTCGCTCGTCTACCCTATCCCGGATTCGGTGAGCTACCAGGACGCTTCGGTAATTCCACTTGCCTTTGCAACCGCCGCACAGGCTCTCTTTCAACGCCTTCAGCTCCCCGAGCCCAGCAAGCCTGCCAAGTCAGCCTTCCCTGTGCTCATCAATGGCGGTACTTCGTCCGTGGGCAAATACGCCGTCCAGCTTGTGAAGCAGGCTGGTCTGTTTGTCATTGCCACGGGCTCCAAGAAAAACCACGATCTACTGAAATCCCTGGGTGCTGATGCTGTTGTGGACTACAATGACGCCGACTGGGTAGACCAGGTTCGCACACTGAGTCACGACAACCTGCAACATGCATTTGATGCCATATCTGAAAAGGAAACCACCGGACAGGTCATCAAAACCATCTCGCCGACCAAGGGTGGTCATGTGGTTGTGATCCTCTCCCGCAAGAACTCTGAGTACGGAGACGAGTACAGCAAGGTCAAGATTGAGAGCACTATTGTGTATACAGTCTTTGAGCGCACACTGAAGTACGGAGCATTCGACAACTGCGGCCAGCCTACGCCAGAGGACAAGGCTTTCTGGGAGAAATACCTCAGCCAGCTACCGCAGTGGCTAGAGAAAGGTGTCGTCAAGCCGAACCGTGTGAAGGAACTCGGCGGCCTTGAGGCCATCCAAGAAGGCTTTGATCTGCATCAGGCAGGCAAGGTCAGTGCCGAGAAGCTGGTGTACAAGATCGCTGCCGAATAGCGCAGTTTTGAGACATAGTCCGGGGAGAATAGAACGTGATGGGAATTGCAAGCGTGGGCTGTCATAATGAAAAACCCATCCCGTAGATAGGGGGAAGAATAAACAAAACTGATAAATATCATTTTCTTCCGTGATTAAAGAAGATGATGTAAACTCGTTTTTGGCCAGGCCCTAATTAACGGATAATTAACTACAGACTGATTTGCGTCATACATCGTTATTCGATCCGTACCGGATTTGAGATGCATCATTAATCGCTATTCTCGCACTTGCCCTTGATCAGGTTGGCATTCTCGCCCACCAAACCATCGAAATAGGAGAGCAACGTGTCTACGGGCAACATGTCCAAAAGTCCAAGGCTTGGATTGCTTGACCTCATGACTTGTCCACCAAACAAGACACGTATGTAGTGCCCTGTATTGCTTCTGCTGCTTCTTTTATGGTCATTTTCTGTGTACAAATTGGTAGAATTTGTTTTCCCTTCCCATAATTCAAAAATGACTTCACTGCCCATTCCCGGCCAAACCATCTCATCAATCTGCAAGATGCTTAGCAATCGGCTCAAGCTGCCATCATGCGCAACGTTATGCCAATAGTCGATCGCGCTCATTCCGCTGACGGCGGCCCGCAAATGGGCCGCCAATTCGGCGATCCAGACTCCATACGTGCTGACACTGACGGCTAGAGAGTCTTCGGCATCGCGATAGATCTGACTATACTCCCAGAGACCTAGCCTGTAGACAGAATTGGCCTGAGCGATAAACACGAATTAGTACTTTCCAAGCACCATCCAGGAGACGATCGCCTTGCCCACGAATCATCTCAGCGTAGCGTGTGCAAAGTCGTTACAGTACAAACTACTGACCTGTTCCTGTGTGATGCACTCCCCAGTTGTTGCGTTGCAGGGCAAAGGTTTGCTGTGGCATTGTCTCGCAGATAGGTTGTCGTAATAATGGTCAAACCATGAATGAAAGCCCGAGTCCGATGCGGGCACTCCAGACACAGCGTCGAGAGCCTCGTACAGATCGGCGGCCTGGGCAAGGTGGTTGGCCCAGGCTGGGTTGTCCGATGATTTTATGCTGTTAAACAGATCGCTGCCCGCTGTGCACGTATACGTAGGCTCGAGAGAGTCAATTGTGCTTGCCTGTACGAGAAGAGGTACATTCTGCGACGCCGATCCCCACATGCCTGCTATCAGCATACCGGCGACCTGGGAAGTGATCTGATTGTTCGTCACGCGGAACTTGACCTTACTTTGCCAATCCGAGGCTTTGTCGGGGAGAAAAGCGAGAAGGTCATGGTACACTCCGTACAGGTCGGCCCCGTGAACCCAGGAATCATCGAGACCGCCAGATGTGATCTGGGGAAATTGGCACGAACCTATCCACCCAGACGGTGTGAATGGGTTGACGGAGGAGTTGAACACATCCCAGTATGTGTAGGCCGAGCTGCCTCTCCCACTGTCCGTCGGTAGATGCTGGCCGTAGTAGAACAAGCCCTGATCATCACAATCCCAACGGTATGGCTCGACAGGGAATGCGTTACTTGCATAAGGTGTGCGTTTGTGATGCCTCTGAATCTATGGCTCATACATCAGTGTTTGCCGGCTTGTGGTGGGGAGATAAACAGCTCACCACCTCAACGTATTTCAATGTGAGCTCGCTACTGCTAGGGATTGGATATTCCGTTTTTCGCGCATGTGGCACTTCAATAACATATTTTAGTAATTGCCTTTTCACGCGGATTGTATAGTGCCAAGCAGCTCTTTTGAGCACCGTTTCGGGCAATGTTTGCTCATGATACAACCTAGAAAAGAAAAGAAATAACACCGGAAGTTGCTTACTGTTGCACCAATTGTATGTGCCATAGGGATTCTTTCCCGTGTCCGAGCTGTTGAAGATGAACCCATATACCCCTGACGTGCTGAGCACTTGCGTAATGTTGTTGATATCCGTTTCCGCCGGGGCATGCCAGTCCAGATCCACAGCAGCCTGAGCTGCAACCGGAGATAGCACAGCAAAGAGGCTAATCGAAGACACAGGTGCCAACATGCTGGGCCAAGGACCGATGGTGAGGACAAATACCACGACGGTGCTAGCCAGAATGGCCAGCTTATATGTCCATGCAGCAATGCGTCCCTTGGACATAGGGACGATGACAGAATTAGCACCCACGTGCGATGACAGGTCAATGAAGTCTACGTCGTTGCTCATTGTTGCAACACGTTTTCCCGAACATATCTCCCGTCTGATCACCCCCAAACCTGTGTGTGCTTTTCCCGAATTATCGGGATCTGGCTGACCACGTTGTTTCGACAGCTTGACTGAGTGGTTGGAGCTTTCAGATAGGTTAGTAGTGCATTAGCTGCGGGGCAACAGTACCTACCTTGAGCACTACTCAAGGTACCGTCATCCAGCCCCCCACACATGTGCGGCCAAGGCAGGTATTTGACCAATATGAATTGAATATAAGCTCTACAGGTGCTTTTTCAATTCATCACTAGATTTCAAGCAGTTCAACTAGGTCGAATATCTGTATATAATTGCTTCAGTATCTCAGCTATAAAGCGTATTTCCACTGTTCAAGAGCGAGCTTGGGATTTCTCTTAGCATTCTTTTCCTCCTCTTCCCCTATATGGCATTGGTTACTTTTAGAGAAAAATATCGATATCAGTGTGTTATGACAAGGCATCACTTGCCTTTGCTCCATCATTTCTACTGATTTGGCTCATATGCAGCTCAATACTCGCAACATCTGAAGTGTCTCCGGCTAGTAAAATCTCCTCTCGTGTACGTGTTCACCGAAAATGCAATCGGCAGTGGGAGAAAGCGACATGCAATGACCAATCAGGGTCTTTTGCCGGGCCTGCCCAACATACCCTATTTACATAGTATCGAATCAATCTACATTGCAGTCACACTCTTGGAACATTGAGTATGTAGTTGCAAGACTAAGATTTGCTACCAAGGCAAGAGTGCGTGCAAAATGCTCCAGTGAAAAAGAATTTGCAGACAGAATATAAAGTATTAGTGTTTGGGGCCGTGGCTTCCCGAATTACTGCAAGTCAACAGTTCAACAAACGGTTGCCAACTTCCAAGTCTGCAAGAACAGAAGATCTGAACAAACAGTGATACTGACCCAAAGTCTTCATCGGTACAGCCTAGATACAAGATGCAGATAACCGCGACCTTAAAGCCGTCCCTGCTGAGCTTGGCGGTGTACCTTGCCCTCGTACAGTCAACCAGTGCTACTGCTACTATCGGCATTACTGAGGCGGCTTTGGCGCTGAACGGGCTCATGACGACCTACGACCCTCTCACAGGACTATGGGGGTATGGCGAGCCTGATGCACCGTGGTGGCAGAGCGCGGTCGCCCTGCAGGCTGTTTTGGACTTCATGATCACGACCGGCACCCGAGACTACGTCCCTGTTGTTACCAACACCATCGATATCCAGCGGAGGCCTAACCCAAACGGCCCGCAAGGTAGTGGCGACTTCCGAGCTTCAAGCACCGATGACACTGCCTGGTGGGCTCTGGCCCTGATTTCTCTACATGCGATCACTGGAGAGCAGTGGCTGCTCGATGTGGCCATGGCTGACGAGGCCTACATATCTCAGTGGTGGACAACTGAATGCGGTGGTGGTCTGATATGGCAGATTAGAGCTCTCTCATACAAGGCTAGCATAAGCAATGAATTGTATATTGAGCTCACCGCCACACTTCACAACCTGATTCCCGGCGATAAAACCTACCTTGCAAAAAGTTTACTTGCCTGGGAATGGATGAAGCAGAGCGGCCTAATGAACAATGCCTCTCTGATCAACGATGGCCTGACGGAGACTTGTGGCAACAACACTCCAACTTGGACGTACAATCAAGGCGTTATCCTAGGGGGGATGATCCAATTGTACACGGCAACTGGCGATGAAAAATTCCTCTACACGGCGCGCTCCATTGCTGATGCAGTACTGGCGAGCAGTAAACTTGCACCTCAAGGAGTGCTGACTGAGCCATGCGTTGGCGAATGCAATACGGATCAACATTCATTCAAAGGTATCTTTGTACGCTACCTTGCCAAACTCAATGCAAAGCTTCCGGACCGACCATATTCCACCTTCATTACCAGCAATGCAGCGAGCATGTTTGCCAATGATCAATCCACCAGCGAGGGAAGACCCAATGACGATTACTACGGGTTACGATGGCAGGGCCCTTTCGACAAGAACTCTCTGGGCAGCCAGGAAAGTGCACTCATGTTACTGACCGCAGCATTTTCTCTCGATAGAGCAATGGGTTGATGATGAGGGCAGGAGGAGGGTAGGATGGAGGGAGGACTAATATAAGGGGCACTAATGAAAATATTCTGATTCGTCCAGTCTCGGGAACGACTCTTGATTCCCGATGCCGGGAGAAATCTGGATTCTATCTTCTTACAAAATAATTCTCCAACTACCATCATAGATTGTGGATCGTCTTTGCTCGTGGCGCTGGTGGAAATTGTAAACCAATCCCCGCAGATATTAGTATTAGTATATTGATGACCTTTGCAACCTGTGCAGTTCGTAGTGATCGACGCTAAGCGAGTTCCTTAGCAGGGATGTGTATGCGAACCATTTTAACTTCCTCTTGTGGTTCTGGCAGCTTTTGCACCGTTGCGAGTGGCTCGAACACTTTGCCGTCCGATCATGACCTAGGCAGAATGGATGGCAAGATGGGACTGCGTTCGCTTGTCTCGTGTCCTTGCATCCATGCAAGAATTAGCGTATGGAGAAGCAAGTCAAGCTTGAAGGGTCCGTGCCGTTACACAACCCTGTCGGTTGGCTGGATCCCTCTGAGAAAGGATGACATTCCCATGTGTTGAAATACCTAGCCGACTGCCAATCATGGTCTGAGGTGTTTCATGAAACATATCAGCAATGTGGATAGCGGTTTTGGTGTGCCAGGATGAGGTTCCCCACGTGTGTGGTCCCCTGCTTCTCATCTGGTCTGGCCGCTTTGACCGCAGATTTATACCCTGGACTCGGAATAGAGCAAGGGCGAGGACCAATCCGACAACGACCGCTCTGACATGGCCGTAGGTTGAAATGCAGCTCGTCTCGAATCATGACCCTCACCACGTCACATTGTCTGTTCCTCCTCCATGTTTAGAACGCTGACACATTGTCTGAGCTTGACAGGGTCGCAGCCTGTCGGTTCTTGCAGACCTGCCTTGATCTGGATTTTGCGCTTGTGATGGCACGGGACACGATGTTACCTGCGAGTCTTCGGCATTTCTAGCACTATCTAGGGTCTTTACCATACTTATGTTAGAACAGTGCAGGCAGAGCTTTAATTGACTTATTCATCGTCATGCTCCCCAGAGCTCGACAATAGGGCCTCTCTGCTTCTCCTACTCGTAGCTACCGTTTCGTCGTCATCATGGACTCCGGTGGCTCTGTATCGCCCAATGGTTCACCTCCCTCGGATGGACTGTCTGGAGGTCCGGCACGTCCAGAGTTCTCGTACAACGCTACAGAGGCACAGTTTGTGATCATATTCGGCGCTTTCATGTCGGCAATTGCGACAATCTCAGTCTTAGCCCGCCTCTACAGTCGATATTTCTTTGCAAACCATGTGGGGCTCGATGATTTCATGGCCATTGGATCTTTGGTAAGTATTGCGGCTCATCCCCGTCTCAATCACTCCGATGATTGACTTTGGACAGTGTGCCACGATCGTTGTGAACGTACTTCAAAGTGTCTATGCGGCTGTCTATCTTCCTCAAGAGAATGGCTTCGCACCTCCGAGCGGCGAAAGCGCCAAGGTATGAATGATATTGCCCCTTTGCCTAAACTCTCACTGATAACCCATTTTGTACAGCTCTTCTACGTTATCAAAATCATATACACCATGGGGGTGGCCTTTTATAAACTAACCTTCTTGATTCAATTCTGGCGCATCTTCCGATACATCTACTATATGCGCATTTTATATATTGTCGCTATAGTTTTGATCTCGGGCTGGAGCATATCGCAAATCTTGGTCACAATCATGACATGCTTGCCTATATGGTCCAACTGGGAACCGATCGATCCTACGAGCGCTCAAAATATTGTTTGTCTACCAGTATGGGTGTCGACGTACCTCAATGCCGGAGGTACTGTGTTGACAGATCTTATCGTGCTCCTGCTGCCTGTGCCAACCCTGTTGAGCCTGAAGCTGCGTCGATCTCAAAAATGGGCTGCCGTTGGTATCTTCGGAATTGGTGGAATGTAAGTCTTCTTGTTTTAATGGGACCAAGAATCGGAAAGATCTGTTGGACATTTTTCTAACCATTGATGAAAGTGTTCCAATCATTTCAGCTGGTCGAATATGGTCCTTAGGCATTGCCCCTCCGAATGGCTTTGTTGCACAAGCCTGCTTCAATACTGCCGAACTGTCTGCAGGCGTGATCACTGCCGGGCTTGCGACCATACGCCTCCTTATTAGCCGCCACCTTTCTTCAACAACGCTCAGCACTTTACGTTCTCGAGGCGAGGCGTCACGCATGGATGGACATTGGGCGCCCAGCCTGCGACGCAAGATATCTTTGACCTTCAATTCAAAGATTGATGACACCCAGCTGAGTTCACGCGACGGGGATCCCGAACACTATGATATGAGCAATATGCTGGGCGGGGCTTCCAGCCGACGGGATCAGATGAACATGGGTAACAGGGCAACAGTAACAGCTGAAAGGTATGATCGGCCCATGAGCGATGGTGGCGCTGAATTTCTAAAGGAATTCGGCATCATCGTCGAGCTCAATTGGGAGGTTACGGAAACGATTATAGAAATGAGATAGGGCGGCTGTAAACAGGCGTAGGAAAATGATGGGTACGGTCATTACCGGTGTTTAGGTGTTGTTAGTACTTTTTTTTTCCAAAAATTCTAATGCTCGACAGAGTCAAGCTCGCCAAAAGCTTTTGTGAGACTAAGGTAGAAGCTTGTCATTGAGACCTACTGTATGTAGGTACTAGTATCTAGTGCAACGACACTGCTTCATTCCTTGGGAGATACAAGTAGAATATAATTACCTGCGCTGCGAAATCTCCAGCTGATGATTTCTTCCTACTTTGGTGAAAAGCTGAGACTGGCACATGATTCGTTTACTCAGCTCTTGGTTTGCTGAAGTGAATCTGCACGCGTAGGAAAAGGGAGAAGAAAGTATTTCTCAGCCAGCCCACGAAGAAGAAGCAGAAGAAACCAAGCCCTTCTTTTTGGATTCATGGAGCCATCTTGTGACGCTCGAATGAGTGTCTTGGTTGTTTAGTGCATCCCTTACCCCAAATCGAACATTCGCGATGAGCAAGCACCCTGAGGGCGGGAGGCTGCAAGCGCACCGAAAGGTCCACAAATAATGTATTCCGGAGGTATTACACCTGTAGTACGTAGGGGAATGTGCGTAAACTGGCGATTCCGTCCAGTTCCGCCTCAATCTGACAATTGTCAGTTGGTCAATGCACACGCTATAGCCGAGCCGAGGGGAAAGCCGTCCTTTCCAGATCGTTCGGGAAGATTTTGATGGTGCGGACGTTGCGAACAGCACCGAGAATAGACCCAAGATCGTACCTAGGAGAGATCCACATCCACACTATATTTTCATGCTGAGATAATGCGGGGGGATATTCACCCTGCTTGCTAACCGCTTTCTAGAATTTGTTATACAACGGGGCATATACGACAACTCGATCGGGATCAAGACTATATAAGGTAGGAACTGCCAAAGTCTAATAAAGCTGAATAAGAACTATTTTGTACAACACAGCGAATCAAACACTCAAATATTCATTTTTTTTTTTTTTGAGTTTGAACCGCACACCCCTGAAAGAAAACATGTCTTCGGAAGCCATCAGCATTAAGGCCGCTAGCGGCATCTCTTACTTTACCCCAGCACAAGAGCCTCCGTCTGGTTCCCAAATCAACGGTTCGACCAAGCTCTTCACTCCCCTCACCATCCGCGGCACTACCTTCCAGAACCGTCTCTTCCTCCCTCCTCTTTGCCAGTACTCGGCCAAGGATGGCTACGCCAACGACTGGCACCTCACCCACCTCGGTGGCATCATTCAGCGTGGCCCCGGTTTGACCATCATGGAAGCCACCGCTGTGCAGGCCATCGGTCGTATCACACCCGAGGATCTCGGCCTTTGGGAGGACGGTCACATTGAGCCGCTCAAGCGCATCACTCAGTTCGCACACGGCCAAAACCAGAAGATCGCCATCCAGCTCGCCCACGCTGGTCGAAAGGCATCATGCGTTGCTCCCTGGCTGAGCGCCAACGCCGTCGCCACCAAGGAAGTTGGTGGCTGGCCCGACGAGATCGTTGCCCCATCCGCCATTGCCCAGGACCATGTCAACCCCGTTCCCAAAGCCCTGACCCTCGTGGACATTGAGAAGTTGAAGCAGGACTGGGCCGAGGCCGCCAAGCGTGCTGTCAAGGCCGGTTTCGATGTGATCGAAATCCACTCGGCCCACGGTTACCTGCTCCACGAGTTCCTCAGCCCCGTCAGCAACAAGAGAACCGACAAGTATGGCGGCAGCTTCGAGAACAGAACCCGTCTTGTCCTCGAGATTGCCGAGGCCGTCCGCGCCGTCATCCCCAAGGAAATGCCCCTGTTTGTGCGCATCAGCGCCACCGATTGGTTCGAGTTCGACCCCAGCTCCAAGCAGGAGTTCCCCGAGACATGGACCGTCGCTCAGTCTGCCGAGCTTTCTTCCCTGCTTGCGGATCGTGGTGTTGACCTGATCGATGTCAGCTCCGGCGGTGTCCATCCCAAGTCGGCCAGCGCCATCAAGTCTGGCCCTGCCTACCAGGTTCCCTTCTCTCAGGACATCAAGAAGGTTGTTGGCGACAAGATTCTCGTATCGGCTGTCGGTGGCATCAAGACTGGTCAGCTCGCCGAGGAGGTCTTGCAGTCTGGCCTTGACGTGGTCATGGCTGGCCGATGGATGCAGAAGAACCCTGGCCTGGTCTACCAGTTTGCTGATGAACTGGAGGTTGATGTCAAGATGGCTAACCAGATTGGCTGGGGATTCGGCGGACGTGGCAACCGAGGCGCCCGCAAGAACCGCCTGTAAACGATGCAATGATGATGCAAAGACCTAGAGAAGAAGAAGAAAAGGCCGCCTGTACATAGAGAGATACCTTGAGCATTAGCGATCATAGTGCATAGACTTGTATATAATATTTTGCATATCGAAAATATCAGACGTGATGATGTAATGTCTTGTCCGGTTGGTAATTGAACGTCGCATGCCCCTTGGTTTGAGCCCTGCCATGAGCCAGCCCACTGATAACGGCTGCCAGTACGAAGTAATCTGATGCCGAATTTGAAACTCACATCGAACTCTAGAGATGAGTTAGAATCCGTGCAGCATTGCGCTGTCTATAGTTGTGACTCGTGAGTCTAAAGGCGCACATAACAGTATATCAAATCTCTGGGCTCAACTTCCCATACTGGAGCACGAGGGTGGCAGAAACTTGGTCTGCATATCAAGCGACAAATGCCAAAGATTTTCAATTGGCCCTCCAATGCACGAGTGGATCTAGCTTGGCTGTTCATTGTTAATGTATGCCAGAGAAAAGGGCTGCTATTTAAAAACAGGCGCCTAATTTCCGTACGGAGCATATACTAGAACGGCACTAGTCGCCATCATAGGGCAGATTTCTTTTCTCGTCTTGAAAATGAGGCACTCCAGACATTCACGGGTATCATTCCAATGGATTTCCGTCTTCGCTAGAAGGCGGTACCGATTTATCCATGAATGCAGGCTTCAGCTGCTGGACGTGATACGAGAAACATCCGTAACCACCGTGACGGGAAAGGCGTTGCGCCCCCCGTGACACCCAAAAGTAGTGTCAGTGTAGGCGCCCAGATTCAAAGTCATAACATGAGCTAAATGCTAAGCTTATTTTAGGCCTGAGCCGACCTGGGTCCAGACAGCATTAGAAACCGCTAAACCCTGAATTAGTGAATACCAGGCACAAAATTGGCCTAGACTATACACTGCGCCGCCTTGGCACATCCAGAATTGCGGCGCCGGCGCTGACCCAGGGGGCATTTGGCATGACCGTACGAGATTTGCAGTCTGTTGCCTGGCGCAGAATTCTGCATTCTTAATAGACACCTCAACTGCTCATTTCTCTGAATTTTAATGTTTTGATTCATTTTCTTGTCTCGCGTCCGAGCATCTGTCACTCGCTATATTTACCTTTCTGGGCGTCACTCGTTTTGATTTCCTTGTTCATCGGTCTAGATTGGATCTCTGTCAGCATCAAGGTCATTTGAGGGAACAGAGACACGCACCATACAATATTGCTCTTATATTACGCTGCGAGAGAGTCTCCCTAACTCAACATGTCGGAAACGAGGGTTGAACCAGTTGCCCCGGCGAGGACTGCCGCGGCTCCTCCTACGCAGCCTACAGCACCACCGAATGCCCAGTCTGGTCCAATGCTTTACCAGCCTTACCCGTACGCGCAACCACCATTTTCTCAGCAGCCTCGAATCATACCATTCAACAAGACACATTACTGGGCCAAGATTGGCTTGACGGCTGCTTCATTGGTCTTTTGCGTCATTCTGTTGGGCTTATCCGTGGCCATATCCATTGGCCCAGGTTACGATTCTTGGAACATCACCATCTATTGGATTGGTCCACTCATTGGCATTGCGGGCTGTTGGGACATTGCCGAGCTGATCACCTTGTTTGGTTGCGGCAAGCGGCATGGTGGGCAATTCCGCCGTGGTATTCATCCCGGAGCACACGTAGGCGTCAATCTCATCCTGTGGCTGTTGGGAATCATCTGCATTTTTCTCTCCGTCTTGTCATACGTCACAGCAAGATCGCAGCTGGCGAGTTGTCAAGAAGCAAAGGACTCGGACTCTTCGACCAGTTACTACGGTTACTACTACTATTACTGCGACGACGACGAATACTCGATGCTGTCTTCTGGCCTCTACATTCCCGCCCTCCGGGCAATTGAGGCTTTCGTTGCCCTATTGACGTGCGTCCCTCCCGTCTCGGACTGTTCATATTTTGAACCTAAATACTGACTGCCAATAGTCTTGACCATTTCATCTTCTTCGTCCTGGCCTGCATCGAGACTAACCAAAGAAACAAGTCTCGGGCTGCTGTCATGATGATGCCCCCACAAATGTATTACAACCCAGGCATGGCTCCGTATGGCTACCCAATGATGCCTCCTCAGGCGTACATGGGACAGACGCAGCAAATTGGCCAGATGGAGAAGTCGCCGGCCGCAGCAACACATCCTCAAACGGCCAACCCCGGCCCCGGAGGGTATTACGCTCCTGCAGCACCGGTGGCCGCGCAACGAACACCCGAGACGCCGTTACCGGCAGCAGCACCGGCAGCAGCACCGGCAGCAGGAAGCAGTGCATGAAGATAGTGACGCGGGAAACAATCTTCATCAAACGTACACTGGCACGTTGATCTAGCGACAAGCAGGTCTGGCCACTTGAGTAGCAAAGATGAAAGAGGCGTGGGCCTTACGTGTAATATGTCGTTATCTGATATCCTAATCTTAATTAATTAATGAATTACACCTTTACTTATTGTAATCAGATGATCAGTTCGATGCACCTGAATATGCCTACCTAGTGATGTTAGACAAATTCATGCCTTCAAATTTATTGAGAGCTTCTCAACTACTTCCATGATTGATAGAGTTGCTACTCCAAGGCTATGTTATTGGGCTGGGCATGGATTGGAGAGGAGCCAACTACACAAAATACCTCCGGGTTCATTTAGATGATATAGATTGGGTGTATGTCTTTTGCCTGAGTATGTTAAAAGGCCCTCTCTTTCAGGAAACGACACCAGGTAGGGGTTCTTCTTTGAGCTTTGCTCAGACAATTCATTACAAAGACTCGATCTGCTGATGCTATGCTAATAAATATCTTTGTGATTGATAAGATCGTTGGCACGAAGATGTGCCCATTGCTACTTCCGATATCTGTGCCTACGGATGCTTCCTCGAATGAGCTTTGTTTGCCTCTTATTATTTACAATCTCTGTTTGATGATACTGATGCTGCTGTTTCTGGCCTATCCTGAGTCGTGCAGGCCATCAACGAGACGACAGTTGATAGAAAAAGAGGTAGATCAAAATGTTAGGCACAATCCGTTGACTATGATGGATGCATAGCTTGAGGAATCCTGATTGTAGATCTATTTTGCTCATTGCCTCGATAGAAACAGGTGTGAGAATGGTGACAGGTGTAAAACTCGTTTCCCAAATTTGATGCGGAAAATACTTTACACTACGTCAGCTAACTCAAATTTTGATAAAAAGAACGAGGATCGTGTAAGCGCATCCACCAATCAATCTAATTGTTTAATAGTTTCTGTGTGGCTGGTCGATTGGGGCAACTGGATTGGACTGCAATCCAGCGTGTAAATGAAGCAATAAAGACCACGCAGTTCAACAAATAAGCATTGGGCAAAATGGAAATCAAGACAAAGAAAAAAGGAATTGACGTAAAGTGGAGATAGTCGGAAATGCGGCCCAAGTAGATCATGTTGGCAGTGGCTGTTGTCCATGATTCTGAGAGCATTGAAGCATTCTTTCTTTTCTTTGCTTTTTTTTTTTTCTTTCCCCCCCCCTCCCTCTCTCTCTCTCTTCTATTTTTTTCTTGTTGGTTTCCTCTTTTCTTCTTCCTTGGGGGTTGCACTCGGGGCTTGCACTCGGAGCTTTTCGCGGTGATGCATTTGTTGGATCACGCTCAAGGGAAGGCCTCGAACCTTCCATGGTTAGGAGGCTTGTTGGTCTCTATTTGCTTCTTCCACTCGCACTTCCAGCGAGTGCAAGAGAATGCGAATGCTTCCAATGAATTATACTTTGCAGGAAGAAGAAATAATACCACTCGTGTCTCATCCCACAACCACCAGATCGCTATCTGTTTCCTTCGGACTGAACCATCTACATATGCAATCGATCAAATCGAGTCGATCATTTTGTTGCGCATTCTTTGGAGCAGCGGTCAGCAGTGGTAGCCTTGCGGCCATGGATTATCTGTAATGTCACATGAGTAATGGACCATGCGGAAATTGCTCAGCCAAGGTTTCAGTTTATTCAACATCCCATGGTCGACTGCAGAATAATGTTACAAAGGAAACATGATATTTGCTCTTCTGGAGGTTCGTCATACCTGCCCCGCGATCCGGGAGACAGCTAAAGCCAAGGCGCCTCTTCAGTTGTGTTTGGGTACTTGACACAAACAACCTATGTCAACCTCTGATGCATGGCAGGCTTTCGCTGGTTGGCTTGTGGCAGACGGAGCAAACCCTTGCCGAAGCATGCGAGGAAAGTAGGGTCTATATTGTCAACGTGGCTCGCAGCCGTGGCTCTGCATCCTCGGTAAACTAGGACCTGACTGCAGAAGTGGCAATGCGGTCTGTGTATCCCGATTCACTCCGTGCCCTACTCTGTACTAACGGAACAAAAAGATCGTGGAACAAAAAGAAAAGAAACCGCATATACGCCACTACGAAAAGAAAACATTCGGCCCAGTTCTGCATATTCACAAACTGGACTTTCGGCACAATGTGATTTATGTTTGGTCGTATGAACGTCTACCATTTTTTAGAATAACGAAGAGGATTTGGGCATCATCGAAGGAGATGCATTCGGTTACAATCCAGCTTACGAATTATCCCTGAAAGTGAAGTACCGATGAACTACTGTGCCACTCGGTGAGCCTTATCCGAGCACGAATACTAGATTCGGCTCTCACCGAGTGGATACATTGTACAATTGGAGGGGGGTTATGATGGTTTGAGCATAGTATCTAATTGGGCTCATTGCTACATGTAATGATGGAATTGCATCTTCGGTCAAACTACCTTAGCAATCCTTATCTGTTATATTACACTAGATATAGCGGGTTTTTTTTCTCTCTCCTTATTTTCGTCCAGGTCTTCATTGATTGTATTTGGATTAATTGGTCCTAAATTGAACGACATAAGAAAGCGGCATACATGAAGAAAGAAAGACAAACTAGATTGGGCCAAATATTTCAACAGGAAACTCCACGGTGATCCCAAGGATACCAAGACGAAATAGCCATCCGTTGGCGCGATAATAATTGGTTTGATGCCGGACAGGCCTTATCATGAACCTGGATGGTAGGCGTTAAGGCTAGAATATTCGGGCACTATATAAGTACCTATATTTGAACGTGAGAGGTAGTCAGTCATGCCACGTTCCATTATTACTTACTACTGTACGTATTCGGCTCCGGCAATGGTCTTGGGTCGCTTCCAGAGGCCACGTTCAGATTGATCTACGGTGTGCAAGGTAGGTAGGTATTCCTTTCGTTCTTACAATATCCACATATGCCTGGAGATTCCTGCACGTCAACGACTACACAAAAAAGAAAGAAATACTAAGAAGGAGAAAAGACATAAAAAAAAAAAGATCAAATCACTACGTTATGCATTGCATGGGAATTGCTCATGCCATGCATCATGTATGCATTACAGCCTTCCGATGATATATTTGACAAGGTGCATGCTTCGTGCTGTGGATCGAAAGCTAAAATACCTACAAAGCAGACTGGACGCTGGCAGCCGACTTGTCAAACGTTCCTTGCTCCTCTTCTCCGCATTGTGTCGACTCAACTATGGTGCCTTGAATCACGCAATTCATAGTAGCATCAGCCTCGGATGGTCCGATAAACTATCCGATGCTTTGTTTGATGGACGTCCGAAGAGATAAGATAACTTGTGAAGACAGGGTCCAAGAAGACCTGAAGTAATACCTATCTAGGTATCGTCTTCCATATGCGCCACAGAAAGGTCGGTAGGTTGGTAGGCAAGTCGCCTAGGCAGGTCTGTTTGTCAAGGAATCAATACAGGGAACCTTTATGCAGGGTTATTTGGCACGCTAGCGGTGTGATTTAGCATGGATCTTATGCTATGGCTAGCAGCAGCAATGCAAGTCGGGAAGTTCTGAAGACTGTCAGCAAGTGAGGCTTTTCCCGCACTCACCCACGAGGTTGGCACGGGACGGAGTATGGAGCTTGGCTAGAAGGAGAGGTGATCATCTGCACCTGGTCACCTACTGGCTCACGACATGCCAAATACCCATGCAACATTTGGAGGGGCAACCCAAACATACATAATACCACGAGTTCACGTGTCAGTAAAACAGCCGTTGTAGACGTGGAAGGGATCATTTGAACAGCCCAATGTTTTTGCCATTGATGATGGAAAATGCCTTCAGATGATGGTTCTATGGCAAAATTTACAGTAGCTCGTCAAAGGCGGTGGATGCATTGTCAAACGCCTACTCACCTATCTAGGTATTGTATCTGTTATGTTGTCTATAGTGTGTGGCACTACTAAAGTATTCATTCCTACCGGCTGGCAATATATGCACAGCCGTTGTGATGGAGTGAATCATGGTGCCGCCCCTGGCACTTGGAATGCAACCATGCCGACTATGATGAAGGCTTTACCTGTTTTTATGCTTGCTGTATAGGTACTCGATGAAACTCCCTGCATAGCACAAGACTGGGCTTGTGTTGACATGGCGAATAGGTATTGGGATATGAATAATAAGGCCGTTGTGCAGGCGGCTACCTCAGGTTGCAATGTAGTTCGGCCCATTATCGCTGTCCGAATGTCGTGGGAAGCACAGTATTATACCAAGCCTACGAGACCTCATGAGACCGGTCCATGAAGCTGGACACGACGTGGCGGGACTTTTCTTTTGAGAAGTGCTTCGCGCATGCGCCAAGCAAAGCCAAAGCGAAAACTTAATTGCTTATGAGGATATTACAAGTCAGATTCAAGAGTGATAGCCGAATCATTTCTGGAATTCAGATCTCAGCTCTTCATGTATCGCGTAAAAAGATGGTCGCAACAACCACCCCCTCGTTTTGCTATCTGCACAAGCCGACCAATCCCTAAAGCCCCTCCTGCTCCAGGGTGCTACCTCCAGAACATTGCCTCCCTCGCTCGGCTGCACTCAGCCTTCCGAGTACGGCCCGCAGAGGGGGATGGATGTATGGGTGGATGGAATGATAATTGGAATACTTCTTGTGAGCACCGCATCGAGTGGAGAGAAGCATGTTCTTGATACCAGTAATTTATGATATTCCTGAGTTGCAAATAGCTGGAGATATTCCTTGACCCAAAACCCAATATCGAAACGCCTTCAATATCCTGGATAAACGCCACCTAAATAAAGAATCCAGTTCCCAAAGTGCCATTGCCATGTCCCCATAGTCCCCCATTCGCCAAGCTATGCAGCAAGAAACGTCAAATCCAACCAGCCCAAGGTTTGCACCTCAATGTGTAATCTTCTTTTTTTCGTGTTGCGCTTTTCCCAAAATTCATAAATGAGTATTCTCATGGTGGATATCCCACTGGACCACAT